AGCATCTTCACAAGGATCAGAAGAAGGAATTGGCCAGGGCTCGGTTTAACACCACGAGCGCTGGTGCTGCTGTGCAGGCCCAAAGGGAGAAGGAAATGATTGTTGTTTGGCAGCACTCAGAAACCTTTGAGAAAAAGGTACAACACCGCATGGCAATTGAATATTGGAAAGGCCTGGCACACAGATCAAAACACGCAGAACCGGCCTACAGCAATAGATACAAAGATAGCTTGTAATTTGATGGTGTTGTGCTCATTTGATTGTGGTGGCCGTGCCTCGGTGATCGCCGAAAAACAACAGACTTTTGCAACCGCGGAGGTACGATTTCATCTCAATCGCCGGAATTACTTCATTGGGCCTTTGCTCTAACTGATCCACGCCACACTTCCTGAGGCAACACACGTAGGTAATCGAATAATTACCAAGGCTGGGACTGTCTATGTGATTTGCATTCCGCAGAACCCACATCCAGGCTAGATTTGTAGCCGCTCTTGAAGCGACCTATTCGGCGGCAAGTAGTAAGTATAGTTTCTAGACTCATAATCAATCTCAGCTCCATTTCATCCATCAAACTCTCTCATTTCTATTTTCGCATCTCAGCTCCTAACGCCACGGCGATGTGTGGTACTTGTCGGGTCTTACTACCTACGCCCGTAGCAGCCGTAACGCTCAGCCTCATCCGTCAGCAACGTCAGCTCTCCATGTTTAAGCTTATTATACGAGGTCAGCTCATGTGTCTCGCGTCGGGTAACCTTTCGAATCAATTAAGCTCCGCATAAAGCTTATTTTCGTTTGAAAACCTGTCAGCAGCGCTTTGCGCATATCTCGAAGCTGAGGTGCACGGCTTCTCCTAAGAATGGATATGCGTTTCCATGGCTCCTTCATGCCGAAGTTTATGCGCCGGCGAAAATGCTCTCTGTACTTCACACTTTTGCCATCAATTGCCGAGAGTTGCTGTTATGAGTATTTTCGTGGGCGTGGAACCATGGATGGTGAGGATGGTCCGCGCGGGCCGCGACCCCCCCTTTCCCCTGTCACGAACACTCGGTGTCTATTTCCGTCTTTACTATTATTTTCCATCTCAACTAGTCTCATTATGTCTTTCTCAAGCTAAGGCCATCTCCATGGTTTTCGTCTGCAGACGCTCGCTGCATCTCAGCCTCTGCTATCTCGGCCAGCATCCGCACGCAGTGACGGAGCAATTCTGTCGGATCGGAAGCCGCGGACTACCTCCAGAACTCATTTTACGCCTCCAAGAGCTTAAAATATAGCCCATGTAGAAGATGAGAGGCTCAAGGTGCCAAGAGCATTGCACCAACGGTTCGTTGCTGCCGAAGTTTATGCGCCCGCGAAAATGCTCTCTGTGTTCAATGATTCCGGGGGTAGGACCAAGAGTTGCTATACGGAGTGTTTTCGCGGACGTGGAACCGTGGGTGGGCAGAGGACGCGCGAGCCCCTTCGTTCTTTACGGACGTCCTGTTCTCGCAATGTCCTACTATATACTTTAGTTCTCATAGTTTTATTCCTACTAGTGCCATCTTATTTTCCCTTCAAGCTCGCTATACCTCAATTGCTACTATCATCTCGGCCAGTTCCCGCATCTAGTGTCGGAGCATCTCTAGCCGGTTGGGAATGCGGACTATCCTGTGCCGAACCTCGAAGTGCTCATAGTAAGAGGTGAGTAGCGCCAAGAGTAGAGTGCCAATGACTCCTTTGCGCCGAAGTTTGGGCGTCCGCGCAAAATGGGTGTTCTAGAAGGCCTCTGTGTTCAACACTTTTCATTTTAAGGCCAAGAGTTACTGACTAGAGAGGGTATTTTGGGGGCAAGAACCGTCGATGAGGAGGTAGAACGAGCGGCTTTGCGCCCCCCCCACCACCCTCGCCGCAAGTGTTCAATGGACGTGCAAACTGCGAAGAGTTGGGATGATGGATATCGTCTACCGCAAAAGGCGATGCGAAGGAGGATTGCGTGATGAAGCTGAGGCACAACGAGAGAATTCAAGTGTGATAGGAGCTCCTCGTCCAAAGATTGAAGATTTAATGGGAACACGGGATAACGTTTGATGCCGTTGGGTAACGATAGCGAATGTCATTGAATTATGAGAATATACATTCTCATTCAGTGATGACGGTAAATATCATCACACCTGAAAGCCGCCCCCCACAGCCCGCCGGCTCTTCATGTGTTCCAGGGGCATCGAGGGAATTTGCACACACCCAGCACTCCCCGCCGTGAAGTGTCTCAGCCCGTTTCCTGATGCTCCAATCCTAGCTCACACCATGTCGTCGGAGTCCAGTCGAGTTTATGCAGCTGCAGCAGCAGCTGCAGCAGTCCCCAGTCAAGCCAATCCATGCCATTATCACCATTGCGTTGTGAATCCCCAAGCCCCATCCTCCATGTCCAAAAAAAAAGTTGAATTCGGGGAGCGAGAGCGAAGTTTTATACCAATAGTATATCCACGGCAACATTTGTATGGCTGATTCAGCGGCTTAGCGAGATTTTCGTGGCAGGGGGTCCCGTGCCCTCAGCAGCTTCAAACATCCACACATGTCCACAGCCCGCCCTCCATAGGCGATTTCTACGCCGCCACCAACGTATATAACCGGATTTTTCGCATCGCGTGAGTGCTACTAGCCTGCTGCAGTGCTGCAGCGTTGTTGCACTAGATTTAGGCTGCAAATGCGGCGTTAGGCGCGCGTGGCAGAGGCCCTAAGTACATCGTCACCATCATCGCGGCCATCGCCATCTAGAAACCGTGCAATTCTATAACGCCTAGCCCCTATCTACTACCATTCTTCCTAGCTGTCCTAAGCTGCTTGCAAAGCTGATCCAGCGAGCAGCGTAGGTGCTCCTGCTGGAAGCTTACCTGCCACATAGCCGTCTCCTCGCTTGTTCTCCGTGCCTGAGCTATACGCCTGATCTCCTTGATGACCTCAAGCCGTAGAGAGTACCACTGCAGCTCGCTCTGGTGGCCTGCCCTCCAGCTATTGCCCCATCGCCTATCTAGCTCACTAATAGATGGCTGGCCTTGTAGGCCTACCGTCCATTCGCGCCAGAGATCCTCCACAGTTCGTACGGCACGGCACATTCGATGCCGAGGCGGCGGCCCTAGCTGCTGGTGCTGCTGGTGCTGCTGGTGCTGGCGCTCGAGTGCTGCTGGCAGAGGGCTAGGTGACCGGGCGACAGGTGTAGCTACAACACTAGCCTGAGCGGAGGCGTATTTGCTAGATGCTATATCTGATAGCAACAGCGACGGCTGTAGCAGATTGCCTGCTATCTGGGGTGCCTCTAGCCGGAACACTAGGCTGCCAGACGTAAATAGCTGCAGCTGTAGAGACTGCGAGCGCTGTAGCTCAAGCAGGCGCTCAATAGACCCGTTAAGCCCCTGAACCCGCTGCTCGTTCCGTGCATCTATGGCCTGGAGCTGGTCTGCTAGCATGGGAATGGCCTGATATAGCACTGATAGCCTGCTAGGCGCTACCTCTGCATCTAGCGATGCCTCAACATCCTGTGCAAAGGCCGCATACGCCTGATGCTGAAATACTGGGTGATTCCATACTGGGTGGCTAGGGAACTGCCGCCGTAGAGCTACAGAATCTTGCAGCACAACCTCCCTGAGATAGAATAGCAGGCTTATAAGGCCTGCTGCAGCAAGATCGTTAACCTGGCCGGCCTGGGGCCCAAAGCGGTCCTTCCATGCATCTAGCTGGGGCCAGATCAGGGAGAGTAGTGCATCTGGTGGCGTTACAGCTGCGCGTTGGATCTCAAAGCAGCCCATCTGCGATGGGTGGCCGGCCATAGTCCTCATGAACTTGCGCGGCAGCGAGTTCAGGTAACAGCCGACCATCTGCTCCTGATTCCACCTGCCAGCGCGGCGGATCTGGTCCTTGCTGATGCCTTTTAGCTCTGCTAGCCTCGCGCCTGCGCTGCGTGGTAGATGGGTCTTTTTTGCTGAGGAGATGCCTGCATACTGGAAGGCCTTTGCAACCTAATCGCGCTGTGAGTTGTATGAGAATGCTGCTGTAGGGCCACCAGTGCTGGCCTTAATAAGCCGTGTGCTATACCAGGCTGAACGTTGGCTAAAATCAGGGAATGGTTCCTCTCCTAGGTCCCAGCGATAAAGAAGGTAGAAGGCTAGGCCGCTAAGCATGCAGAGAAGCGGCTTCCTGTGCCGTAGTGCCCCAATTGTCTCTAGCCGGCCGTGCTGGTTCTGCTTGCTAGCACGGGTAGTAAATATCAGGGGCATGCAGCGCGTAGGGCCCTCCCCCTTGAATTCGAACGTGAATAGATCTGAGATCTCTGCTGCGCGGCGGTCGCCGCCGCGCGTGAGCATATAGTGGCCTAGCAGGAGATCAACTAGCGTGCGGAGGTGGCATTCTGTAGAGGATTTTGCGCCATGCGCCCATAGGTTGCTGCATACGCGCTCAAATTCTTCCTCAGAGTAGCCGTCTAGTAGCGTATCCCTCCCCTTATCGGCGTACTGTTCGCGATCGCGCTGGGCATCCCTTCGCTGCAGAGATCTAAGGTACTCCCGTGCAGTGTCCTCGCGTGGTGATGGGTGGCTATTCATGCCTAGGGCCCGCTGCTCCCGGTAGAGATCTGTGACGGCAGTAACGTAGGTGCGCACTGAGCGCCAGGCAAGGCGCGTTTCGTCCTGAGGGATTTCGCTGGCTATCTTGCGTAACTTAGCCCTCAGGGGCCTGTTGGCTACGTCTTCTACAAGGAATAGCAGTAGCTTATCCTCTGTAACAGTATCGCCGTCGTGGTACTGCTTCCGTGCACAGAATTCCTAGGGAATATAGTTAGCAGATGCGTGTGTATACGCGTGTAGGAAACGCGTGCATGGCAGCTGGCTAGCTAGGCCCTAGCAAGAAATACCTTGAATTCTCGTTGCTTTGGAGTATACACCTGGTGCGTATTCTCTGGCCGTTGCTGCCGTATAGTGGCCAGACTCTCTTGCGCGTTGGCGCGTAGTTCAGCATTGTTCGCAATGGTAATATCCGCGCGCTCGCGGCGCTGCTGGTCGCGTTTTTTTGGCGGCATATCTTCGTGTCCTGGTTCTGTAGGCCTAGCAGGCAACTTGCAGGAAGGGCCTCTCCTCTCTCTATATACGCCATCATCATCTAGCTAGCTAGGCCGTTGTGCAGTGGCAGATGCTGCTGCAGTAGCTATCGTGGTGGCAGGCACGAGAACAAGCAGCCGCTCAGCAGCTATACTGCAAAGGGCAGGGATTGTACAGCGTTTTGATACAGCCACAACAGTTCGGCCAATAGGCAGTACGGTACACGGGCACTCAGCAGCAGGCTCAGCAGTGCCCGTGGAGATTAGTAGATATCCACGGCTGTTGGCGTGCGCTAGGCGTGGATATCCTGCAGATCAGCTGGCCGGGGGCGGCTCACTAGCGAGACAGCTGGCTCAGCGGCGGGTCAGCGAGCCCTCGGACACCAAGAGATGTTTGGGCGCACGTGACAGACCGCCATATCACGGGACCCCAGACTCTTCGTCGGTTGCTATCGCTAAGTTCCCTTAGTACCATGAACCCAAGATCTTCGCAAGCCTTGGCAAGGGCGATATGTCTAGGTGCTTGAGTAGCAGGGTCACGGCAAGGGGCTAGGAAAATACATCTGAACCAGCCTTCATGCGCTTAACGGGGTAAGATGCTCTATCGGTGTTATTGGGACTAATGGGACTAATGGGACTAATAGGAGCAAAAGGATTAAAGCGGCAAAGATGTGGACGAGCGTAGGAGAAGACTCAAGTAGCAAAGGCTTTGTCATGTATCCCAGACACACTCTGCATACCTTCAATTAGCACGTTTAGGATATGCTAATTTTGAGGGATTAGTAGGAAGAGATGCGCAAGTAGATAACGTGGCTGCACCCTGAACATGGATGGACGCTCTCGAAGTGGTTACATTACGGTGTGATCCGCTCTCGATTGAAGGGTTACAGTAGTTAGGTACTACCTACCTACGGGGTGTTTTAATTCAGCCATATTGTGCTGAAAGTTCCTTCAGAACTTCGAAGTCGGACCAGCTGATTCATGAACGCCCCTCCAACGCCAATTTCATGCATCTAAGACCCTCCAAACCCTATCCCCACCTCACTCCAAGATCGCAACCGCAAGCTTCAGCAGCTCCTCGAACCCCTTTCCAACATTCTTCGGATCCTTCGACACCGACTGCCAAACCTCTCCATGCTTCGGCTCGGCCAGCGAGATCTTATTCAGCACCTCCGCTTTCTTCTCATCGGTCCCATGCTGCTCCAGGAACTTGTAGTACCAAGCCCACGCATCGCCGTAATCGCTATCCAGCACCAAAGCCTTCTCGAACCAAGTCGCTGCCTTCTCGAGCCGACGCTCGCCCCAGAAGATGCGCCCCACGACGACAAAGAGCATGGGGTTGTTATCGATTTTCTTGATGGCTTCGAGGGCACGCGGTTTACGCTGTGTGCGGGATTCTAGGTGCATGATACGCTCAGCCCAGAGGAGACCAGAGTGGCCACCGGTTTCTTGCAAAGCTTGCGCCATGACTTTGTTAGCGGCTGGAATATTGCCCGCGCGCCGCTCGAGCCGGACGCTCTCGCAGAGCAGGACGTCGTTCTTCGGGTTTGCCAACTTTCCACGGTCGAGCGCCGAGCGTGCCTTGGTGACGAATCCCTGTCGCTCCAGAATTCGAGAGAGGAGGAGAAACAAAGGTGCGCTCTTCGGGCAGACACGTGTACCCTGGGCGTACGACTGTTCTGCCTGTGGTAGCTTCCCCATAGACTCGTATAGCTGACCTTTCACGGCGTGGAGCTTCCAAGCACCTGGGAAGAAATCAAGCGCTTCGTTGGTCAGGTTTAGAGCGTCATCAACGTTTCCGAGATTTCTCTCAAGCACTATGCTACGAAGCCAAATGCGAGCGGTCGAAGCCTTTTCTCTAGCATGTTTAAGGAACCCTCGTGCCTGATCATGATTTTTCGCATCCACTTCCAGCTCGACAGCTCGGAGATAGATGTTCTCGTTATCGGGGATTGCATCGAATGCTTTGGCAAGAGTCTCTCGAGCCTGGTTGAGTTCGCCAGCATGCCACTGTTCCCGGGCTAGCATGAGCCAAAGCGATTCGGATTTTGTTCCGGATACTGCGTTGACAGACCTCTCCAGAACGCTGACGAGACCGGCGTGAGTGCCATGGTTTTTCTCGAGCTCTGCAGTCGCGTGCCACAGTGTTTTACTCTGAGTAAACACCTTCAGAGCATACCCATACATGGCTCGAGCAGTCGCAAAGTGACCTCGGCCAATGGAAGACTTTGCATCTTTCAGCCAAACCTCCTTGCGATCGTCATCTTCGTCTAGACCCCAGCCGAGTGTTGCGTCGATGATGGCTACGCTAGTACGAACAGCGCCCTCTTCCTCGCATTTCTCGGCCTCGGTTATACAGTCTTCGCGCTTCAACATGGCCTTTTCCTTAGCTAGAGACTTGACCGCGCGCTCCAGAATCTTGTGAACCAGGTCGTCTTCACTACCGAGCTGCTCCTGTAGTCGTGCAGCTGCTACCCAGATTGCCCAGCTTGATTTGATGGCCTTGCGCGCCTGATTGAGAACATTCTGTGCGTCCGTGGGATTGCAGACACGCGCGTAACTAATCCATAGTTCCTCGGAGAGTGGTATGGTCTGTGTCGCTTTGTGAAAGAGCAATTTGACCTCCTCGATGTCTTCTGTCTCATTGATCAATGACTTCCAGAGCTCCACGGATGAAGGAATCGAGTCAATAGCCTGGCGCAGGACCCTCTTACGAGCTTGTGTGGTTGACTCAAGCTCCAGTGCTGCCTGCCATAACTCAACGCTCTTGGAGTTTCCCGGAATTTTCAGAGCATTGGCGGCAATGATTCGACTATTCTGAAGATTCTCGCGATTAATGCGGATGTTCTCCAGCCAGACATCTATACTCCTCGGACAGAGCTCTGCGCCCTGTGCAATGACCTTCCTAGCTCTCGTCACTTTTCCAGCAAACTCCTCAAGTCGGCAAAGCGCCACATGCCCGGGTCCGTTCTTCGGATTCGTCTTGACGGCGGATTCGAGTAGTAGACGAGCACGGTTGAGGTCCTCTACAGGTACTTCGCCCGCCTTGACAGCCGACTTTTCGAGAGAGGTCAGGTATCCCTTTACGTTGTCGATGCTTGTAGCGGTTCCTGAAGTAGAGTCGCCGCCTGCAGACTGAGCCGCGGAATCCAAGCGCACTTGCAGGGCAGATTTCTGTGCAGCTCCAATAGACGCAAAATCCGTCACAGTCCCATCCCCAGCATCTGCCGATATTGAAGTGTCCAGTTGTCCCGCTGATGCAGCCCCCGCGATGACACTGTCCGGCACCGCGTAAAACCGATTGTTCTGGCGTGCTTCGCGAGCTCGCTTCGTTCGTCCAGTCATGTCGCCGACCTCCGGTAGGGCCGCCCATTCGTCTTCCGTAACCGTTCCGAGTGCGCGTTTCAGGTCCGCGAATTGCTGCTGGATTTTGGGGTTCTTACTCTCGTAGTCTTCCCGCTCTCGCTGTTCTCGTTCTTCCCTATACGGATGGAAACGATTTACGTCGGTAATCTGATCATGGAACAAGGATAAATTGACAATCTTGAAAGGATAGGAGGGTGAAAGAAAACTAGGAACTGACCTGCGTGCGCGTCTCCTGCGGTCCATCTTCTCGTCCACTAGTGCAAAGATCTCGTCTGCCTCATCATCATCCCGATCAAAGTTCATGCCCGACGCAAACAGCCCCACTTCATTATCCGGGTCCTGGTATCGGTCGTCATCGTCATCTTCCTCCTTCTTTTCCGTAGCTCCATATGCTGAAGGAGCTGCCTGTCCGAGTTGTGCAGCGCGCTTTGCGAGCATCTCCTTCATTTGCTCCTCGCTAGGCCCCTCCCTTGCAGGACCCAAGTCACTGCGGGTTGTGAATCCGGTGGCACCACGCCCGAGACCAGCGACATAATTCTCAGGCGCCTCCATGGACAGAAAGTCGCGTTTACCCGCCATGGTTGGAGCTGTCGCGGTTCAGAATGAGAAATGTATAGGGTGCCAGGCGGCGACGGCGGAAGAGTCGGGCGAGCGGTGCCCTGTCGGTGGAGAGTGTTGAGGGAACTTTGTCGAAGTTGGAGCTGGTGAGTAACGCGGAGAAGAAAGTTTGGAGCCTTGAAGTCGAGGACTCGCGCTTGCCCAATCAGCGTGAGGGAGCCGGATCTTCTTTTCGCCGATAGTCAAGTGATCCGTGAAACTCAAATGGTAACTCTTGACGCGCAGGAGTGAAGAGCCTGAAGAGATCATTATAGTCTTGAGGGCGCAAGATCACCTTAACTCATATCCTTCTGATGCAGGTCCAATATAAACCCTTTGTGCAGATGACTATATTCTAAGACTCGAAATCCGGCACCCAAAGTCATGGTTGCATCGTTATAGGAGATTCAATGTGGGGTCTCACATGTGGTGGCCTGCAGCGTGCTCTACCAATATGAGGGCCCACTCATTTGGCAGATATGATAATATTGATTATGAAGCCATTTCACTAGTTATGTGGAGATCAAGTTACTAGTCATGAGACTGATGTTGGGCAAATTCTGTACCAAACAAATGCCGTCTGAAGAACACTAGTCAGGATAGAATAGCGAACGAGATAATCAGTGACACGGAGGCCATATATTGCAACTACAGTATCAAATCCCTTCGCATTACTGCTTCATGACAACATCGTAGCCCTTCGGTGGGGTCAGGACAACCGGTTGACCATCGTTCTCATACCACCCGCCGAGCTCGTGTGCCATATGCAGATAGTCTTCTTCTAGAATCGCATCATGAAGGGCTTCAGGAGAGCGATCTCGGTCCTCGTTGTTCTTCGAGGGCGCCAGTGAGAGATCCGTAAGACCCGAGTGAGGCTAACCATAAGAATTAGACGTCTGTAAACACATATGAGGGAAGCTACGGACTAGGACAAGTTCTTGGGAGCTTACAGGAGAGAACTGTCTCAGCTTGACCCCCGCTGCAGCGAAGATTGAGGCGGCTTTAGTGTCGACGCTGTAAGCTTGATTGTACACAACTTCACTGATGCCAACTTGAGTTATCTTGACCGTGCAAGTCAGACAAGGGCAGCTATCGTAATAGGTAAGTAAGAAGTTCCAAGTAGGAGAACTATGTACAGATTGAACATACGTATTGCAGTACAGGATGGAGTCTTCGCGGATTCGATCTCGGCCAGCTTCGAGGAGGGCATTCTCCTCCGCATGCAGGCACAAACAAGTGCCTAGATCTGCCCCAGCGTGGGAGCCTTCGTTACATCGGGTGCCTGTGGTAGCGTGTAAGCATTTTGAAAATTTACTAGCTTAGAAATGTACGTTTTCGGAGTACAAAAGCCGAATAATTAGTGAAGACACGTACATCCTCCCTCGTTGCAATTTCTTAGCCCACGAGGTGTCCCATTGTACCCAGTACTAATCACCCTTTTCTCACGCACCAAGACACATCCAACGCGTCTCTTCATGCAGTTACTTCTATGAGCTGCCAAATCTGCCAGCTGCATAAAGTACTGGTCCCAGCTTGGCCGTAGACGTGACTCGTTTGGTAGATCAAGGGCTGCCAAGGAGGTCTTCAGGGAGGCTAAAGAAGTGGTAGAATTTAGGAGCTTGACATGGGCGCGGTGGAGCAGGGGTGCCAGGCCAGTAATAGGGGTGTATAGATGTGCGTCATTTCTAAGGACGAACTCTCCAAGAAGTGGTGGGGTCAATTTGTGAGATGCGCAGCTGTCGAAGAGGGTAGTGTCAGAAGAAATGTTTCTCAAATGGCCGAAAAAGACACATGTGATTTCAGGGAAGCAATCCACCTACCGAGATCGAAATCTCTCCCATCGAATGCTGACTGGTGCTTCTACGCTGACAAGGAGGAAGAAAGGGCGTCTCATAAGGGCATCGACAACGCTCTCGTCCCATATATCAGTCGTGACCCAATGCTCGCGCCATCGTAGCGTCACAAAGTCAAGCAGCGCGTCGACGTCGGGAAATGACGCGTCTCCGTCGTCGGTATTGTATTCTGGAGTAGGCACATGTGCGTTGGAGGCGGATTTTTTGACGGCTGGGGTGGACGCGGTGCGGGCCAGGGAGATGCGTCGAAAGCGGTGCTCCTCGATCAGATAGGTGGCGATCGCGCTCTTTCCGGCGCATATGCCTAAATAGAACAGAGTCAGAAAAGTGCTTCATACGGGGGAGAAACTGTTTGCTGCGTTGACTGACCTCCACAAAGCCCAATAAGCATTATGGGCGCGTTCCTGGATCTACGCGGACAAGGAACCTTTGACCCACGCCGCCTGTATCCTGCTCTCCATACTGCGCAGCAGCTTCGAATGGACATTCACCACATCCACGCGCAGGTAGTTTAACACTTCATCTTCGCGGAGCAGTAAGTCCGGGTTCCGCGGCGATATCTCGGTTGAAATCCGAATCGTCCCGCCGTGCCTGAGCATTGATGTCAGCGGGCTGGAGGGGCAGGTGAAGGTGTGTGCTTCGGGAGCTCCCACTGACGCCTGATGATGATAGCTGAAACCCTGCACCGCTGACCAGCTCACCACGCGCAAAGGTGAATGCGAGGTATGACTCTACCTCTTCTATTTCTGCCCTCTTCTATTTCTACCTTCTTCTGTCTCCACTCACACACTTACCCACGACACAAATTGCTCTAGACACAACCGCCACCATGGGAGACTCTATCAAGTACGCGACCTGGGCGACCGACATCGACATACAGTTCTACTCCGCTCTGGCTCATATCAAGATCAACCATGACAAGCTCGACGACTCGGCGCGCAAAGTGCTGGGCCTCTACGAGGTGCGCCCCGGCGACCCACCCTCACGCTCGAACCGCATGCAGATTCACGGAACCGCGTTGACGACGGACGAGTGCGTATGGCAAGGAACACTGCAGAATATAGACTGATTCGGTTAACAGAACACCTGCAAACTACTTTCGGGCCGAGGGTATAATCAAGAACTGCAATACTATTGAGGACTACAAGAAGCTCGACAGGAGCGCTGTCATCGAGCGCGCCGGTCGCACTGTGAGCTTTCACTACCCCGAAAGCTGGACGTCATACTGACTTTGACAGATCTGGGAAGCTGTACACGATGGCTCCATATACTCCTGTCCCTCCCTACTCGCCTCATTCACCGCGATCTCCTTCGCCGACTTGAAGAAGTACAAATTCACCTTTCACTTCGGATATCCGGCTATCCACTCGGACCCCGTATGGAAGCCTACCAGAGAACCGACGCGCCTCACAACCAAAGAAACAACCCCGCTGGTGGAGTCGGTATCAACATGGCGGTATAGGGTCGACCCGCGCCAGCGGGGCTTTTTCATTGCGAAGAAAGTACACGATTTTCCAAGCCAAGCGGTAAATACAGAGGACCGACCAACGACACCTCAGACACCTGCTTACGATATTGACTATACCTGGGTAGTGGACTCTCTAGAGAAATATGAACAGGGCTTCTTCAGCGATGTTGCCCCGGAAGACCGCTATGTTGGATTCGCAGACCCATCCACGTTTCCGGATAACCCAGGGTGGATGTTGCGGAACCTGTTGATTCTAATAAGGCATCGTTGGCGTCTTGAGGAGGTCCAGATCCTTTGCTTTAGGGACACGCATTTGAAGCGCGACCAGGCCAACAGCATCATTCTAGATCTCAAGTCCGGTGAACCCCTCCCACCGCTCGCGCCTGAGGATCCGAACGCTCGACCTAGTACTCCCAAGTTGCCTAAAGTCACTGGATGGGAACGCAATGACGGCGGCAAGATCGCTAGCCGAGTGGTAGATCTCTCGGAGTACATGGACGAGCGCAAACTCGCAGACTCAGCTGTGGATCTGAATCTCAAGCTCATCAAATGGCGGATTGCACCCACACTCGATCTCGAAGTTATCAAAAATGCCAAATGTCTGCTCCTCGGCGCAGGAACTCTAGGTTCATATGTCTCCCGAAACCTCATGGGCTGGGGGGTGCGCAAGATAACATTTGTCGACAATGCGAACGTCAGTTTCTCGAACCCGGTTAGGCAGCCACTATTCGACTTCAAAGACTGCCTGAAAGGTGGGGCCAAGAAGGCTCAGCGCGCGGCTGAAGCACTTGAGGAGATCTACCCAGGCGTCGATTCTGCTGGACATGTGATGTCTGTTCCTATGGCGGGCCATCCGATCACAGATGAGAAGAAAACTAAAGCCGAATTCGAGCTTCTACAGAAACTCATTGATGAGCACGATGTCATTTTCCTCCTTATGGACACGCGCGAGAGCAGGTGGCTTCCCACAGTAATGGGCAAAGCTGCCGGGAAGATTGTGCTCAACGCTGCCTTAGGTTTTGACACCTTTGTTGTCATGCGACACGGGCTGAAGTCTAGCGATCCCGGCGAAGAGGAGCTTGGATGCTACTTCTGCAACGATGTCGTTGCCCCAGCTGATGTAAGACCGGGTTTCACTCATGATACTGGCTGCCAGGCCCTTGCTGCCGATGCTTGGTGAAGTAGGCAAATGTATTAAACACGGACTAACCATCTCTCAGTCCATCAAAGACGCGACACTAGACCAACAATGTACCGTCACACGCCCCGGTATTGCTCCTCTCGCCTCATCTCTCCTCGTCGAGCTCCTCGTGAGCATTCTCCAGCACCCCCTTCGAGCTCGTGCTCCTGCGACCTCAAACAACAACACTCAAAGAGCGCCTTCTGTAGCTCCAACGACATCCCACCCCTCTCTCCCACCTCATTTCGTGCACCCTCTTGGCGCACTTCCACACACGATTCGCGGCTTCTTGTCATCCTTCAGCAACATGCTCATCTCAGGCAAGCCCTACGATTGTTGTTCAGCGTGCAGCGATGGCATCATCAATCTGTACAAGGAAAACCCATGGGGCTTTCTAAAGCGAGCTTTGAATGAGCGGGGCTGGGTTGAGGAGGTGAGTGGCTTGGCAGAAGTGCAGAGGCGGGCTGAGGAGGCGTCGGCGGGCTTGGAGTGGGACGAGGAAGAGGGCGAATTCGCGGAGGAAGAGGGTGATGGTGAGTTGTTGTAGGATGGATGTCCGACCAAAGTTGTCTCTAGTGTGAGGCCTCTCAATTATGCGAATCTGTCAGAGGTTGTTATTTGAAATGTTCGGATGGTAGGCCATATTGGGTATCTGTTTGGCGATAGGTCCCGGCGTTTCATGAGCAAGGCCGGTTTGCCTTGGTGTTTTGGAAATCCTTGGGCTAGGTCGGGTGTTTGTGCACAGCATCGTTTCCTCCTATCTTCAACTTTGTCAAGAATCAAAGGGGATAACCCCATGTTACATGAAGGCTCGGACGATGAGGTTTGACTTGAGCGTAGCTAACAGCTCCTGACTATGTTTTGGAAGCAGCAGCGTTTTAGACATCATCTGGAGGCACGTAAGTGAAGCATCAATCCTCCCAATTTTCATTAAACAAATGACTAACTAAGCCCTCCTAGAATCCTCTCGGCGCCGTATGTCAGGAACCATGAATCACATCCTGTTACCCAAGACCATGTCCTACGCTCAGCGTCCTAAATCCACACCCTTCACCGTGCTCTCCCCCTCAAGTCCAGCATCGTCCTTTCCCAAGCCCAACCGGTCGCTTTTCCGCTTACGCCCTCGCTCCCCCAACCTCTTCCAAACCCATCCCACATTTGCTCTCATCCATCGTCGTATGCGCGCACGCCGGTGATACGCATGCAAGACCGCCGACACCGCAATAATAACCAGAACAACGAGGGTGCCTTTGACAACGTTACTAGCAATAACGCGTTTGCGTGCTCGGTATCGATTCGTGGACTCGATCTGATGGGGCCGGGGTCGGGGTCGGGATTGGTGTCGTTGACGAAACTTCAAGACAATGGAGAAACGGCGAGCTTTTGGTGTTGTGGGGAAGAAACGAGTCAGCAGACCTGCTGCTGTGCGGAAGAGGAGCGCTCGCATGCGCAGCATGGTGAGTGAGCGGACCCATGGTGGTATGGGGGTTTTAGTAGTTGGGATAGGTGGATTCTTGGGGGTGGCTGGGAGGTATGTTCGTCGTGGAGGATGAGGAATGTGGTGGGTATGGGATGTGGCTGACGAACTATTTAGCCACCAGATGTTACGAGTCGAATACTTCGCTCGCTCGGGACTAGCCATTAGCACGGCGAGCTCGCAGACAGAGTTTTGGCCATATTTCGTAGCTTGCTCTTGTGTCTTCACGTGGTGCTTCAATTCCTTTGCTCGTTTCCTATTTTTCCCCTCACCCTTGCTTCCGCCTCATGGACCTCAGCCGCAACTGCTGAACGCCATCTATCTTTCCTCGCTCGGCCAAGGAAACCGATGGGCGAGCTCTTCATTTGGCGTCATGTCCGATTATTCATTGACCTTGCGTTCGGGAATCGGTTGTCTCAAGCCCCCAAACCCTCTGCACAAGATGTCGTTTTTCAGGCGCAGTTGTATAGGTGTCCTTTGTTCTGGTTGAGGCCTCTGCTGCATTATGCAAATTCTGTCGGCGGTCGCCAAAGAAGCGAACAAGGTGCATGGAAGATTGTTCGGCTCTTTGTTGCTTCCATTCGCTCCACAGAGGCCTCGAACCTCTCTTCATTCCAAGTCAGGAATCTTCAATTTCATCTGTCTAGAAGACAACTCCAACACTGATGGCAAAAGATTAACTAAAACACACTTTATAGTCAGATTGGCTAAATATGGTTCTAACCCGCTCTTAAACCGCGAAGTTGGTGGACAAAACAAAGCGATTTTCAACATCGGATGAGATAATGCTTCTCGCCGCTCATACGGCGGCGAAAAGGTCTGTGGACATGGCTCGGTGGACTCTAAGGGGGTTTGATTTTTCCCGACCAGGCCTGTCAGGCTCTTCAGGATTGCGAAACCCAGATTCCGACACGTCAGAGTTCTCTCCCCACGACCAGTACATACGTGTTCTGTCCGCCGGCAGTGGTGTCCATGGTAGCGTGTTCTTCTGTATTGAACGCGAGATCTTCGCACAAGCTCTGATATCAGGTAGGCCGCAGGAGACGTTAGCATCGCTTGAAGGCCATGTATGTTGCGTGAAGATAGTAAAACCAACCCCAAGGTGGCTCTCCAGGTCTTACCCAATGCCACAAGCGAGATGGCGGCCTTGAAGACGATACGGCAATCACAAAGCCCGATGATAGTCCACGTCGCAGAGCTGATCAAAGCTGATATCAAGAATGGGCCAAGAGGATTCTGCTGGATTGCAAGCCGAGCCATCCTGGGCCCAACATTGGAGCATGTATTTTTACCTCCGCAGATGGCGTGGCATGTCCTACTTCAGCTGGGAGACGCAATAACCTTCATTCACAGCCTACGCATGGCACATGATGATATAACGCCCGACAACGTCATGCTAGATCATTCCCGCGAGTCTTTTCCGGGCATGCCAAACGCTGTTCTGGTCGATTTCGGCATGCTTCGTTGTTGTACGAAAATCCCCTCGAACCTCGTACTGTTCTTCCGAAGGAGGAACTTTCACAGGTAGGAGACCAACTATATCATTACTACAACGATGCTATAGGGCTTTGCAAAACGGTGTGGCATCTAATAGCCCAGGGGGAGTGGGACCAGGACCTCGGTCGGTTAGGGCACTTCATGGCAGTTGTTGCGACTGCTGATAATATCATAGATGTGGTAGAGAGACTGCCTCAGCATAATTTCCTCGAGGCTATCAAGGAGGAGTGAAATGACGAGGCTCTCACTCAGCGGGCCTCTATATTACCAGCTGCTTTGAATGCGATGAAGGAAGATATTGCGAGTAAACGAGTTTCACTGGATGATGCCATCGCCGCTGCTATTGACGATCATCTAGAGCAGACCGGTATTGGTGAGAAGTAGTGGCGACTACGAGGCTGTGTATAGACAGAAGTAACTGATTGCTTTGGCGACACTTGTGAGAGTTCTAGAGCTAAACTTTGCAGATGTCAAATATCTTACACATTGTGTAAATGGATACTTCATACTTGAAGCAAAATTTGATGGTATAAGGAATGCCATTTGATTAGCGAGTGGTGATGCACATAGAAGGCAGAGAGGAAAGGAAGATCTGAGACTAATCACGTGACGTGTTACTTTTAGGCTAAGCGAGGACACCTCTTGAGACGTCAACCCATGTCCAAGTTCACTCCATCACTTCCGCATCAAAACACCAAGTTCTTTGTCGAAGTGTATCCTGCCTGACCAGAATCTCTCATCCTTCTCTCCCAGCCTCGGCTTTTCCAGGCTTGTGCGCAAAATGTCCACTTCTATCCTCTCAGCCTCAGCTAAAGGGGCCACCTTTCTCATCCTCCTTCAAATTGGTTCGCGACTGGTCACCTTTGCTGTCAATCAAGTTCTGCTTCGTTTCCTTTCTCCAGAGCTCCTGGGAGTGTCTGCACAGTTCGATCTCTTCTCTATCTCCGTCCTCTATTTTGCCCGAGAGAGCCTTCGAGTGGCTTTGCAGCGCCAAGCCCATGGCACTCAGACGGTGGTCAACATGTCCTATATGGCCTTGCTTATTGGAGTACCATTGATATACGCTCTCGGCATTTCGTGGCTTATGACAGAGACGCCCGATGTTCCGTACTTTGTCGACGCCTTGAACATATACTGCTTCGCTACTTTTATCGAGCTTCTCGCGGAACCACCTTTCGGAGCTGCGCAGCAAAAAATGCTCTACAGAGTCAGAGCTACTTCGGAATCTGTTGCTACGATTCTGCGATGCGTTGGTACCTGCGGATCCGCCATCTGTGCTAGCTGGGCGGGCATTGACATTGGGGTGTTGCCTTTTGCCATTGGGCAGCTGGCATATGCTCTTGGACTGCTTGTGACATACATAGTCCGGTTATGGCGAGTATCAAAATTTGCGAACTTCTCTCTTCTTCCTCAGCATCTTCCCTCAACGTAGGAATCTCCGTTTTCTTTCCAAATGATTTCGCTCACAACTCCTAGAAAAGATACCAAGTACTACTTGTCTTACTTTTCCGCCCCCTTAACTCGTCTCACCGCTAGTCTTTTCGTGCAATCCAGCCTCAAATATATTCTCACACAAGGCGACTCAATTCTTATTGCATCCCTCACTACTCTCGGAGATCAAGGTGCCTACGCTCTCGCTGCCAACTACGGCGGCCTCATTGCCCGCATGCTCTTCCAACCGATTGAAGAAAGCAGTCGGAACTTATTTGCGAAACTGTGCGCTGAGGATCCGACCGCTACCGCCGAGAAGTCATCGAAGCCATCGCCCAAATCGACATCAGACTCAAAGTTGAAATCCGCACCCTCAGAAGGCATAATCCAAGCCCGCGCCATCCTAACCATTGTCATGCGCTTTTACTGCACCATCTCTCTTCTCGCTGTCGGCCTTGGTCCAACCCTGGCGCCTTTCCTCTTGAGTCTCGTCGCGGGGCAGAAATGGTCCTCTACCGGCGCTGGAGAGGTTCTTTCCAACTACGCCTACTATATCCCATTCCTAGCCTTGAACGGAGTAACGGAGGCATTCGTAGCGGCTGTAGCGTCGAGTCGCGAGCTGCATTTGCAAAGCGTCTGGATGTTTGTATTCTTCGGCGGCTTCGCAGGGAGCGCGTATTGGTTCCTGGAGGTTCAAGGGCTAGGCGCGACGGGAGTGGTGTATGCGAATTGCGTGAACATGGCAATGAGGATATGCTGGAATGTATGGTTTATTCGGAGGTGGTTTGCGGCGAGGGACGTTGTAAGTCTTTTGCTCTTCTAAACACGGCGGCGGAGATGGGATTCCTCGAAAGGAACGAATTAATAACGCGTTACAATTCTAGCCCTTCGATTTCAATTCTACCCGTCCTAACGCCGCAGCTATCTGGATGGCTGCCACTATGCCCTGGGTTTTCTCTCGTACAGATGGGATGTTTTCACAACACGGCCTCGTTGGTGACCTTGTCCGCCTTGGAGGAGTTTCTGTAGGATATTCGGCACTTATGTAAGTGTTTTCCTCTCTCCACACCGTCCTTCTAGTATCATCCTTCCAATGCCTAGGTATTCGCTAAGCTGAATGAATACTGACGCTGGCAATAGACTCGGCTACGAGGCCAATTTCCTCATGTCATGCTACCTCCTCGCCACAGGCAAGAAGACCATTGCCGAGATGAAACCCTCGTACCTGGCTCCGGGGTTCATATTTAAGGACTTCTAACAACTCAGAAGAAGCTGTGAGGGGGCCTATAGGTAGTCGAGGCAATAAAAGCGCCGATTCTGGGCTGATGAACCGCAACAACCCAATCTTAGACCTCGCCGCTCTCTGCAGACACGACGGTCCATCGAAGAAGCAGAGACATAATACATCAATCTAAGAACCACAACACACAAGGATGTCGCAAATTTCACCCTTCAGCTTTACAACACCACTAACCCACCCCCATCCCTTTCGCACCAAGCATCACCTCACCTCACCTCAGCCCAACTCGGAACTCGGAAACTCCCCTTCTACCCTCCCTCCCTCACGGGAAGCCTCGGCCCCCCGAGCGTATCCACTCCCTTTCCGAAACCCCCTCCCCCTCCCCTCTAGCAACCTTCGTGCATCTCCAAAAGCAAGAACCACTCAAACACAAGCAAACTCCTCCATGACGTCAGGCACCCGCGCCCGTGCATAACCCCTTCCGTCCAGCTCAAGCACATGGCTCGGACCAAAGGTACGTACCCATCCATCTACCCCCAAACCCACGCGCTACACCATCTCGCTCCTATTCCTCCCGCGTTTCCCCTTTCCGCCGGCCCTGGGGCGGAGCGGAGCGGGCCCCGGCGCTTGCACGTGCCAGCGCCGTTTAGCCAGTTGGGCAAATCTCGCCTGCGCTCGCCTGCTTTTCGCCTGTGCTGCTAGCGCGGCTAGGCTAGGGATTACGTGCATAGAGCATCGGGTCCACAGTATGTATGTACATAACACACATACAAACAAGGAGCGGAATAGAGTGGGCCCTCTGGTGATTAATGCTTCTGGAAAGGGCATCAACGAGGGTTCCCGGGGTCGGGTGGAGCCGGGTGCGCGTGTTCACATGTTAGTTTTGGGTGGTTAGGTGGGATATTGGGGTGAGGAGACGGTTGCGAGCTTGTCACATGTGGGATACTGGACCGAGTGGGACCTAGGAGAGGGAAGACCCACGTGGAAAAGCCCGCTGTAGTACCTAGGTATTCATAGACGAAGTCAGGGCGTGGAGTCGAAATAGAGTGAGTGGGACCCCAGGGCAGGGAACGTGGTGAAGAGTGGGACACGTGGGGTGGTTGGGTAGGTGGGCATCACACCACTCCCACAACCGAACGAACGGCACCGCCACTCTTTTGCCCAGGCTTGTGGGCTAGACGATTTCACGATGCGGCGCGTGCGTGCGCGAATCACATCATGGCCACCGTCACGTCGTTTTCAAAGACACGGGATAGAGTAATCAGCGACTAACAAACATTCCATTCCATTTCAATCCTCCGAGAAAGCCAGGCTGCTGGCACACCACTTCTCAGATCTAAGCTACTGTACGAATCCAGGCGCTGTAGACAAGCTACGAAGGGAAAGAGAGGGTATCTATGTTCCGCTCCAGCCCCAGCCCCGTCCCGTTTCGTATGTGATCCCCGAGTTTCCCAGTTCGCGGATCGCGAAGGCCCTGTCTATACCATGATAAAGAAGGAAAGAGGCAAAGCAAAACGCCCAAAGGGAGACATTATAGGGAGATCATCATGAAGAAAACAGGGCACAAATATAGAGAGATAAGATAGGTAGGAGAGGTGTTTTAGGGGATGGGGAGGTAGAGAGGACTACAAGTGGGCAGCAGCACGGACACCATTCGTGGCGTGGCCGTTGGTTTCCTGGGAAAGACCGCTCGCTGTAGCGACGAGCTGTGCAACCTCGTCTTCGACGTTCTCACGTTCGTTGAAGGGGTTGTACATGCGGGCCCGGATGTATTCGTCGAGCTGGCCGTCGGTGAGGTTACGGATGGCAAGCTCGCGGTCGACGCCGTTGTCCTGGGCAGCGCGGATAACACCACGGGTAACGGTAACGCTGACTTCCCGGATTCGGCGAATGTCGGGGTACAACCACCCGTCGGCGACCTCCTGGGGGTTGAGAGCAGTCGAGAGCGATTCGGCGGAGGCATAGATCATGTCTTGGGTGACGCTGACGGCCTTGCTGAGGATGGCACCGAGGCCAATGCCAGGGAACACGTACATGTTGTTACCTGCATATATCAGATTAGCCTGCGTTCTCGGGGAACTCGACGTCGGGAAATGACGGAGGAAGATACTGACCTTGGCCGGGAGTGAGATTCTTCCCACCGAAGTCCAACGAGGGGAAGGGGCTGCCGCTGGCGAACAGAGCTCGGCCCTCGGTATACTTGATGGCTTCCTCGAAGGTGCACTCCGACTTGGAAGATGGGTTGGACAGGGGGAAGATGATGGGCCTATCGTTTAGCGCGGCCATTCGCTGGAGGATATCCCTGTTGAAGGCTCCACCAATGGTAGAGAGACCCATCAGGATGGTAGGCTTGACATAATCGATGAGACGGCCCAAGCTCTGTATTTGCTTGCCCTCGTTGTCATCCCGGGCGAAATAGACCTTGTGGTCCGCCAGCTTGTCACCACGATCTGAAGTGACGAGACCCTGTCGACAGTCAGCATGGTATCTAGGATGTCCGGTCTCCGAAAGCTTACGTTTGAGTCCACAAACCAGAACTTCTTGCGGGCCTCATCTTCCGTCAAGCCTTCCTTCATGAAGTATTCGACAATTTGCTTTGCGACGCCTACACCAGCGCTACCAGCCCCCAAGAAGATAGCACGATGGCCCTTGGCAGGAACGCCACTATGCCTAACAGCGTTGATGAAACCGCCAACGATCACGGCACCAGTTCCCTGGACGTCATCGTTGAAGCACGTGTAGGTATCGCGGTATCGTTCGAGAGCTGGGAAGGGGTTCTTGAAATCCTCAAACTGGATCACGATTCTGTCACCCGATTAGTCCGTAACCTTAGACGGAGCGTGGGATCAGAACTTACCCAGGCCACTTCTCGGTCAAGGCGGCCATTAGCTCGTCCAGGAAGTCCCGCTCCTCTTCGGGGGAGATCTTGGGCACTCTGCTGCCCATGTATAGGGGGTCCTCCCAAAGAGCCTTGTTATTTGTGCCCAGATCCAGCTGGAGAGGCAGTGTCGCAGTAGGCCGAATGCCTGCGCACGCGGTGTAGAGGGCCAATTTTCCTACTGGAATACCCATACCGTTCACACCAAGGTCTCCGAGACCCAGAATCCTCGACCCATCCGTGACGACACTAATCTCGACATTGTGAGGCCAGTTTTGGAGGATCGTGTGAAGATTGCCCTTGTCCGTGTATGAGAGGTAGAGGCCCTCGGGCTGCGTGTAAATTTCTGACCACCGAACGCAAGCTTCGCCAACAGTGGGGGTGTAGATGAGGGGGGTCAATTCCTGTGCGCATTGTAAGCTTGTTTTCACTACTAGAGATGTCCTAGCATTTCTTACCTTGATATTTTCTGAGAGTAATCGGTAGAAGAGGTGGACGTTGGTGGCCCGGAGATGAGTCAGATACTGGTATTTCTCAATCGGCGTCGGCTTCAGCGCCAGAAGATTGAGACCTAGGTCCAGTGAGCTTTGATGTATCATTGCAGCAATTGCGACTTTCCGTACATCTCTTTGCTTGCACCTCGAAGCTCTCAACAGCTGGAGGTGTCAGGCCGTAGGTTCGGAGGTACTTGCGGACCTCTGGCGTGTTGGCGGTGTCAAAGTCACCACTCCTATCAGCCGGTCAGCGATTGGAAAGCAGAAATAGAATGAGAACACGAACGTGGTGCTGGGTAGCCTGGGTACCAACGGTGAGGCATGGTGTTGTGCCTGTTTAATATTGGCTTGGGCGAAGTCGAGGGAAGCCATGGCGCGAGTTTGGGTAAAAGGTTTGGAACTGGAGATGAATGATGGACGGAGGAGGGTTTTCTGGAGACAGCTCGCGAGGGGCAGGGCACCTTTTAAGGCACTGAGGGTGGGCATGGACGAGGATTTGGTGTAGCAGGGCGCGGCATAGGGTGCCAAAAGAAATAGTTAGGATGGGCTTCGAGGGGGGGTGAACGGGAGCGGAGGGCAAGCAGCCTATCGGGGGGCAGCAGTTGGCGGCAGAGTCAGTGCCAGTCAGGTTGTTCTGCGCGTGGAGTGCTTCTGAGGAGAGCCGGAGGCGCTGAGGCGTTTGGGACGCTCATTGTCACAAAAATATTTCCCGCCTGAGCGTCGAGGCCGCGCCGGGGATGCTAGCAGCGTCCCGGCCTGCAGGGCTGCGCAGAGGCCGTGCAGTGGCCGCCACTGCTCAACAATTGCAGGATGAATCGTGGGGGTCGGGCGCTATCGGGATGGCCAGAGACGTGGTCAGAGTCCACTCCCACATGGCCAGTGTGCCAGCACCCGTCGAGCCCTCTCTGCAAACCGCGATCAGCTGCGCCTGGCAGTGCCCAGCAACAGAGTCCGCCTGCGTGTCTGCGTGTCTGCTTCTTCCAGCGTCTCTGAACAGCACGGGTCCGGCCGGCGAAGGCCATTTGCAGGCCATGTCCGAGCTCGTCTTGATTTGAGACAGGTCGTTAAATCCCTCTTCTTCGAATAAGCACATCATTCGGTATCTGTGCGCCCGTCTTACACTGGTTTCGGACGGGCTTCGGGCGGCGTCTGTCTCTGGGAGCCTCTGTTGCTGCCGGAGCGGACCTTGGGGGAAGTCTATGTATCTATGGACGGGGTCGACCGTTCAGCTGCAACTACACTGACGCTTTCACACCGATTGTTGATATCACACTGCCCGTCCAACCAGAGCATCATGCACCTAGTTTCGTTGAGCTGCACACGACACTCGTAATCTCCGCCGCCTGTGGAGCGGTCAATCCGGAGCTGCTGCCGGTGCGTGTGGAAGGGCGCGCGACTCCACAGTCAGTGAGGACAGCGCAACCAAGGCAGGTAGTCCGCGACGCCCTGTCCACGAGCTATTCTTGCCGTCCAAGACGACTCCAGGTTTCCCCGCAGTCCATCTTGCCGCTTTCGAGCAAGCGTGGAATTCACCTTGGGGAAGGAGACTTAAGCTACGGTTCGTTCCGAATAGCTGCAAAACTGGAGTCATACGGGCCTCGGTCTTCTAGCCTGGTGGAACTCCAGCCGGCTCGAAGCCATCTGCTGCAGCTGCTCTTCTCTGTTTCGAACTGATGCTCCGGACATCCGATAGCACTTTGAGCGGGAGAGCAGCGATTCGCTTCCGTTGAGTCGACTGAGAATCGCAGTCTCGGGCTTCTACATATCATCAGCACCCGGAGAGCACGACCTGCGGGCAGGCTGAATCTACTGCCGGATCAGTGTGTACGCTGCTTGCACATGACGGACCACGGAAGATCCACATGCTGTCGCCAATGAGAAGAGGTATGAGGCGCAGTCCCTACGCTTTCCCACAGTTCTAGAGTCACACGTGCAGTGACGCTGATGTACCTCTTTTGAGCGAAGATGAAGCTTTATGCCAACCGTACACGGCATGGCTTCATCTGCAGTTTAGGCGGGATGGGCGGGGCAAAAAGACTGTCGCTCTGGACTCTGGAACATGATCACCACCAGGTTGTTGCTTGGCTCATGCGTCATCGCTAGCTCCTGTCGCGACTGCGGAGTACGACCGTGATGCGCAAATCATGACGACCAACACGGCACGCGACCTTGGTTCAACAACGTCTTCGTTGGCCTGAGCAGAGTCTTCAATTCATCCCGCAGTGGAGTTCATCCCTCTACACCTCTTTTCACCATGTCTTCCTGCTTCGGTTTCCGCAAGTCGCGAGCTGACGACCGCCAGCCATTGCTGCCTCAGTACCACGATGACACGGCTCTCCAGAGACAGGTGCACCAGAAGCTCCACTCGTATCAGATGTACAGAGCTCTGGCCAAAGGTTTCATGCCCTCGAACGAACAGGTCCTCATCAACCTGCGGACATTGACAGCTGCCGACATCCTCAATCCCGACAACCCAGACCTGAGTGATTCTGGCCGCTTGCTGGTCAAGTACACAAAGCAATGGCTTCGAGAGTTCATGGAGCTTCTACAACACAAGAACAGCGAAGATCAGATTCAAGACTTCATCTGGTTCTTGTCCAAGTCCAAGGTGTCTGTTGATGTGGACGACCTAGCTGAGAGAGCTTCCAAAGCCAAAGCTAAGGCAGACACAGCCGCAGGTAAGCTACCTCCGAGTCTTATATGAATCAATGCTAACAAATTTAGCCTACCAGAGCCTGCAGACTGTTGGCTCCCTTCTCCTTACCAATTCTGACTTCCGCCTCTTCCTCTCAGACCTCAACGTCATCGGACGCGAAGTCTTCAAAGACACCGCTTTCAAGCTATCTTCAGTAGCTAAGGAAGCAGGAAACAAAATCGAGCCCTCCAAGACAGAACAAGATGCAGTCAAGGAACCTGGAGCTGGCTCCGGTCCTCCTCCTTCTGCTGACGACCTCAACGGCGATCTCGTCGATGTTGCCAATGTAGTCGGCAATGGTGCTGTCAAAGTTGCAAAGGAGGCAGAGAGCAGTCTGGAAGACAAACTGACTGGAGATGAGAAGGATACCCTGATTTACCGGTTGAAGCAGGTCGTTCTGAACCTCAGGAAGCGGAGGGACTACTCTGATTCAGTGTCCACCATATCGACTCTGATGAAGCGCTACGCTATGGTGTATTCCCGTGCTGTTCAAGAAGCTGTCGACACGACTCAAGAGGATGTCAACACCAACAGGGCTTTGGACAAGGCCATGCAAAACTTCTGGATCCTCATAAGCTCCTTTGGAGACAAGAAAGAGTGGGAAAAACTGGAAACCGACTTCAAGCAGGTCATGGGCCACCGCGAGAATGACCCAGAGTTTGAGGACTTGATGACTGACATGGGCAATTCTCTAGAGAAGCTCCTGACTGACCCAGAGTTCTTCGACCACGCCGACGAAAAGTTCCAGGAGTTGAGGGCAAAGTCTCGCAAGGTTGGGACAGAGTCATCCCTCCGCGATGATGTCGACAAGCTGTTTGGACAAATTCAAACTACCTTCTACTCCGTTGTTGAGGACCAGGACATCGCACGGCTATTGAAGACTTCGATGAAGCTTTTCAACATCCTTTCACCAGCCCATGCGTATACGAGTGGAGAATTAGTCACAGATGCTATTAACGTATTTGTTCCTATGTTCATTCAAGCTATACAATACGTGCCTATCCCTCGTCTTGAGATTTCCACTCCAGACGTCGATCTCCTGCTTGAGAACCTCATCATCGAGCCAGGTCGGACGATCAACCATAGCTCCTTCCTTCCCTATAGGCTCCGCGTCGAGACGTACAACGACTTGGAAATTCGAAAAGCTCGCTTCAGAACAACCTCCAAGGTATCTTCACTCGTGACCATCAAACTAGACGGCCTTTCTCTCAAAGCCGACGAGATCGGATTCCTCCTTCGAGCCCATTCGGGTATCCTCCGACTCGCAGATGAAGGCATTGCCTCCTTCGAACTGGACGAGCGAGGCATCGACATCCACCTAGATGTCGAAATCGGCAAAGAAAAGCTCGAGAAGATCTTGACGTTGAAGGCCGTGCGTGTTCACGTCCACAAACTTACTTACTCCATGCGTAAAAGCAAGTTCTCATTCTTCGGCTGGCTTCTGAAGCCCCTTCTGCGGCCTATCATCCGAAAAGTCATGGAGAAGCAACTCGCATCAGCTATTGCCGATGGCATACATGCTGCCAACCGAGAGTTGCTGTTCGCTCGCGAGCGCCTTCGTGCCACCCAGATTTCCGACCCGGATGATATCCGCACCTTCTTCAGAGCAGTCATGACACGCTTGACGCCTGAAGACGATCCCGATTTATATACCAGAGTCGGTGTCGCTGAGCCCGGTAAAGGTGTCTTCAAAGGTAAGTACGCTCCAGGCAGCATCGTCAAGCTTTGGGAAGACGAGGCTACTCGAGCCGGAGAGAGGGTTGAGGATTACGACCAAGGCGGCTGGAGGAACGAAGTCTTCGACGTTCATACTATGAACATGACTTGAGCATAGTGTCCAGCGGCAGTTTTATGGGGCTTCTTGATGTCTGTATTACTTGGCGAGCTTTATGATCGCGCGGTATTCTGCCCTTCACGTGTTTGTATTGTGGAGTGGTTTGGAGGAAAAGTTCTGATTTTATGATTAAAAGTGGGAGGGAAACACTTACTAGTTAGTACATAATGGCTAGTTTTAGGATGAATCTTTATCACCTTAAATAAACTCCCTTTCGTCCTGACATCTTTCAAGTCTTCAACTAGAAGGTAGAAACCAGTGACTTGCCAAGTGCATAGCATTTAGTCGCCAGCACATATCATTGATAGTCCTCCGCTAGAACTGGAACATCCTGAAGCGGTACGTGTATCCCGTGACTTGACCTTTTCTGGAAGGGCTCTGCTAATGTAAAACGTTTTGGGCTTGATGAATTTCGATGCTATAATTTGAATCGCGGCAAGATGAGTGAGGCGGAGGAATGACGACGCGGAGGAATGACGACGCGTAGGAAAAGTGCATTCTTCAGAGTGCACGTGATCTGGAAATTGTTCACCGCCAAATTCTTGGCAGCAGAACTTCGCAAATTTCTGGTCCCGCATCTCAATCCGCAGAATTCAGTTCTTGAGCTCCGTCGAGCCTCACGCACCTGTCGCACGGAGCACAGAACCAGAGGTCCGTTCACTATCACCATGAACACCTCACAGCCAGTGTCGTCAGCAATTTCTGGCGTCGAATTTGGCTTCCTCTCACCAGACGACATCCGCGCGTTATCCGTGAAACGAATTACGAACCCGACGACTTTCGATACCCTTCTACATCCAGTACCCGGTGGGCTGTATGATTCTGCCCTGGGGGTGTTTGCTGATAATCCGTAAGTTTGCAGAGTAGCATATTCCACTTCTGCATAGTTTAGTCTAATCAGAGCTTTGCGACCAGATGCTCAACATGTAAACTCGGATTTGGTTGTCCTGGACACTGCGGCCATATTGAGCTACCCTTACCAGTCTACCACATCACGTTTATGGACCAATGCCTACGGCTCCTCAGGGCGAAATGCGTTTACTGCCACCACCTAAGGATACCTCAAACGAAAGTCAACCTGTACATATCGAAGCTCCGCTTAATCACTCACGGTCTCCTTGAACAAGCTGAAGATATTGATCAGAAAATCTCGGGTGATAGCAAACGGAAGAAGGCGACTGGTGCTAGGGATAGCTCAAACGACGAGGATGAAGACGAAGACGCGAATGAGCTGATCGCAAAGCGAGACACCTATGTGAACAAAACGATCAAGAAAGCTGGCATTCAGAAGAATAGTGATTGGTCTATGGAGAAAACGGAAGCAGTTGGCGATGCACGTCGCGCCGTTGTGAAGGACCTCTATACGGAGATGGTCCTAGGCAAGAATTGCAAAAACTGCAAAGGGCAAGTGTCATGCGATAGGAAAGTAAAACATCTTGCTAAATTCTCTTCAGAGTAAATCCACAGTACCGAAAAGACAAATCCGTAAAGATTTTCCGGAAACCGATCAATTCCAAGGACCGTGCGAACATGATTAATGCCGGAAAGCGTGTAGAGAATCCTATACTGATAATGCAGAAGAAACAGAAGATCGTCACAAAAAGCAAAGCCAACCGCGTTCATGCGGACGAAGGTGTTGCAGATCTGAGTGCAGATTCTAATGAGGACGAAGACGAGGACGAGGAGATGATAGACTTGGAACAGGATAACGAAACTTTCATCGCGGAAGAGACCATGACAGCTGCGCCAACAAGGAAGGGCGCGGTCGAATACGCCAAGCAGGAATATATGAATCCTTCCGAGGTCCTCGCCGCCATGAGACTTTTGTTTGAGAAAGAGGCGGAGCTTCTTGGACTAGTGTACAGTCCTCAGTCACATTCATATTCCCCAAGCATCAGTGCCGATATGTTCTTTATGCACAACATCCTTGTTCCTCCCAACAAGTACCGCCCAGAAGCAAAGGCAGGCGGGTCGATAGCAGAGAACCCGAAAAATAGCACCTACAAGAACGTTCTCACTGCATCTGACCTATTGCGCCAAATAAACAACGAGCTGGGCGGTCAGGACAGAGAAGGAGGCTACAGGAAACGAGATTTCAACGATCTACAGGATGCCTGGGTAAGTTTGCAGCAGGCGGTGAACTCCATCGTGGACAAAGACAGCAACCCCCTTCAAGGCGCAGCCGGCAAAATGAACGCGGATGGTGTTAAACAGACGCTTGAGAAGAAAGAGGGCCTCTTTCGAAAGAACATGATGGGCAAGCGTGTCAATTTCGCTGCTCGCAGTGTTATTTCCCCCGACCCAAACATCGAGACGAACGAAATCGGCGTACCCCCAGTGTTCGCCAGGAAATTGACTTATCCAGAGCCGGTTACAAATCACAACTTCTACGACCTGAAGGAAGCTGTTCTCAATGGTCCTGATAAGTGGCCTGGGGCTGTCGCGATCGAGAACGAATTTGGCCAGGTCATCAATTTGAAGAAGAAGAATATCGAAGAACGTCAAGCGCTCGCCAATCAGCTTCTTGCCCCTTCGAACACAAGCGTCAACGGTGCGATCAACAAGAAGGTACATCGACATCTCAATAACGGAGATGTTGTGATCATGAACCGCCAGCCGACATTGCACAAGCCGTCAATGATGGCACATAGAGCTAGGGTACTACCGGGAGAGAAGACCATCCGTATGCATTACGCCAACTGTAACACCTACAATGCCGATTTCGATGGAGACGAAATGAACATGCACTTTCCCCAAAATGAGCTTGCTAGGGCAGAAGCAGCCACGATTGCAGATACAGATCATCAGTATCTGTCAGCCACTGCTGGAAAACCCCTGCGAGGTCTAATTCAGGATCACATTTCGATGGGAGTGTGGCTTACAAATCGAGATACGTTCTTCAATCGAGAGGATTATCAGCAACTGCTCTATGCGTGTCTCCGGCCAGAAGACAGCCACACGACATCTGGCTCTTTGGTCACCATCACTCCTGCAATCATCAAGCCTCGGCCAATGTGGACCGGCAAGCAAGTCATTACTACCGTGCTACGAAATATCAAGCCTACTACTCATCCAGGCTTGACATTGACATCGAAATCTCAAACCAAGGCGAGCCTGTGGGGAGACAAAAAGCACGAAGAGCAGGATGTGATTTTCCATGACGGTGACCTGCTCTGTGGAATATTGGACAAGAGTCAGATCGGACCGAGCCCAGGAGGTTTCGTCAATGCCATCTATGAGGCATATGGTCACACCGTCGCCGGAAGATTGCTCAGTGTCCTTGGTCGATTACTCACCAAGCTACTGCACATGCGAGCATTTTCTTGCGGTGTTGAAGATCTGATTCTCACTTCCGAGGGAGAGCAAAAACGGAGGGAAGAGTTGAAGGGAGTGGATTCAGTCGGTCTCAAGGTTGCAGCCAAGTATGTGTCGTTAGATGCGGACAAAATCAACCCCAATGACCCCGAACTGCGAAGGAGACTGGAGCAAGTACTTCGGGATTCTTCAAAACAGGATGGTCTCGACGTGCTTACCAACGGTCAAACCAAAGACATTTCCTCTAATGTAACGACCGCATGTCTTCCCGATCGACTGATTAAACCTTTCCCGAAGAACCAGATGCAGACCATGACAGGTTCTGGTGCGAAGGGTAGTTTGGTGAACGCTAATCAGATCTCATGTAATCTTGGACAGCAGGTTCTCGAAGGCAAGCGCGTTCCGATTATGGTCAGCGGCAAGTCATTGCCTTGCTTCAAGCCTTTCGACTCAAACGTACGGGCAGGTGGTTATATCACGGACCGATTTTTGACCGGAGTCCGACCGCAGGAGTACTACTTCCATGCTATGGCGGGACGCGAAGGTTTGATTGATACTGCCGTCAAAACCTCGCGCTCCGGCTACCTACAGCGATGTATCGTGAAGGGTATGGAAGGCCTCAAAGTTGAATACGATACCTCTGTCCGTGACGCAGATGGAAGCATGGTCCAGTTCCTCTACGGCGAAGATGGTCTTGACACCACAAAGCAGAAATATCTCAACGATTTCAAATTCCAGGCGGAGAATTTTTGGTCTTTAATTCAAACCTTGAACATGGAAGAGGCATTTGGCAAGATCCAGAGTGAGGAGGCGACGGAGTGGACAAAAGCAGCGTACAAGAGATATCGAAAGACCGGCGACCTAGCAGCCATGGATCCAGCAATTTCTAGGTTTTCTCCTACGCGGCATTGCGGTAGTACCTCGGAGCAATTCTACGCTGCCCGTAAAAAGGTATGATATGTCCTGAATGTCTTGCTTTCTACTAGCTAACGCGTCAAATCAGTACTGCGATGATAATCCAGACAGTCTCCTCAAGAAGAAGAGGAAAGACCCTGGAGACAAAGTGGTCCGGAAGAATTTCGAGGCTGCTCTAGACGTCAAATACCTCAAATCTGTCGTCGAGCCAGGTGAGGCTGTCGGCGTCGTGGCCGGACAGTCTATTGGGGAGCCATCGACGCAGATGACTCTGAACACTTTCCATTTAGCTGGACATTCGGCGAAGAACGTCACACTCGGCATTCCTCGTCTGCGAGAAATTGTTATGACTGCCAGCGCCAATATTTCTACCCCTTCGATGAATCTCTACCCGCACCCTGAGATACCCAAGGAACATGCGGAAACCTTTACCAAGAGCATTAGTCGATTGCCATTATCGGCAGTCGTTGACAAGGCGACCGTAACGGAAAGCTTAGGCACGGGCACCGCATACCAGGAAGCCAAAATATACAAGATTCGGCTAGACTTCTATCCGCCGGAGGAATATTGTAGCGAATATGCCATTAAACAGAAAGACGTGGAGGATTCGCTGGAATTGAAATTCATCCCTCGTCTTCAAAAGCTGATTCGGGTAGAACTCAAGAAGAAGGGTCTAGAAAAGGCTTTCAAGTCCAGCTCGCGGGTCAAATCCGACGCTCTCCCCTCCGTAGGCGACTCAGCGCGTGCGGCTGCGAATGCAGGGGCCGACGAAGAGGAAGTGGAGCAGGGTGATCCTATCCGAGAAGGCGGAGACGAAGACGCTGAGAGCGATGGCGACGATGATGACGATGCGACTGGCACCAAGCAGCGTGGAAGAAGAGAAGATAGCGTGGAGTTCGATGGACCCGATGAAGAGGAAGAAGCAGTCAGAGCACAAGCTGTAAGAGAGGAATCTCCAGAGGAGGATGAGACCTATGGCGGCAGCCCGCGAACCTCGCCGGTGCCCGAAGGATCTGAATCAGAAAGTGATACCGAGGACGAATCTCGCCCTGCCGGTTCAGCTGCTGCTCGCGGCGACCGCATCATGCACGCTTATACCGACGTCTCCAACACCAAATTTGATAAGCACGGAAAGTGGTGCGAAATCACCTTTGAATACTCAGCTTCGACAGCCAAACTCCTCATGCTTCATCTTGTCGAAGACGCCTGCAACTTCGCGACTATACAGGTCATTCCTGGAATAGCCAATTGTCTCCTGTCAAAGGAGGACGGCCCAATAGACCCGTCTACGGGCAAGCCAACAGAAATCCCAGTCGTTGTGACCGAGGGAGAAAACATGGTTGCCATGCGAGATTACCAGCATATCATCGACCCCAACCGCCTCTTCACCAACGATATTGCCGCCATGCTGCGACTGTATGGAGTCGAGGCCTGCCGCGCGAGCATCGTTCGTGAAATGCACGCCGTCTTCCACGGTCACGGCATCAGCGTCGATCGTCGCCATCTTACCCTCGTCGCTGACACCATGACGAGGGGAGGTGGGTTCATGCCATTCAGCCGGCTTGGAATGAAGGGCAATATGAGTCCGTTCATGAAGATGAGCTTTGAGACGACACTGGGCTTTTTGAGGGACGCAGTGCTCGAGCAAGACTGGGATGATCTGCGAAATCCAAGCGCCCGAATTGTGGTGGGCAAGCTTAGTGGTGTAGGGACTGGATGCTTCGATGTCATGGTGCCAGTATCGTCAGGTGTTTAGGGAAAGTTGATTGCATAATGTCGGCGTTGGTCTGGGACAATGGCGCACATGTATAATTTCTGGAGGTTAAGGGAAAGGGGTACGTAAATTAGCTCTTGTTTGCTAACTTTGACGGTCGACCAATGTCATCCCCGTTTCTTCTCATCATTCAGAGTTTCATCATCACATGTTTGCCCTGCGTGCCTCAGCCTTGTCCCAGCTCCCAATTCAGCCACATGCAGGGTGCATGCGCGTTCCCTAGCACCGCCACCGCCTCAATAAGCCATGCTTGGTTGCCGCCCGCGTCTCGGCCCGGGATTGGTCTTACAGATGGATATAAGCGAGATAAGGCTGTATCTGGACGTGCTGGAAAAGATAGCTGAAGGCGGCAGGCTGAAAAGGGTGTTGCGGAGGAATATGCTTTATATCGAGTTGCGCCTCCACGCGCTGAGTGTCTTTCGTCTTTCGTCTTTGCTTTAAACACTTCGGTGCGGTAGTTGTTCTCCTTTTTTCTACATCATGATTTTCAACACATCGCCATGCATCAGCCTCTTGCTCTCTTCGCTCTCCATACTCGTATTAGCCAGCCTCGCATCATCCACCACAATCTCTGCTACGCCAACGCAGAGTCTCTTCCCCACGGAATCCGATGTCTTGGGTTTCACCTACCAATCCGACAATGGCTGGTGTACGCCCCTCCCCCACACAGTCTCCTAACATCCAAACCAACTCAACTAACCAACTCCCCAGTCTCCCCCTACCACTGCCCCACCTCCTCCGCCTTCATCCACGGCAGCCACTTCGGCCGCTGCTGCACCTCCGACACCCGAATCGACTGTCCGATCGCCACAACATGCCTCGATGGGAGCGTGATGGTGAACAGCGATTACCGGCTGACATGGTGCGTAAAGGGTCCCCGGCTTCCCTCCCGCACGCCCCCAATTCGCTCTCGCGCCACCATATAGGTCGCTAACATCGAAACGGTGCGGATAGCACAGGCACAGGCGCCCAAACCGCCTGCGTCGTCGGCACGCTGTACCACACGCCCGGCGACCCGTCGCCCATGTACGTCTACCAGTGCTGGCCGACGTGGACCGACGGCAACTGGAACGCGACGATTACGGTGCCGGATCTGCAGGCTGTGAGTTTAGCGTTTTCCTCGAATCCACGTTGACTTTGCGCATCGGCTAAAGAATAGGATGTGAGTAGATCGCTACAAGTCCTCCTAGCACCACTGCGGCTGCGACGACGAGCCCCTCGGCGGCGATCTCCTCGTCTCCAACGACCGAAGTCGTCAAGATAGTCACGAGCATCATCTCCGTCGCCTCGCCCGCCCCGACCCCGTCGGCGACGGCGGCGGCATCTAGGAAAGGGCTGTCAGGCGGCGCGATAGCGGGGATAGTCGTCGGCGTGCTTGTATTCGCGGCGTTACTGGGCTTGTTGGTATGGCGCTTGAGACAGCAGCGGAATGCGCCGCCGGCGGCGCCTGTGCCGGGCATGCATCAGCCCATTCTGCAGGTTCCGTCGGCTGGGGCGCGGGTGCCGGTGGCCCAGCACCTGCTGGTAGAGCGGCAGTCTTTGGAGAGCTTGCGGGATCCGGTGCAGCCAGTTCAGGGGGACTCGGGCGATGCACCGCCGATGCAAGCGCCTATGTATCCCCGTTTCCGGAGGACGATTAGTCTGTAATGAAGGGATATGGGGCTGGAGGGTGCGCGTAGAGGGGTGGTATGGGGCTTTTTTATAGTTCGCTAATACGTCTACTGAGGAGATATGGAGTTATGGTTTCTTGAAGAACAGCGTACGCAATGTGACTAATCGCAAGGCTTGATTTTGACTATAGATATTTCTGATTGCCAGAGACAAGTAATTCAGGCTCCCATACTCCAATTACGATGCTGCCATCGACTCAACTCAACCGTAGGATACTCAACATATGTTGGGCCCTTTCTGAGGCAATGATATGTGAAATAAAGGAGTAGGTACAACTGATGGGAAAATCATGGCTGAGGAAAATAAGGAAGATAGAGCTCGAAAGCTACAGGACAAATAACTTCAATTTCGTCTCGGAGCAAACCACACAAACCATGGTTTCACTCCGTAGTCAATGTTGAATCAATCGGAGCCAAGGAGGTCGCGGGAAACCAGCCGTATCGCCTGGTCCGGTGATGTCCTCATTCAGATGCGTTGAACTATGTTCTGTGGAGAAAGTAAAGCCCTCCGTGCGCACACCGCTCTCTCGTAGCGCAGCATATCGTTCTTCGGCGTTTCGTTTAGCTCTCTCAAGCTGTTCGAGTTCGATTTTACGAACGACCTTCTACATATTGCTTGGGGTTCTGGTGCCGTAACGAATCCAAAAGCTTTCATCATGTTGCGTGCCTACACGTACTGGGCCAGGAAGGGGACGATCGTAGAGGTAGTGTTCCTTCACTTCATAGCCGTCGTGGTCAACTGCTATTCCCGATCCCAAAACGTGCAAGCAGGGGCGACTGAAGTTTGTGCATATCCTGCACGCAGCAGCGTTACCGTCAATGTTGGACCAAGTGCAAATGGTGTTAGTCGAGTTTTGGAACAAACAGCCACGGTGTGATGTCATCCTTGGCTTCCACCCGGGATTCTTTTTCATGGCGTGGTGCACAGCATCCTTGACCAGGAGCAGTACCGGCTGAATAGGTGAAGAGTCTTCCTCAGTCGCAGCAACCTCGATGGAAGGAGGTGTTTACACCCACCATAAGCCTTGGTCACGACGGGAGCACCTATCGAACGCGCCGTTCACTCCATTTGGACCTTAAGCCACATCTTATTCTTGGTCCTGCCCTTCGGCTTTTCCGGCTTCCATAGCCAGTACCCTGACTCGCCCTCCTTCACGCCTTCACGTAATTCCTCGACCAATGGCATCACCACAAGCCGACCGCGACGCTTGCGCATACATGGTCGACCCCCATTGCTGCAGGCTTGACAGGCAGCCTCCAATTCCCCAGATTTCGTCCTCGTCTCCTGCCCGGTGAGCCTTTGGTAGACACATTCGTTCTCATCCTCATCAAATTCTAGATCTTCTCAGCCAGACTTGCGCTTGTCAAGCTTATTCCAAACAAACAAGAGTCCGTCTAAGACTTCCTTTGGCTAGCCAAGCCCACCTATAACGTTCTCCTCAATCCTATCGTAGACTGGTTGGTAGTCGCCTTCAGATGTTGGTGGACAGGTGCATGTCGTAGAAGTTTGCGCAGATGATGAACGAGGAGGAACTCGCGTTTCGCAACCAGGCTGTGCATACCGATGTTGGGTAAGTGATTCCACGAGGGGACGCGAGACGCTTTCGTAGAGAGGGTCGCCCTGAAATAGTTCGAGGCTTGACTCTTCGTCATAGGAGGGAGGAGGCGACCCTGTGAAGGAACGCGGAACCGATTCAGCGCTTTTCTGGCTTTGTGATCTGTGACTTTGCGCTTCGAAGCTTGGCCCCGTGCGTTGAGGAAGCGATCCCCCGGGGGGACGCTGGGTGAATCCATGATGCGTCTTGCTCTCAAGCACTTCAATCCTGTTCAGCAGCTTTCTAACTTCAGCTGAAGCAGTATCCGCCCGATCCTTCTCACGGTCTGCCCGCCTCTTCTCGTCGTTTGCCTTCGTGGCCAGATCGGTAAGTTGCGTACAAAAGCTTTGACGACGGCATCAGTGCTATTGCTCTCGACGATTGTGGATTTGGTCCTCAAATTGGTGATCGCGTGCTCCGCATTTACGAGCTTTGCTTTGAGATCCGCAATGGTGTCCTCCGCGGTCGAGAGTGCAGTCCGGAAGAAAACACTCTCATCTCGCTTTGCCTCAAAGTAGCCCCAATTATCCGTGGCTCTTTGTTCTGCCGCTGCGGGCTCTTTCTTAGTACTGTAGCAGTCTATGTAATGCATCTCCTCCATCTTGATTTCTTGACTAGTATCCACTGCCATCCCGTCGCTCTCTTCTCACTCAGCCATTTTGGAAGTTCAAGCGTATGGGTTGTGACAGCAAGTTAGGCATCGATCAGACATTTGGTGAGGTCAATGACGCCACTTGGGTTGTAGAGGAAAAATCGGACTGGACCAACGGGCACTGATACGCGACTGCTCGTCTTGAAGGCAGATTGAGGTGAATCGAGACAGCTGATACGCGACTGCTCATCTTGAAGGCAAATTGATGTAAATAGACACGTATAAATATTTTTGGCTTGATAGACGGGAAAGTCCGCGGGGAAGGTGGAGTGACGTTCGGCCGGAGGTACCAGAAAAAACCCCATCGCGGAGCTTCGCCAAGCCATCGCACGGGACCAGGTGGCGATTACACGTGCGCAAAGCGATCATTAGCGCAGTCGGTCATCTACTATATGTCTGAAGCTATACATACCTCACTTTCAAATTCTACAACTCTGAACATGCCCTTCTCTGTACTTCGAATGTTTAATATCAGCACTACCAACCTCACCTTTCATCCAATCTCTTCACCGCTGGAGTCTGCACTTGATTTGCCTTCACAACAGTTCTATCTCGTCCAGGTTTATGGATATCTCGAAGCATCTCAAGCAGCGGCAACAATGCCACTCACATAGCATCCGAAGTCACTTGGTTTGGAATGAGATTGGAATAGACTATCTACAGATATTGAAACGGGGTGTGAAGGTCAAAGAGACGTGATTGGAAGTAGGGAATGAGAGAAGAAGCAAAGCTTTTGAGGGAATGAGAATGTAGTCGGGGTGAAAAGTAGAATGAAAGCAATAAATCAGAAAACCTGTAGAATGGGAAAGCAAGGGAATAATCAGTGCAAAATCAGGAGTGCTCAATGTGGTGATAGTCCATGGCCAGAATGGGGAAAGGGGATATAGATAGGCCTTAGATATGTATTCTCAACGCACGCCAGCAAAGTACTTTTCGAGAGGGGGGAAGATGTGAGCCAGCTGCTAACCAGGAAAGGCTCGAGTGAGACGGCATCCGACTAGGAACCGGAATGGTTTTGGGGCTCTTTGGAGGTCGACTGGGATGCAGCCTCTACACCAGATCCATTGGCCTATAGAGGTTGGAGTTTGTCCTGTGTCTGAATCCGGGCGCGCTTGATCTTGCTGGCGTGTCTCACTTTCTTCTCGACCTTGACGAGATCCGCAAAGATCCCGCCGTGGTGGGCTAGGGAAGAATCAAGCCTCTCTGCAACAATTTTTGACTCGGCTAGAACCTCTTTGCACTTCTTCGTGACTTCCACGCCCTCTTTAGGCGGGGTAGAGTAGTCAAGCTTATGACCATATGCCCTCACCTCCAAGTCAAAGACTGCCTTCTGGACCAGGAAAAGGTGCTCTTTGGCCTTTCTAAGCTCTTTCGAGCCTATGTCTTGCTTCCCAATGTATTTGGGAGTGCCTTGCTGATTCATGGTGAGCATTTTCCCTGATTGGGCCCACAAGTTGGGTAGTCGTTGATTAAGCCTATTCTACATTAAAAGTTAGCTTATCTGTCTAATATATGTCTTCGAAAAACCTACATGCTCAGCCTGAACCCATGCGTGACAAAGGTCGAGCGTATCATTGACTGTCTTCTTGAAATTATCAAGGTTGTTCCCGTTGGCCGCTCCCTCTGCGCGTTCGAGCAGCTCACTTCTTTTAGCCTCAGGAATCTCAATATGAAGTCCCTGGATCCAGTTTCTGAGGAGGCGAAGTGCGTTTGCCATATCCCACTGCAAACCAACTTCTAGTTCGACATTAGGGCAGATCTCTTCTGCAACTGCTGTGAACAACGTATGTGATGCGACGTTCATGCCAGGCCTGAGATGCTCTTGGAAACGTCGGTAGTCGCCGTCAAACCAAAGGCCAAACTTCTGGCCTCGTACGAGACCTCTGAAGGGGTCAAGAATAGCTGGAAGCGACTTCGTCAAAACGTCATCATCCCGCAATTTTTTATCAACAATGATTATGCCAAGGCTTCGGATTGATTTGGCGTTTGCCAAAACTGTGCCGATAGACTGTAGGTTACTCCTCATTCGCAAGAACTGCTGTTGCTTCGCATTCTCAAGTTCGTTGGCTGGCTTTGGTCCTCCTGAGTATCCTCCCACTGAAGCCATGGTCAGCTCCAAGAAAATGTGGAGATGCTTTACGTGGGCCAGCGACGATGGAAGTGAGAATTCGTTGTGCTGATGTTGAAGGAAAGTGATCGTATTCCATTGGACCTTCATCTGGAAGACTGCTGACTTGAAGAACTGGTATGACGCCTCGGCATTCACGAGTTTCGAGCTTCTAAGTAATGCAGGATAACACTTGTCGCCATCATGCCGTAGAGACCTAAAGTCGGAGTTCCTTGACGTTCTAGCAACCAAGGTCCGAGAAGAAGGCACCAATTTGTCCGGGACCAGGTATTCGTAGATCATTAATCGTATCTCAGTCGGTAGGCTCATTAGCGGGAAACGAGTGGTAGGCGTTGTAGTAGTTGGAAGCTCAGTAGAGTTGTGAGACTACAACGAATTATCAGCAGGAGGCCAGTAGAGATGAGAATGTCAGGACGAACCTGCTCAACCTTTACGCGCTTGTTTTGGTTAGAACGCGGAGTCTTAGCCGGGGTGCAAGGTTCGCGAGGAGCTGCTTTCGCGACTGCGTTCGAGACCCTCTTGCTGGCTGTTTGAATTCCAGTCTTCTGAGTCTGTCGAGCATGGGCCGTCAGTTTTGAAACAGTAGCTTCTAGGGAATGAGGTTTGGAAGCAGGATGCTTTGAGGCATGTGCCTCTGGAACGATGGATGCTGGAGTAGTTGGACTCATAGCATTCTGTAAGAACTAAAATAAACTGTTAGTGTATATTCATATGAAAAGGAGAACTTCGAGACAAACCTGGAAAGAGTCAGGATATTTGGCCTTCACGCTGGCTGATAAGTCCTTGAATTCCTGAGTATGTTGACGAACGCTATCTTGAGCCACAGAACTGGAAAATGACTTCAGAGGAATCAGAACTGCGAGGGTCGAAGACATCTTTGGCTGCTCTGGACCGCGACCTTGGGTAGAGCTCGAAGGTCCAAGTTTGGACTGAGTAGGAGGTGTGTCGACACACATTCCTCGCGTGACACCAAAGCGGGGTCGGACTTTCCTATCTGGATTATATCTAGGAGCAGCGGACTCACTCCAGGCATTGGATATGTCCAAGACATATGCTTCATCCATGTCATCCGTAGATCTCTTCCGAGATGTCGCGCCCTTGTTTTTTGCGGAGGGTTTGGCCGCATCTTTCTTTGTCGAGCGTGCCATGTTCGCAGTTAGATATGGCGAGTGTCGCGGTGTTGCGGGTTGACGTGCTTGATGGTCTATGAATGTATTAGATATTGTACAAAGATCGAGTTCTGCTGACGTACCAAATGTACGAAGAGGAACTAGTTGGTTATTGTATGACGCCCAAGGGGAGAGTCTCGGTTGAGAAGCCGAACTGTTACTTCCGCTGGATGCCATTCATATCAGTGGCACAGGATTGGGACCCGCTTTAGGAAAGCGGAAGCAGGAACGGATGATCGTGGGTTGCAATCGGTCAAAGAGGTTAGAGGCGAAGCCTAAGAGGTCGAAAGAAGAGTAGAGGATATACTCTAGCCGTCGAGCGAAAGAAAGCTGGAGTCAGGCGGCTGCCAAGCCGGTCAGGGCCAGGACTGTTACCAGAAAGCAGTGAACAGTTGAAGAGTTGAGGAGGTTGAAAGTGTGGTGTAAAAGTGACGGAGGAGGTTGGAGCTGCGGTCGAAGATATGCTTGAGTCTTCGACCGGCAAAGCTATGGAGCAGGCGGCTGCCTGGCCAGGTAAGAACCAAGTCTTGATTCAATAGCAGAAAGAAGTGGAGAAGTTGAAGCGGTCGAAAGTGTAGTGTAAAGGTGATGGATGAAGTCGGAGCTGCGGTCGAATATATACTTGAGTCGTCGACCTGAAGAGCTACGGAGCAGGCAGCTGTCTAGTCACATAGATACGAAGTCTTACCTCAGTATCAGAAAGAAGTGGAGGAGTTGAAGAAGCTGAAAGTGTGGTGTAAAGGTGATGGATGAAGTTGGAGCTGCGGTCGAATAAATACTTAGGTCGTCGACCTGATGAGTTATGGAGCAGGCAGCTGCCTCACCAGAAAGATACGGAGTGGGAGATCAATTCCAAAGCAGCGAATTTTTGGTTACTGTGCTTCTTCATGCTCTCTTGATGACATGAAAGCCAACTCAGACTCAGCGTGAAGAGGAAGAAGGCTTCCAGCTCACCGCTTGACGACTCAACAAACGCGCCTCAAACTCACTTATAGTCAAGTTTCTCTTTCATAGAATTATAGACTTCACGCTCGATAGCATCTTTGACTCAGGGTGGTCCTCGGGAATGTATTGTGCAATTGCTTTACACCTCCTAGATCGCCAGTGGTCATATCGACACACAGCAGGCCCGTCCGTCACCCTATTCTTACACATCGTTGAAGCATTCGAAGCGACGATGGATATGGCGTTCATTCTATCATTTGGAGATGGGTTTTGATGGATGATGGCGCAGGATACGTTCGCTGTGGAATTCTCCATGTCCGGTTGATATTCGGCCGCCGTGCACGTGATGTAAGGATACGTGATGTATTGATCTACTATAGGCACGCCTGTTATACATAACCTCAGCCTGATTGCTCTCTTCCGCCCAGCTGACCATCCCCTGCTTCTAAATCATTCGCTGCTTCTAAATCATTCGCTGCTTCTAAATCATTCGCTACTGAGGCACGTTGGGCCTCTATTTGGCGCAGCGTGTAGTTTAGGTGGAAAACTCTGCGTATGTATATGTAAGCGACCGTCCCTCATCTTTGTCTACCAACTGTCAGTTGAGTAAACCTAACACCTAACAAATTTTCATGCACTTGCGTATATACCAGTGGCACGATCGTAATCTCTTACATCTCGAACGCTAGTGATATATCTCCGCAATCTTTCGAGTCAAAATGGCTGGATCCATTAGTCCACAGCCTTCCTTCCACCTCTGTCCCGACTTCAGCATCGCCCCGCCGCCCGACGGCCATCTGCAGCTGGGTTCCGTCCTCCACACCCTCGATATCGATGGTGTCCTCACTCCACTCGACATTGGTGCTACCGTCCTCGTTCCCGAATCGCAGCGCTGGCCCCGCGACAACCCGATGGAGAAGATGGGCTTCAACCGCAGCTTGAAGGAGCTTCGGGGCCTCGAGGGCAGCATCTGGGCCAAGATATTCGGCTGGAACGGACTAGGCGCTATGTTTTCCTTTTTGCGTAGGCGCGAAAACGATGAGACTCTGGCGGTGGAGAAGCTGTTCGTCCAATACTTTATCCCTACGACCGAATACATGAAACAGGCCCTCGAGGTCAACGGCGTCGCCTTCTACATCAGGGAAAACAAGTTCAAAGAGCCCGTCTACCTAGTTACCGGCCTGATGTGGACCGAGGGAGCCAAGCTCTCCAAGATCAAGTCCAAGAAAAACAAGGTTAGTGGCCAGGCTGCTGTGACGGGCACTACGGGCGGCACGAGCGGGGCCTACGAGAGTGAAGAGAGTCTCTACTCGAGTTTCGATGGCTCGACGCCATTCATCCTCGGCATTCGCGTGCGAAAGATCTGGTGGGACAAGGAGGGCACGAGACACAATGAACACGACGTCGTCGGGGCGACGCTAGGCGACCCCAAAGGAAAGAATATGGACGTGCTCGACGGCCTACAGTCGGCTGACGACACGACCGGGCAGACCATCGCGGATGAGACTCAATTGGGAGAAGCAAACCCCATCACTTGGGTTTGGCCCTGATCGTGTATGATCGGCCTCGAGCTGTGTCGAGACACGAGGCACATTGAGAAACGGAAACCACTTTAGCGCGAGAATTTTTGGGGAAGCTCTTAATCAAACCATTTCGGGTGTGTTTCTTTATCGTACTTCACTAGTCCTCACTGTAATCGCCCTCTTCTTAATTCCCTACGCCTCAAACAGATCGTTGATTAAGTCCCAGGCTATTCGGGACTTAGTCTCATTTGCCTGCCAGTGCTTCTCCCAATGATTCCACGGAGCCAAAAAGCAATATTGATTGCCGAGATCGTGCTTCGGACTCGACATGAGCCATAACATCTTCTGCATCTCTTCGGGTCTTCTAAGCTTCTCCTTCGCCCGGTCCTTGATCGCGCTCACTCGGGAAGCGACATCGAGGACTGTGGCTGCAATGCCAGCGGCTATCGGCGTTGCGAACGACGTACCAGATTTATATACCTCCTTGTATATCGGTGTCCGTCCCTTCTGTTCATGCGTCCACTGTCTTTCCATTAGATTCAGACCCATACCGAGCGTCATGAAGTTAGCACCACGCTCCGTCGGCGGATTGATGCCGCCATCACTGCCCTTCCCGTCCGAAGCATGGACGCATATAACCCACGGCTCGTACTTCGCCGGGAACGCACGCTTTTCATTCTTGCCGTTGTTGGAGGCGGCCGCAAACATGATCCGAGGCGACTGGACCGAGGCATTTCGAATTGCGGTTTGGATACCGTCGACAAGATCTTGGTAGTCCTGTAAGGCTAGATTTTCCTCGGCGTGATTTCCGTCTTTCCGAGGTACCGGAGGCCTCAGTCCGAATGACATCGATATAATATCTACGTCCCATGTCTCCACTGCATGTTTGATAGCCTGATATGTCGTAAACGTTAGCCTACTAAGCGACAAATTGCCAATGTCCCAAACCTCGCACCCCAGCTTCTCCCGCACTCACAAGTCCAATCTCGCGACCGCTCGTGGAAAGGCTTACCCTAGCAATATTCTCAGCTTGGTAGATCCTAAAGCTGTTGCTCCGAAACACTTTCTCGACGTATATGTTTGCCTCAGGCGCTGCTTTGTGGAGAACGTAAACGCAGTTCGTTCCGTGCAACTCGTCATCCTCATCTTCTACGTCGGTTCCGGCGCCAACCCAGCTGTGGCACCATTCCCTCTTCACGCGTCCCTTTTTCTTCGCCTCTATTAGCCCGGAATGTCGGAAGTCGATTCCAGTATCGAGAACTGCTATGCGGATCCGCCGTGGTGGTTCTCCTCCTGAGTCGTCCTTGACACGATCAGTGACAAAGCGCGAATAGGAGGCGTGGAATTCTTCGAGTGTCTCGAAGAAGAAGGTAGCCCTTTGGACTTCTCTGCAACGTTTGGGCCCATAGTTAGCGCTGCCAGGCTAGCTTTATGAACCACAATAGTTTTTCGGGAAAGTCTTACGTTGAGTCCTTCACGGAATTCTCCCCATCGAATAATGCGACCTGGGGCTGAGCTGTGATGCCCCCGACGCTTCTAAGGACAGAGGATTCTTCAGCCGCTGTTTGACCTGCGACGGGAATGGCTTCTTCCTTGGTGAGAGCATCAGTGCCAGGCTGGATTAACTCCCCCAAATTCAAGCTGCTGTCAATCTGAGCGATGACGTCGTCGAACACCAGCTGCCACGCAATCTCTATGCGATGGTTTGACCGCGCCGACTTAAGGCGCACCTGATACCTTGTATGGAAATCCAAGCATTTCAGAGCTGCATATAGAAAGGGCAACGTCTCTCGGTCCACATCATTTTCGCAGGTTTTTGATTTGAGATAGAGCTCAATCAACCTCCGAAGCTCCTTCCATCCGCCGAGAAAAGCTTTTCTCGATGCGTAAGAAATTTTAAGATCCTTGAGACGCTCTCCGCACGCAATCTGCAATAGCGCCTTGGCCAAGAGAGTGAACGGCAGCAAGGGATACGAATCCGGCTCGTCGTCATCATCCCCAAAGTCGCCAGAGATGTTTAATTTAGCGAGGGGCGGACAGCCCCAACGGCTTAAACTGTCCACATTCCCGTAGATTGAGACAAATGGTGTGAGTTCCGTGTCCATGGGCTTCAAGAAATGAATGCGTGCTGGATCCCAGGTGCCAATGATGTAATCGGAATCCATGGACAGCATCATGCCGAGAACGAGCTTGACAGCGAGAGTCTTGCGCTGGTCAATTCCCATGACAGCAGCGTTCTCACCAGCCTTATATAACAACTCCATTGTGCGGTTCCTTGCAAAGTAGCCATGCTTGATCAGAGTACAGAGGTTGTCGACTGGGAAGCTGTCGCCATATCTCCGACCTCTCTTTGGACCAATAGGGATATGAACTGGTATTTCGCCAGGATTAGTGCTCTCAGAATCTTCCGAGACGTAGAACTCAAGGTCCCTGTCATTATCGTGGGCACTACTTAGGGCCTTGCAGAGCTTTTGCTTTTTGTATGCATCGTTCTTTTCGGACCTGTCGGTTGCGATGTCAGTTTCCGAAAGTAGCTGAACTTAGCTGTCTGATACCATACACACCATGCGAAGACCCGACTTACTGAAGAAAATACATGCTTGCGGGCTGCCAATCTTCAAGTAGGCAACTAGTGAAGAAAAGTTGAACCGGCAGATTCCAGTCGGAAGCGACCTCCCAACCAGGTAACTGTAGAAGGATCTTGTGCTGCTTTATCGATTCGCGATGAGCGCATGATCCGAATTGTGAAAATATAGCGCGGAATGCAGCGGTCGTTTGCTGCCGAAACTTTTGGAGCAGCGCGAACGAGGCGAACGACCCTGTGGTGGAGGTGGAGCTCTGACTTGGCCGCGGAGCGAGGCTGTCAAGAGATCCGATCGAAATCTGTAGACTATTGACAAAGTTGTTGAAGTACAAGAAGTGATCCCTCATAAAACCGACTTCTGCTAGCATTCGCTGTCGAGCCCTTTTTCTAGGAGGCTTTTGTACCGGATCACAGAGCGCGACGAAGGCAGTCGCGGTCGCACCGTCTTCCGTAACGTTGAAGAGGAAGGGTGTATTTGCAGATCCCGGGATCGGAATGAATTCCAGACGTTGGGGATGAATTTGTGGTGATTGAACATATCCAATGAGACGCGCCAGTCTTGGATAGCCTGAAGCTTGGTCGATATCCTCTGGCTGGATGGGGATCAGAAGGGGATTAACCCGCACTTCGAGAAGGGAGCACAAGTCTCGAAGAAGCGACAATGCTTGGTTGTCTGACGGAGATGGCCCATGACTTGGTATATCGAAACGCTCCTCGGTCGGAGAGATGCAGCGAGATTCCACGCCTGAATGCGAAGATGCATCGTCTCGGTCTGAGCTAGCGGTGTCCTGAAGAGATTCGTCATCTGATTCCGATTCAAAACTTGATTGAGACGCGTCGTCTTCCCGTTCTGACTCCCATTGAAGCAACAAGTCAAGTTGCAGAATCGTAAATGTCGTGCGAATCTGGATGTCGAGATCGCGGAGGGCAGTCCGGAGCTCGTGTGTTCGGGTGCTACGGACGCCGACTTCATCAGGTCCTCCATCATAGCTGAAGCGATCTCTACTCTGGTGCAGCCCATAGATCAACCTCCAAGCGGCGGTCTCCCCTATGCCTCCGCTAGGGCCCAAAACCTCTGGTAACATGGCACCCGACGGCAATGTCGTGGTAGGTGGCGGGCTAGGCTAATTGTTATTAGTTGCTTCCTTGCTATTCAAGGTCAATCGGCTCGAGAACATAGGCCGTCGTGATTCCCCTGTGACCCTGATCCGATCGTCGCGAGCTGGTTCGGGCCTGGAGGGTGGGGTTGTGTTTCTGAGCTTTGATGTTTCCGTCATCGGCTAGTTACGTATTAGTAGTTCCGCACGGTCTGACGGCTCGGCCCTACCCCTAGTGGACACGTCATCCCGTCATCGACCGCCAAGGGCGGATGAAACGGCCCGTTCACACACCATCCGATGAGCAGACTACGACAGCTAGTCGACGTGCGCGACGCGTGAAATCTGGCATCTAATGTAGCCAGACGTCTTGAACATCTCAGAGCGACCGATAATGGCGACTGTCTGGAATCCAACGATTGCCACGGCTAAAGATCTTCCCCCGCACGAGGACGATGAGCCCATTTCGACCAAGGCCACCGACTGCGAGTCGAACTTCTCAAAAAGTGTCCGACTCATGGAATCACATGGAGAGGAAGAATATGCAGAAATTTTACGGAAGCTTCAGGCCAAGTTTGTCGACTGGACGGCTTATCTTGGCGTCTTCGCTGGGGGAAAGGCAAGTCTCGACCAGCGCCTGAGGCGTCATCCTCGATATCAAGACCTCGTTCTTTTGGTCTTGGACATGCTCAACATAAATCTTATTCAAAGTAAGGTAGGGTGAGATATTGATATTCTATGATTGCCAGCTCACCGAATGCTAGCCACAGTCGACCCCGATGACGCAGGGTCGGATGAATCCTCAGATGACGGCGTGGATCGACGAAAAGTCGAACTCAGCGGTATCCAGAAGTCGATAAACGAGCTCGATCGACTCGCAATCTATATTCGGCAGTCTTCTACGTCCTCCTTCGATGCCCGAGTCAAAGCTTTCGGAGCAAGGAAGCCCGCGGAGATTTCGTCATTTGAGGTGAAAACGATGCTCGCAGTCAATGGTCTCTATCCGGAAGCCTCTGAAAGCCTTCGTCAGCATTTGAGCAAATCAATGATGAAGCGATACACGAGGCTTTTATACTGGAAATTTCACGACAAGAAACTGCGCGCTGACCGTCGCCGCGATGGGCAGCCTCGGCATACGCAACCGAGATCAACGCCTTCGCATGCTATGGAACCGCCACAACGACTGCGATCAATGGAGGACAGCGCTTCGGCTCTGCCAAAACCCGAAGAGAGCAAGGTGTCCAAAGGTACCACGTTCCTGTCTGGAACTGTTCCATCGAATGCAGGATCCAACCTCGTCATACCACCGGCGGAAGGTGAGATGCCAGTACTAAGCCGAGCTAGGGCATCAACCGTTCTCAGAAGCGGAGCGAAATTCCCTGAGCCTCCCCAGTTCAAAGGTGAAGAGGATCGAAAGCCCTGTCATCTCTGCCGAAAGATCTTCTCTAAGGCAGATTTCGAGGACGAATTTTGGTGGAGGTGAGTCGCTTCTCTGATGTTGGCATGCCGGTGAAGACCTCCGTCTTTCGATGCTAACTTACATGATACAGGCGCCATGTAAACGGCGACTTGTTTCCGTTTCCCTGCGTTTCAAACACTTGTTCGGAGTCCCCAACTTTTGCCAGCCGATCTGAGTGGACAGGTCACATGGAGCGTGATCATGGCGTCTTCTGGTCACGAGGCCCAAGCATTCCAAACCGCGATAAAGAAACAGCTCCCGACCCTCAAGCGACAGCAAATCTCGGTCAACTTGTAGATATTTGTCCCCTATGTTGCCTACCTCTCGAAGAATCCGGAGATGCTCGTACCGGCATTCATCAATCCACGGTGGTACCCGCACCGCAAACCTCCAACGAATCGCCAGAAACACTGCTGCTTGATTCTAAAAAGATGGAATCCAAGACACCATCTAGCCGTAGCAAGGACAAAAGATCTGTACAATTTGACTTCACGAAGCTGGATTCCGAGCCAGCAGGCGAGGGAGCGGGTCCGCCCGCAACCAACATGGAAGTTGTGAAGGCAGATGAGTGTGGGACACAAAAGACAGCCAATACTGTGACTATGATGCTGAAACACATCGCCGATCACCTGCAATTTCTGGCCCTACTCACACCGCGATTGTCTACGGAGAAACTCGCAGTTGGAGACGTGCATGCCTTCCCAAGCTCCCAAGCAAGCACAAGCGACAGGGCTCCTGGAAAGAGAAGTACTCTGAACAACGAATTCGAATTTGTTCAAGGAGACGAGGTGAATGAAGCGGACATGCATGGGATTTTGCAGGAGAACTTTCTGGAGAAAGGACCACGGAATGAAGAGGTGGAATCAACAACGCCGATTGACTGGAGCATCTATTCGATCCCGATGCAAACTACTAAGGAAGACACTGTGATTGAGCATATGTACACTCTCCAGAAATTCAAACACGTCGACACCTACGTCAAAGACACGCCTGCGCTGGAGGCCTTCTTCAAGGACAACAAGGAGTTCATGCAGGACATAGCGAAAAAGGCAGTGGACCTTGCCAACGACCCCACCACAGACTTGGGCAGCCCAGAAGTCCTCCCCAAGACCATCAAAGTGACCATGCATCAGCAGGTCATCTACTGCGGTAACCAAGCCTAGCTTTCCATTTCATTACACCTTCATGTGTGTCGTGTCACTAACAACGCAACAGACGACAGCAGCTCCATGGTCACCGCAAAAGGCACGGCTGAAAAAAGATGGGAAAACCAAAAGAGCCTCGCCCTGCGCATTGCGCGGACCATGACCCGCATCCTCCCCGACCGCGAGGGCGTCGCCCTCCGCTTCATTAACCAGACAACCAACGAGTCCCCCTCCCTGGACCTCGAGGGCATCGGGCGGGCCCTCGACTTGGCCGATCCGAAGGGCAACACGCCCATCGGCACGACGCTGCGAGAGCGTATCCTCAAGCCGCTGGTGTTCAACCCGCTCGCGGTGGGCAAGCTGAAGAGGCCGCTGCTTGTATCCGTTCTTACCGATGGGGGCCCGACGCCCGAGGCCCCGGGCACGCTGGCGAGTGTGATTGTCGAGTGTGGGAATGAGTTGGAGAGGAAGGGGTATCCGAGGGACTGTGCGTTTTCATTCCCCTTGGGTTTATACGGTATTATTTGTGTTCGGTTTTCTAAGTATGGTTTGCAGGCGTGAAGTTCTTGATCGGCCAGGTCGGGTCGTCGAAAGCAGCCTTCGAATTTCTGGACACGCTCAGGGACAACCCGGCCATTGCCAGCGTATCGCATATCTTTGCGGGTATGTACAATTTTGGGTTGAATGTCAGGAACCAGCAGTACTTACAATCAGACAGGCAGGATGGATGACAAGTTCAAGTCGTTTCGTGATGAGCGGAGTTTAGACCGATGGGTGAGTATTCGTTCGCTGTTGGCGGTTGGTTCCATGGAGTTTGTGGGTTACTGACTTTCTTCCAGCTGGTTGAGACGCTGTTCAAGCCCTTAGCGGCTGCTGAGGCTAAGAAGAAGGAGGGATAGCCACACTCTTGGGTTTCGTCTTCGGCTTGACGGTGTGATTCCTGGGGCGGAAAGCCTGTCTTCCAAGTTGTCACTCGAATCTCGACACCAAGTCTAGAGTCTGAGATTTTGAGAAATTGCATACATTATCCATCATTTCAAACTACAACTTCCCATCCAATTCTAGCCACCTCTACCACAGTCCCCACCAACCTCTCTACATACACGCCTGAGCAACTCCACCTAGCCAGAACCGTCGCCCAAACTCAACCCCCAAAGCCGCCCCCTCAACCCCTCCACCTTCTCCACCCTCTCCCTAACCTTTTCCCCCACCTGCACCACCATATCCTCCAACTTCCCCACATTCACCACCACCTCCCTCGCCAATTCCAAATCCCCCTCCTCCGCCACCACCTTCGCCCTCTCCGCCAGCTTCCTCACCTTGTCCACCTTCACCCCCAACAGCCCCACCTGCCTCACCATCCCTTCCACTTCCGTTTTCACCTCCCTCGCCGCAGCGACAGTTGCTCTCCACGTCTCATCATCGTCCACTAACGCGGCAGCTAGCTGCATGGCTTGCATCTCCAGCCCTTTTGCTTCGCGGACGTGCTCACGCGCGCTCTCAGCAGCCGATACCGCGCGGCGGATAGCCTGGTCCGCCTCCTCGCTAACGCCAGCAACACCGTCGCCGTACTTGCTCACGATTTGCCACGCCGCGAACACGAAAAGAAGCGTTGCTGCGCGGGCAACGGGGAAAAGTAAAACGATGGGGATGGCGCGGGGCAGCCACACGCAGGCAGTCTCAGGGAGGCTGAGTGCATGCAGGCGGTTTCAGGGCGGCTGAGTGCATGCAGGCCGCATGCGTCGCGTATTCAACGATTGGAGGGAGAAGAAACGGCATCCGGTGGGAGCAAAGCGCGAAATTTGAGGCCTAACCTTAACGTACAATAGGACTCCGAAGTAGTCGCGGGATTTCCTCCGAACCTCCTCGGATCATGCACTGGTTTGGGATTTGGAGGGGCTATGGCCTAACTTTCTCTGGCTCTAAGCCCCCTATCTAGCGTAGCATCACGTCATCGCCTTGAGGCCGGTGCCGATATCATCAAAAGAGGGGTCCGGGTCGATGACGTCAATAAATTTAAATCGACGAGAAGTCTATCACAAGCCTGCGCCTCATCTCCTTATGCTCCAACACGTATAGTGTAGCGAAGGGCTTGTTTGATAGATAAGTAATTATAACATTGACTTGAATGCTATCGCACATATGTCTCACAATATATTGGGTAGGACATGACTCTTCACCACGCCTAAAATGCCACAACACTTGAGTTCTAATGCGGTAAAATTATCGGACCGGAGAAGAGTGGTCAGTAACCTGATTCTATTTATACACTTTTTGCACTAACATCATGATCAGTCTTTAGGACAAATCGCACTCCCAGTACGACCGTCCGCTTCAGACCTTGTACAAAATGCAGCGGTAGTACATCAATCTTATCTTCACCTCTGTGCGGTTCTTGAATCGCTAGACCTCAGCCAGTATCGGCAAACCCTAGTTGATCATGGTTTTAACTCCTGGGAATCAATGCTTAACATCAACGAAAACGACTTTGAGCAACTCAAGGTCAAACGTGGTCATCGAAGAAAACTTGAGCGTATAATCAGCATCTCAGCCAACGACGCAATGTCACAGCTACCACACTGCACCAATGCCCTGTCACGTCTGAAGATAGGAAAGCATCCTCAACACATCTTGGATTATATGCATGAGGATGCTAGAGTGAGCAAGCAATCGTTGATTGAAGATAAAATTATGGAGCAGCCAGGTCAGGTCACCAGACCCGGTATGACACGCCGACCACTTCAATAATGGTAGGAACTGACTGTTTAGTTGCTTGCTTCTATGTTCAGCCTAGGATCGGCGCAAACGCGTCTCAGGATCCCTACTATCGGGCTATGTATCTCAAAAACCGCACCCGCGAGGAGTTCCTATACAAGCTTGGAACGAAGTGCGACGTCACCCTTTCACAAATCATACAAACCGTACGAGTCAACAAGTTAGGTCTGGAATGTATCTTTGATGACGCAGCTGTTTGCGATCTAGCAGAAGGTCAAGACATGGTTGCTGAGTTTCAGGATATACAGCTGCGATCGGACTGGAATGTTCTTCCGGATATGCAAGACTATAGCAACATCAACTCGGTCAAGGCTGCGGAGTCTAGGATTTTCGTACTTAGATTGTACTACTAGCTGATCTGAGGATAGTATGGTGGTAGAGTGAGTGGTGACAGCTGATGGGAAGGTCACGGGCCGGGCTCGGCTTCATGCATGTGGGAGGATGATGGCTGGGGTGCAAGGCGTTGAGGCTTTTCAACGCAACGGTTATCTCCTGGTAATTATCCGCTTGGTGAACACGTGTATTTAAGCATTCCTCTCACGTTCGCGACGAAACCTCTGCGCCCGGAGCTCATTGCTGTTCCTTTCTTGCTGCTGCTCACAAAACTGGCGCTGGTTTGGCGTTCCCTCAAGGCGAGGGCGGAAGTGGTTCTCCACGCAGGAACTTCTGCGTCGCTCTGAAGAATTTAGACCGGCGCGCCACAGTTTAGAATACAATGTAATTACCATATAATACATACGTAACTGTTTCGCACTAACCGTAATCGTTTATTATCTTGGTTAGATATACCGGCCTGCGTGACGATCTTGCGCGTCACATCAGCGCCATCGTTGATGATGACTTCCTAGCATGGTAGTAGGACTGTGAGATTAGGGCTTAGCCTTATATAAGTTTTAGAAACGATGATAGATTAATGGTGGTGGTGCGGCGACGAGATTCGGTCGCACCGTGAAAGTGCGCTCTGCGAAATCAGGGCGATGGCGCGGCCTCGCTATTGTAATTTTTGGGCAGGGGTACGGCTCGCAGCATATTCCGATCGCCAATAATATGAGGCCCGAGCGCAGCAGAATCTTCACCAATAGGAGCCGCCCCTTTTCACCGCCTCCCCCTTGTAAACATTCACTCAAATCTCATCCACCATGGCCCACCACCACCTTGGAGGACGCTCCAGGGGGGCCAATGATACCCCTACTGCCATGAAAGCTGCTGTTATTACAATGCACCTCTTCTTTCAAGTTCCGTTCACCCATATTGAGGCCAAGACTGGTGTCTCTGAGTCTACAGCTACAAAGATCTACTCCCGGGCACGGCAGGATGCTGGGAATGAGGATTTTCATGATATGCTTGCATCTCTTTCACCCAAATCAGAGCGCCCAGGAAGGGTACCAAAGGTCAAGCAAGGAAGCAAGCTATCCCATGAGATCCGCCAAGATATATTGCGATGGGAGGACTATAGGTTTGAAGAAGCTGCTGCACCGGCGCTCCACAAGCATGGAGTGAAAGCAGCCAGATCCTTAATCGAACGCGTTGCCCATCAGCATACGGATCCTCTCTGCCATGGGCCAATTGTACGTGGAATTCCACCCAAGAAGCCAGCCCTCAATGCCTCTCAAAAAGAAGCCCGATTTGAGCACTGCTCCTGGCTTGAAGATCTCATCAAAAGGACCCAAGGAAAAGTCATCATTATTTGTTCAGATGAATCACGAAAGCAATTCGGGCCTGGCCATTCTGGAGGAGGCAAAGCTAGAGTCTCTAGGCCTATGGGAAAAGATGCCAATGAGTATGCAATACCCGAGAAATCTGCCAAGTTCTCCTTCTCCTTTTGGGGTGCCATGTGCTCAGATGACCGCATTCCAAGGCCTTGCATTGTATGGGAGCCAGAGTCTCAAGAGCAGAAGGATGAGCTTGAAAAGAAGCTCATCAAAGACAATGAGGATGCGAAGGAAAGGGCTGAGAGGTCTCAAAGGAATGCCAACATCCAAGGGACCTGGGAGTACAACCACATGAAATCAGTGAATTATAAGATTCGAGGTGACAATGAGCGCCTCACGCAGCAAGGAATTCAAAAGGGAAGGCGCTATACACGAAGGCCCGAGCAGGAGTTCAAATATGAGGTATTCACTCGAGGAAAAGGCAAGGGTATGGATGCTGCTTGGTACGCCAACAATATTCTAAAGCTATTGCTCTATCCTTACTATTTTGCTGTATAAAAGCAAACCCGGATAAAGAGGTCTGGCTTATTGAGGACAACGTCTCCCTTCACCATTCTGCTTGAAGGAAGCTCTCACATCTCTCCTCTAAGATCAAGTTTGTGGACCACCCAGCTTTCTCACCTGATTTGCACCCAATTGAGCGAGTCTTTAGAAGGATGAACCATCCTATAAAGGTATACGACTGCCATAGCGCCAGCAGGCAAGCCAAGGATGAAGCTAGGCAGTTCTTGCTTGATCTATGGAGGAAGGACAAAGAGGTGAATGAATACATCATCTCCCGGGCCTCGAATAACACCTTCTTGGACCTGGCAAATAAGTGCAAATTGAAGGGTGGAAACAACAACTTCACAGCATGATAGCGCACTTGATTATGGCCGTGCACGCTACCACCTCGTGCACGGCCTCAGAGGCCCCTCAGCGCTTTTTCTCTCAAGCTTCGACACCGCACAACTCCACCAAAAATATACAGATTTCCTTCAAAAATGGATGCAATGGAAGCTGCGTTCGCGGAGCTTGATTTGATGGAGAAGAAGATGTATACCGAGGTTGCAAACAAGCATGGGATTGACAGAACTACGCTCTCACGGAGGTACCGAGGAATCACGAAGTCAAAGGCTGAGGGCTACAATTCTCAAAAGCTCCTCTCTCCTGGCAATACTAGGGCTCTCATCAAATACATCAACGACCTCTCCGAAAGAGGCCTGCCTCCTATGCATCAAATGATACGAAATCTCGCCCAGGAATTGGCTGGGAGAATGCCAGGAATCCACTAGGTTTCACGCTGGGTCCATTCGAATTCCAAACACCTTAAAATCAACCTACCTTCTTCCAATTGATAAGGCACAAAAAAGGGCTGATTCTGCCCTCTACTACAGCCTCTACTTTGAGCTTCTTGGCCGCAAGAGAGATGAATACAACATCCAGCCAGGAAATAGTTACTCTTAGATACTCCGCTTTGCAACAGCTTTACACCGCTGGACACGCGGAGCAACCGCCAACCATACTACGGCACAATGGCAATGCTTTACCCGATCTCGGACAGTGTCGCAAGAGTTATCTAGAAATACTACTGCTTCTCTCTCGCTTCTACATACAGCGGCCCTTCTCAACCAAAGCTGCGCTGTTCCGACGCGGCCCCGTTGCACGGAATCTAGCCAGTCAGGTCGCTCGCTGATGGACGGCCTCACCGCTTCTGTTTATGCCTAGCTGACAGCACGCTGGTATAAGTTCACCTCCTGCGCCCCGCCACGTCCTTCTCTCCCAAAGCTCGATTACTATGTCCTCTCTCTCTCCCGTCAAGCTTGCCCCACCAATAAGCACCCTTTGCCTGTGACCATTGTTTCCAATTCAATTGTCGCTCCTCCACCTTTCGTATTCTCACTCACTTTCTACTCGAGCCTTGTCTTTCTTTGTCGGATGCCTCACCTCTACATCTACTACCCTACCTACTCGGCATGGTCGGCATCGATGAACGCCGTGAGTGGGGTCCGTGGGGAGACGAGGGCTACGACCATTTGCTCGAGCCGCTCGACTTCTTTGACGCTTTGGGGCTCGACCCCTACCTGACTTACGACAAATCATTCTTGTTGGATCGAATCAAAAGGCTTAGAGATACCCTGCATCCAGACGGCTACGAGCAATGCCACCAGATCTAAAAACTACCCTCACGCCTTGGCTTCTAGATTTGAACAAGACAGCGATTTGTGCCCGCCCGCCTACTTCCCTCGTCGCCCCCGCGGCTGCTTCGCAGCTTTTCCCCTTCCGCCGCTCAACGTTTGCTGCCTCACCACAACAACAACATTCACTACTCTCAGATACTCCGCTTTGCAACAGATTTACACCGCTAGGCACGCGGAGCAACCGCAGACCATACTACGGCAACACGGCGGTGGCCTACCTAATCTCGGACAAGTGGACCATGGGCCAGTTCGTCAGCCCGTTCGATATGCATCTAGACAAGTACTCTGCTCAATTCATCAACGGCCAGTTCACGCCGCAGTACACCGACTCGCTGCCGCCCAAGCAGATGTGCGGCCATTGGGACGTCCCAGATAAGCGATACGATGCATTCACGGATGCCACAAGTCAAGCCCTAGAGCGCATCGCCAGGAGGAATCATAAAAGCTCGTCAACATCCACAATAATGTCCAGAACCACACACTTGACGACAACGCTCCACAACCACCAGCCCACCCAGCCCGCTACGAGATCTCGCAGACGCGCTGCAACTGCAAAGAAAGAGAAAATTAGCATCCGTCAGCCTTAGACAAGCCCGCAAACAACCTGCCAGGGCCGCTAAAGAAGAGGCCGCTAAGAGAGCGGCCGAGGAAAGACATCTCACATACGAGGTCTTTAAACCACTCCCAGCCGATGTCCGACCCATATACGCCGAAGCTGCTCGCATCGCTAACCCCGCTCATCCAGACCCCCTCATCCACCCTAACCGGCCGAGGCAAAGCCAAGCGCTCTAAAATCCCGCAATCCCGCGACGACCAGCGCGGCCTACCGCAAGGCCGCGCAGAAGTGCCGCATGAAGAAGAGGGAAGAGTACGCCGAGCTCCAGAACACTTACGAGAGACTTGCGAAGCAGCAGTGCAATCTGGATGCTGAATATCGGCATCTGCGGAACTTCTGTCTTGGGCTAAAGTTGGAAATCCTAAGGCATGCAAACTGTGAGGATCCGCGCATTAATAATTATCTCCAGCAGGCGGCTAGTTCGTTGCGGATGGTGCCGCAGAGGAGTGGAGTGGAGATGGGACAAGGGCTGGGACCGGTAGTGAGAGGAAGGGGGTGGATGGGGATGCAGATGCCGTCGGTGCAGATACCGCAGGCACAGCTGAATAACCACAAGGGCGATATGACCACGCTGCCGATGCAACAGACTATGCAGGTTGGGCAGCAGATGGGAGGACGCCGTGGAATGGCCGACGGAGGTGGATAATGAGGTTGATCAGTGGAACGGACACACCGAAGACGAGTTTAGAGATCTTCTTCTTGGCCAGTCTATGGCTGACTCCGTTCATAACAGCCCGATGACCACCGCCTCGACTATGCTCCTTATTATCTGAGCTGCTTCAGCTCCCTTTCCCTTCCTTACCTTGTTCTTCTGTAAATAGGATATAATGCGTATACGTTAGTTGCCTCTTACACCATTCACAGTTAGATACTTACAAATTAAAAGTTTTAGAAGGCAGAGCAGCTTCTTGGGGTAGCGGCATACCATAAGCAATCGCATCAATCCACGATACATCGCATCAACATCCCGCATAGGTGTGCCCTAATGCCTACGTACCTTAGGGCTATGCAACAAGTCCGTTTTGTGACATTTAACAAGGTAGAAGTGAAACGCACAGTTAATTGTTGAGAGTCTGTTTTCGTTGTTGGAAATTCGAGTTGTTCGCGAGAGGATGTCTACCGTTCGTTTACTGCAGGCAAATAGATTCTAGAGAAATTTTGCTTGATACCAGCTGCAGCCCTGAACGGGACAGTGAGAGTGCTCTATCGCGAACGTCAAAAGCGTCAAAATATGGGTAGCGCATTTCCTCTTGGCCCTACAGACACGCCACTAAGATTAAATCCGAAAAGCAATGCGAGAATCCCCATTCATGCAGCATCTCATTTCGCTATTCGAGCATGCAACTCGCACAGTCAACTGCACCATTCGCAACGCCATGGCGCGCAGTATGCCCATGGTCGGAATTCTTCAACAATTCCAAGAACGCCTCACCCCACCTCTTGCTCGTAAACTGCTCTACACGCTTGTTTAAGCTTTCCCACCTCGCCGTCTTCTCTTCCCTCCCCATAGTCAGGGCGCACTGGATCGCGTCTGCAAACTCGTCCGTGTCCCATGGGTTAATTGAAACGCTTTCATCTAGCACCTCGGACGCGCCTGCGAATTCAGATAGCAGCAGAACGCCATGGTGCTCTCTTTGGCACACGACGTATTCTAGCGAAACCATGTTGAAGCCGTCACGTATGGATGATACGATGCATACGTCCGACACGGCATAGAGTGCCGCCAGCTCGGCCTTAGACACAGAACTAAAAAGCGAGTGGATAGGCATCATGTCGACAGGACCGTGTTTTTCGTTAACTCGAGAGACGGCCTGGTTGATTTGGTTGTGGAGCCCTCGGTAATCCTTAACATCTTCGCGGCTCGGAATGACAACCTGTAGCAGGACGACCTTGTCGGCATAGTTAGGATACTTGGTTAGGAAGGCATCCATTGCTTCGATTCGAAGGGGTATGCCTTTGATGTAGTCGAGGCGGTCGACTGAGATTATCAGCTGGACACCTTTGTACTTTTCTTTCAAACCTTGTACGCGTTGTTTAACATCTGAACGGTCGAGTAGTTTGCGGAATTCGCTGGGGTCGATCCCTACCGGGCTAGTAAGGAGATTGACTTTTCGGTCTTGGAAAATGACCTGGGAACCGCTTGTGTCGAGGTGCCTACGTGTCAATTAGTATGTGAATTATGAGCCCACAGTTGTGGTAAATACGCACAAAAATTTTGTGCAGCAATCAAGGAAATGATGCGTATAGTCTTGGTTATGGAAGCCGACGAGGTCGCAGTGGAGAAGGCTCTCCAGTAAGTCCTTTCTAACTGGTAGTATTCTGAAGAAGTCGCTACTAGGGAAGACAGTATGCAAAAAGAAGCCGATCCTAATCCTTTTGCCGTCGCCGAATACTTGGCGTAGATACTGCGGCATTAAGAGTAGATGGTAGTCTTGGATCCATATGATGTCTCCGTCCTCGGCCTCTGATCCTATGGATTCGGCGAAGGCGCGATTGACTTCTTGATATGCTGTCCAGTCCTCTTTGCTTATGTGGATCTGATCTGCTTGATAATGCAGCAGAGGCCATAGGATCTTGTCTGCAGAACACCTCTAGTGTTAGTGTCCCGTCTGTAAAGATACGGTATCAAGGATAGGAACAGCCCGGATGAAGAAAAAAGTGGGCCACACGAACTCGAAAACCCGTTATAATGCTTATCTTCAAGAGCTTTGTTGAAGAAGATAGGATAAGCCTTCTGAGTTGCCAATTTCTCCTCCACCATCGCTCGATGCTGCTCAGGTATCTCCAGCCCAGGCCAACCGTACCATCGAAATTCAGTCGACCCTGCGAAGCCTTGTAGCGCTCCTACGAGGCCTCCGCTAGATGACGAGACGTCGTATGTGTTATCATCGGTTCGCGTGACCGTTACAGGGAGGCGGTTGGATACAACGAAGATGACAGGCTCACGATGTTGGCGGGACATCCTTTCGCGAGTAGAAGTGGAAAGCACGAAAAAGCTTCCCTTCTCCTAGAAACCGCTTGCAGAGCTTTACTTTAAAACAGCCACTTTAGATCCTGCATGAGCGCGCGGACAAGAGTAATGACATCGTTTTGACATAAGCTTAACGTACTTCACATGCGAGTCGGCCACCTCATCAACGAACGTTCCTCCATCAGATTCGGCCCGTCGCCTCGCCATTGTTTCGACTTAGCTATTGCAATATCTGAATCGCCGACGACTGAAAGAATTGTGTGAACTCTAATGTGAGCATTCATTACGATGCAGGAAGGCCGTGAACCCCTGCAGCCGCGCACAGAGTTTAGAGTCCACGGTGGGTATACAGAGATCAGCCAGGGTGAATTTCTCCCCCGCTAGTACTACCTAAGTGATATAAATTCATGGTACGTCCGTAAGACTCTTCTTTAACTATCACCCTCAGTCCTCACGCACGCTCCGTCCTACCATCTGTGAGTGCATACATCCTGCCAACACAACAAAAGCCTATTATCGTGGCTCTAGGTACGTCTTGAGTGTGACATAGTCGCTGGATTGCTATGTACCAAGGGGATTTGTTGCTTGCACTATGCCAGTAATAGTGCTTGTTCTTGAGCCGTATTCATGAAGTAGAATGTATATTATGGTGAAAAACGTCCCGTAGATGCTCGTCTATCACTCAGGTTGCAGCACTACAACCTAGGATCAACAACTCATATGCTAGAAAGCTACTCCGAACATCAGCTGTGGAGAGCCCAGCTGAAAACTCAGCTGTGCAGTGTTCAGCTGAACTTACTAGCGCGCCACCCAGGGGGTGGCCCCCCTTCCTTCCCCTAGTATATATACAACTAGCTAGACGTCTATAGAAATCAGAGTTCACATCAATTTCAACCTGAGTCTATCATCAATCTATCTTCCAGCAATCTCCACCATTAGTCCCTCTTCAAAACCGATTTTCATCTCAAATCATTCATCCCATCTCACTAACATGAAGCTCATCACACTCTCTCTCCTCGCCACCCTCCTCGCCTCAGCAGGCATCACCAACGCCGAACCACTGTGCCAGACTCAAAGCGCAGGCTACTGTCAGGGCATCTACAAATGCAACCAGCGAGCCGACACCTTCTACGTTGACTGCGTATTCGGCATCTATGACAGCAACTGCAGCCTCGTTGGGCATAAGAATAGCCCCAATAACAGCGATGCCATTGGCGCTGGGGGAATCCCGTATACGGCTGTAGTCACAAAACTCGGGTTGTAACAGCTACAACCTAGGATCAACAACTCATACGGTTCACGGTCACCTACGTACAGGCACTCCCCCCCTTTTTTTTCTCTCCTTGATTCTCGTCCTTTGGTTGGTTGCTACTAGCGCGCACTCAGCGTGGCGAGGCCCTCTGTTCAGCTACACCAGGGTCCTCTCAGCGGTGTCCATTCCTTTCAGTTGGCCTCTATTCAGCTGAGCTGATAAGACCTAGGGGGTGGGCCATTTCCTATTAGTATATATTCGGCCCGTACGGCCACTACAATACAAGCAGAGTTCACATCAATTTAACCTGAGTACAAAGCATACCTGGTCCACCGACAGCTCGAAGATCAAGATGCAGTACAAGTATGGGGGCGTAGGTATTGGGAAGGCAGGATACCAGGGGGATTGCCAGGCAGAGTTTGGTCGCCGGTGTGCCTTTGTCAGGAGTGGCTTCAACTGCCAACCTTAGAGCTTAAATGGTATGTGTTCTCTTGTGCTTCTAGTTCTCTGTATTTGGTGGCTAAGGAATTCTAGGTTCTACTTTGGAAGCTCCACGCTGAGAAAGCCAGATAGCCGTTCGGCTCTAGACTGTCAGAGCACTAGGCATTTGAGAATAGGAGAAATATTTTGTGGACTTGCTCGAGGTCCTCGTTGTTGGGTGATGTGGTCTTCAGGAAGATTGTTAGTGTTGACATGGATTCTAGGGCTGGATTATAGAAGCTTCAATAGTTTACTAGAGGCTTGGCCAATATAAGTAGTTATAGTCCTTAATATAGATAATAAAATTGATTATAGTAGAACCCGGAGTTGGACAAGAAAGAAAGCCTTACAACACGCGCTATGCTCTTTTGGGCAGACGCTGAGCAAATCCGACTTCCCTGACCATCTCTACGCAATCTGTTATCATCACCATTCTGGATACTCTGGATGCCGCACTCGCATTGAAACTTTCCGAAGAGGCTCTGCTCCACGGAACTCAGGAAAGCCATCCGCAGCCGTCTTCAACCCCGCAATATCGTATTCTCTGACTCCAATCTGGAAACAGCATTATGATTCTCAATTCCATCTCAAATTCTGCTCAATTCATCTCTGTCTACTTTCTCATTCTCTTCTCTCTTGCAAACTATCATAATGTCACTCCTTAGTGCCCTCTTCCAACCCCTATACGACTCCATCTTCTCCACCCTCCCCTTCCACTAACGCTGGCGTATCTTCCTCCCTGAACCCATCCTCCTCCTCTCCGCAGCCCTAACCCTCCCGCAACTACTACACCATCTCCGTCCCAATCCGCCACGGCTCCACCCGCGCCCTCCTCTTCCTCCCTCCCTTAACCCCCCACCACTTCCCACAACACCGCCACCCCCCGCATCCCCTCCGTCTCTCCCTACACCCGGCGCCTTCGTATCCAGCCTCCCCGAAGCCACCGCCCCCTTCTGCACCCACCTCAGCACGACCACCTCCTCCGTCATCGTGTCAGCCACCTAAGGCTTCGCCCACGCCCACGCCACGCCTCCCCCACCGCCATCGACGACGTCGACGACGACGCGGTAACCCACCTCCTCTCCCCCGCCTTCTCCTCCTGCCTCCGCTCAAACCACGGCATCGAGATCAAAAAACGTCCTCTTCACGCTCGACGAGCGCGAAGGCGGTGTTGGGATACTACGCGCCAGCTGATATGAGATTGCGGCCGTGGGAGAAGGTGAAGTCGGGGGGTGGTTGGCCGGGTAGTGGGATCCGCTGGGGAGGCTGATGCGGCTATATGATGCGTATGCGGGGCCGGTGAGGGAGGGGGAGGTAGGGAATGCGAGACTTAAGTCATGTGGTGATGGGGGATGGGGTGGTTGCCGCGGGATCTGTTGTTGGTGGTGCCGGGTGTGGATGTGCTTGGGGGAGTTAGAGGGGGATGATGGTGCCACGAGCGCTCGAGAAGATAGAGGAGAGAAAGGGGGGTAAGAGGTGGAAGGGGAGGATTGAAGCGAGAAGTGTTTGAGGGATGTTTTCATGGATGGTTGGAGTGTGAGTTCTACTGTGAGGCCGGGCAGCTGGCTGTACCAACAGCGCCACAAAAGAGTGTGATTGAGAATCGATCTTGATTCTTAACTGCCAGCGACTTGCACGCTCACAAGTTAATGTTACCCGCAGGTCCTGACATCTACCCCTTTCTCTTTCCAGTTCTCAAAGCCGACCTTCTATCTTCCAGATCATGCCACAACTTATCGCATACTACAGTGCCCAACTTCTCCCCAAGCAGCGTCAGGAAGCCTTCGACCTATGCTGCTCACTCATCGCAGACGCTCACAGACGCCATGGGTACACCAACAGCCCTATCTAAATTCACCCAGGGAACTAACCCAAAGTCAACTCAACCGCATTTCTATCAAGCCCTCACTTTTGACGCAAGATACCCACTCCATTAGAATATCCGCTCTCTATATACTTGAAACCACACCTCTACCATCAAATCTCTCAACACCTCATCCCATCCAGATCACGTGACGCGATCAATCCAACGCCATCCCAAGTCCACCTCGTCTCCCCTCTCACGACGTAACCTAGAAGCCGAATTAGTCGCCGCCTCTATTCTATACATCCACAAAGTATACGAAGCAAAGCTTCAAGACGCACGGTCCAACACCAACACCCCACCACCAACAACCCCTCCTGCAAGCCACACATCGCGTCCACGGCGCCAACCTTACATCCCGCAGACATCCGGCCACCGTCTTTCCCATCACGCAAACCCCCGCTTCAGCTCACCCCGCAGGAGAAGCCGCTCGAGGCGCCGCCACGTGCCTCGATTTCTATGTAACCTACCACAAGCAGTGCGCCGTACATTAGATTCGCGTCAGACATCACGCTTCAAGGTGTGAGAGTATTGAGATTTCCATCGACAAACCGTCGCATTAGTTATTATAGTAATAGATTACCCACTGCCTTCCCCTCTTTCAGGCAGTCGTCGACTCCCCCATCCCATCCCATCCATCCCAAATCCAAACCCCCATGCCATCCCACCCCAAAAATGCAGCAGAGAAACCCCCTCCCATCCCGGGTTTCTCCTCTTCAAAAACTCCTTCCCATGATCTAGCGAGCGTGAAACTTTTTAAAGTTCGGTCGGGACAGCGAACGTTGTGGATGCGAATATACACTTAGTGGTACAGGAAGCGACTGGATCCGGGGTATCAAAGGGTGTTTGTTTGCGGGGGTGAGTTACGAGCGGGCGAGCGTGTCTCAAGCTCCGCTAGGCTCAGAGCCCCTTGAAAAAAGGTGATTACAAAAATGTGGACGAATACCGCTGAGAGGCCGTCAAATGGACAGGCCGGGTCGATGTAGAAGCAAAGAAGAAGGGGGTAACGGTAGGGTAAGGCTGGCCACGGGCGGAAGGATCCATAGGGTTGAAGGTGGTAGGATACCGGGCGTGTGCCGAAGGAATAGTTAGTTACGGTGGTAGAGGTGTGCTCGCGGAGGTGTGGAGGTAAACAAGGGTGGTCGGTTTCAGTAGCTTGAATGGAGGTGCCAGCCTAGGTATGCTCGACGCCAGTTCCAGCGGCGGGAACACAACTCTCCTTCTATGGGCCCAAAGTAATTGTCGTGAAAAGTAATTGAAGTGAAGTGGGATCTCAAATGGTCGCTGGGAAATGCTCAAATGAACTCCGTTGATGCATAAATCGTTAAGAGCGTGACCGTGTGAGGATGATCAAGATGGATGTATGGCGAGGTTGTTGATGAGGGGTTGGTGATTTATATCCAAAGTGTCGCAAATAGGTGATAGGGCGTGCTACCGGATTTGCTCGTGGTCGGAGTGTGAGGCGAGCGTGTCTCCTTCCCAGAGAGACTGGTGTTCGTCGATTGGACTCCTAGAGCCGGTCGATGGACTCCTCCCGCCAGACGAGTATGACGACGAAGATCCGACCGTCCACTCATCGCTGTCTGATTGAGGGTGAAATTCCTCATAGATGTCGAACATGCCGTGGGAAAAATCGTCTACTAGCTCCCCGATTTCGACGTAGTCATAATCCCAGCGGAATGTCTTGTCCATTTGTACGCGGGGAAGGAATTTGGCTCGGGCAAAGAAGAATGCGATTCCAGCGACTAAATCCATTAGCTTGTGAGAGTCAAACTTGAGGTGTGGAAACTTACGTAGACTACCTGCCACTAAATCGACAGCATAGTGATGGGATAGATACATGGTCGCCCACCACAGCCACATGGTGTAGAAAATGTAAATGGGCATCATCTTCGGGAACACATGGCCCATGAACAAGGTCTCGAGCGTCGCCCAACCAGAATGCAGCGAGGGGAAAGCTCCAAACACCATGGGTGACGCGTGGAAACCCGAGGTGTACAGATCAATCCCAAAAAGCTTGTCAATAGCCTTCAACCCAGCAGCATCGCCAGCCATGGAGTAATTTGCAGGAGCCAAGCCGTACATGTTCTCGTACCATGGCGGTGAGCAGGGGAAAATGAGCTGGATCATCACACCAGCCATGTTCATGTAACCAAAGGCTCTGGCGAATATGGGCATGGTTCCGGGAGGCCCCCAGAGGAAGAGACAACCGCACACGACCACGGGGGAGCCATAATGCGCAATGCCGTATGGTAACCACGCTAGGACATCCAGGACTACATTTTTGTGGACAGAGAGTATGTTGCTGAGGTTGGCGCCGTAGAGGATGTTCTCGAGGGCTGGGAGCACTCGGACCCAGATCGGAGGTCTGTAGTCGCCTGAGATGAATCTTTTTATAGAACGTTAGCCGACTGCGCCAGATTGGTTTCTGGCATGAAGTTCGCCGTGGGCTGTGCGGCCGCGTATAGGTATTCGCAGATCCGTGACACTTCCAGATTCGCCCCCAAAAAGTTGTGTGGCGCAGTACGAAAAAGAGGCCAACTTACTTGCAGCAGTAGAACAGCAGTAGCCACGTCAGGGCCGGCAGAAATGGCAACAGGAACTGGCGAGTTATGGGCATCAGGGCGCCGGCCATGAGGAGAGCCGCGGTGAAGGTCTTTGCAAATGGGCCAGGGGTCTCCATGACGGAGAGGGCGAAGATGGCAACGAGGGCCAGGATGAGGTACTGGGCGTCATAGTAGGACCACCGATGTGACCGCAGCGAGCGGAGTGTGTCCTTGGGGTTGAAGGAGGTCTCGAGCGAGCTGATGGAGGAGGTGGGCGACTGGCGGCTTCGTATCCGCGACTTGGTGGCCCTCCATTTCCTGCGCACGCGGTGGGGGATGAAGGCGCTGAGGGCCGGGACCCTTGTGCTGGACAGCATCTGGGGCGCTGGCGTGTCGAGGAAGGCAAATATGGACGACTTGGCCATCGCAGGCGACTCCAAAGCTCCTCAGAGGCAAGTGATCCGCGGACGGTCCGAACAATGGGTTGGAGAGGAGGGCGGCGCGGGACCGGCTCTGAGCGGCAACGGCGAGACTGCTGGGCGTCCGGAAGTTGGCTGAGGGCGGGGACAGTCTGGTGCCAGCTCGACTCGGGATCGTGAGGGAGTTGGAGAGCGTGGGCTTGGGGCGGCGGCGGATTATGAAGCTTGGGGGAGTGCTGGGCCGGGAGGGTCGGATCTGAGGCGTGCAATTTGCCAGGCCGGCCGAGAGAGCCAGCCCGAGAGCAGCCTCGCTGGTGGCACGCTTGGAGCCCGCGCCCGTCGAATCAGCGCCGTGCAAATCTCGTTTGCGCCCCGAGTGCGAGAGGATTGCTCGACCACAGCTGACAGCCGCCGAGGCGTGGAAAGGAGGCGCAGATTCAACACGCCGCGGGTTGCACGATGGGTGCGGTGGTGCTCCGGCAGGCGTGATGGACTCGAAGCAACCAGAGCCGCAGTGTGCGATGATAACGGGCAGCGCCATGTCGCGTGATGGCATAAACTCCATGTCGTCTTCTGCATCTGCTTCACAAGATGCGTCTGCGATAGGTGTGCTCCTCCGCGCGCGACATGGGCCTGCTTCCAGCCATCCATCACCAACACCCGTCAGCATCGCGATGCGCCCTCTCGTCCATAAACTGCCTCGCCTTTCCTTGTCCCGCGCGCTCCACGGCCTCATTTCGCGGTTGCGGCATAGTGCTTAGTCGTGTCCATGATGTCAGCCGACCGCGGTCGCGCAAAAACGCCAATTGTGCAGTCATGGCCGCTCTCCAGCTTTTCACCACCGAGCAGACGCCGCCCCAGCCTTGCCGCTGCCACAACGGCGTGCACTGGCTCGCAGAAAGCGTGATCGCTGCACAGCATCTCCGACTGTGCTGAAACCCGTTTCCTGCAGCACATCTCGCCTTGTCCCCGGACTTCCCAGACCTGTCTCTGGCGACAACCCCGCGCCTCGCTCAAAGCCCCATCGCCTGAAGGAGATAACAATACAGAATCCACAATCGATGGCATGCAAAGGCGGCACCTCGCTGATCAATCCTCCCGAGCCTGCGTGCAGGCCCGGAGTCTAGCAATCGCCGAAGCCGTTCCCCGAGGACCTCTCCGACTGCAATTTAACTTCAAAGCCAAGACTTCACCAGCCTCCCGACCCCAGTCCCCGGAAAAATCCTCCATTCAACTCACACCCGGCTCAACTCATGTAGAACCCCAGGGTCTGCCTCGCCCGTTTCATCCTCGGACACCACACGCAACCCCCAAGGCGCAGTGCAGTGCAGTTCGTCGCATCTACCACCCGCGCCACACCTCCAACCCAGCGCCCCAGCGCACGCACGAACAGGCATCCCAGCACCCCGTTCTGGCGGTTCGCGTTTCACCTCGCGCCGTACCGAACGGCACCCAGCACACGGGGCTGGCGGTGGTTTGAGCAACTTCGCTTCCTCCTGCCCCTGGATGACACCACTTGGTAGGGCTGGCCGCCTGGCAGGGCAACCCGCGCCCAGCTGCCGGAGCCGGTTGATTTTCCCTACCGCTGTAAACAGATTTGAAGGATTTGTCTCGGGTCTGTGCCTTGTCCCGTTGGCAGGGTGAACTGGCAGTTAAGTCTTCAGATGAACGCTGCGGGATGAGGATGGGCGCTGGATAGATTAATAACGGTGGGTCTGACTCTGGATTGGGGAATAGTGGGCTTTAATGGTAATCAGCTGGCGGGGATTTATAAATTATAGAAGATCTGTAGGTATACACTTTTCTATCACCGTCTGAAGTGCCTCGATACGCTTTCATAATCTACTCATGACGAAAGCTCATCATCTTGAACGATCAGCAAACTCGCTGAGGCGCCACAGACAGCGCTGCCCTTATGTATGCATATCTATTCGTTACGGTCGTCGGAGCAACATTTTCGGATCGCAAGACCTTGAAGGAGGCTTTGCGCTTTACATCACGAGTATGTTCACCGTACAATTTCTCATCATAAATTTGTATACACTCGTATACTACTGTTTGAAGCACCTAGAGACTTTCACAAATCTATTAAAGATGGGCCCTCATCATGCTGAACAATCAGTACCCTCGCCGAGGCACCTCGGACGGCACTATCCTCGTGTACGCAAATCTAGCCATTAAGGTCGTCAGAGCTCCAATGTCGGATTGCAAGACCTGGGATAAGGCATTGCACTTCGCATCACAAGTTAGACCTACGTAAGTACCTCGACCTGCTTTCGCAAATCTCAACAGGATAAAAGACTACCATTTTGGACAACCAGTAAACTTACTGGGGCACCTCAGACGGCGGTCTCTGGAGTTGAGGAGTTGGCAAGAGAGGAAGAAGTCTGATCAGTCTGTAAGGATGCAGGCGTCGGTCTTGAGTTGGTAAAAGATTGCTGTGCGGTTCTCGCCAGACTCTCATGCAATGTGCACCGTCTACACTTGTTTAGCGCTGTGTAAGGTACCTCGACCTGCCTTCACAAATCTAAACAGGATCAAATATCATCACTTTAACGAACCGGTAAACTCGCCAGGGCACCTCAGACGATGGCACCCGCTATCAGCACGACGCATTGCAGGGAAGAGATTTGGTCGAGATGGGTTACTTCATTGCAATTGTTGTGCAGTGTTCGCCATAGGTGTATATACTATGTGTACTGTGTACACCCAGCTACCACCGGCTGAAGCACCTTGTTCAGCTTTCCCAAATCTCACAGAGATGCGAGTCTATCATTTTGGAAAGTCAGTAAACTCGCTAGGCGCTATCCCGCGGTCACCACGAGGCAATACAGCAAGCACGACGGAGGAGAAATTTGACCAACTGGAATTCATTCATCTATGTTCTCATATTGGCATGCAACAAACACGCACTAGCTACACTTCTCCAACGCCGTCTGAAGTTCTTCAACGTATTTTTTTCACGCACTCCAATGAGATAGAAAATCTTCATCTTGGACGATCAGTAAGCTGGCTGGGGCACCTCAGACGTTGTCGTCACAATGGCAATACAGGGAAGAAATTTGAGCAAATGGGTTGATTCATTTAAATGATATGAAGTTCTGTGCAGCTAGCTACACCTCTCCAGCGCCGTCTGAAGCCCCTCAACATACTTTCACGCCTTCAAACGGGACAGAAAGTCATCAGCTTGCATGATCAGTAAACAGGCTGAGCCACCTCAGACGGTGTCGTCACAATACACTGCGGGGAGAAATGTGATCAAAGTGTGCTGAATCATTGCTTTCGCTATACAAGATCGCCTCAGGCAGTATTACCTACCCTCCACAATCCAAGCTAGCTACGCCTATAACGAGACCTTTCGGCCTCTACAAGCTACATAAGCAAGCACACACAGCATCCCCATCCCATATCAATCAGCATTCCAACAGGTCTCGAGCGAATTCATCAAGCTCAAAGATCTGAAACTGTCCGGGCCTCCACATATTCGTAAAGGATGGTTTCCGGTACTCGTTACTGATGTTCTTGGCCCAACTGTACAGCTCCACCTTCCAACCCTTCTTCAACGCCCGTTCGACGTTCTCCTTGAAACCGTCCGAGTACTCCGCTTCCGCAGCATCGCCGGTGGCTAAGACGATGGTCCCAGGCTCATCTGACGCGTCAAGCAGACTCTGCACCATTTTCAGGTGCAGAAGCTCGTCGACGCCCTGCTCGACCCACTTTTCCTCCTGCTGGGGAAGCTGCGGTGCTTTCGGCTCGGCGTATGTTTCAAAGGGGCTGTCTGAGCTAATGCCATAAGCAATGGGGCGCCGCCGTGGCTTCGTCCTGAGGTCCTGCTGCTGGAAGTACTTCTGTCTTTCGGTGAGTTCCCGGATTTTGAGGACTCGATCGAGGATGTGAGTTTCATAGCCGATCTTCCGCGCGGTCTCGAAGGCAGGTAGCTCGGGCTTACTGCCCACCAACACGCGCTTTGAAACAGGGCGCCGCCGTTCCATCAAGAGCGCTAAAGAATCAAAGGAAATATGCAGGTCTTCGTTGCGGAGACCCTTCGGGTAGCCGAGTAAGCGCTTCACTTCATGGTAGAAGCCAATGATGATATTCGACGCGTCTACAAACACATGAATACCGTTCATAGGTATAGTAAGCTGCATTGGCGCAAGGAGCCAATACTGGTCTTGAGGGAAACGCTGTCGAATTCTGGATGCCAGGAGGATATGACGATCGATACCGAAATTAAAACCGTATGCTGCAAGAAACGCGTGATTGAGAATGGGGACTGGCCCCTCAACCTGCGTTGGAGTGTCACGCTGGAAAGGATCGAGAGTCTGGGGGCGTTGCTCTATTTGCAACATTCCGGTTCCATAAAAGTCAGAAATAAGTGCTTGTGTCTTCGTCTGGTTCCGCGGTCCTTGGATAGCTGAAGGAAACAGGGTTGTCCTTGGCTTCGGAGGAGCAGACTGCGGAACTGAGGGAAAGCTCAGGGGCCTTCGCAGCGGAGTGATAGCGGCGTTGGCTACCTGCGTTGGCTCATCGGTGTCAGAAATGTAATTCTTCGCAAGAGCTTTCTGTTCGAATTGTGCTCGTTTCTTGGCCTTTCTTCGCTGCGTCTTAGTCGTCACATCCTCTACGGGCTGAGCAGACGGTACACCTGCTGTTGTTGCTCCACCTGTTGAGGCACTCCTGGCGGCGCCAAAGAGCTGTACAGTGTGCGCAAGCCTCTCGCTGGCGTCTGATTGGTCCGACGACAAGTCTAATAATAATTGAGGAACTTTCTGTTCTTCAACCGCAGATGTATATTCCTCGCTGGTTGTTTCTGAGGTCTCCGGAGGGAGGCCTGGGTGATCAAGGAGCTCGAACAGCTTGCCAAAGTCCCCCAGGGCCCCTCTCTTGACATCAGTAGCCTCCTCCTCTTCTTGATCACCGCCGCCTGGATCTTCATATTCCGTATCGTCGATAAGGGCCAGAGCGTGACCAAAGTCCCAAGTAGACTCCACCATTCGCGAAGGCATATCGGGGGACTGCAGGAAGTAATATTGGATTCGTGGGATTCTCGCAGTACTATGCGAGTACTATGCGCCTTGTGAGCAGGCACCACCTCGGGGATTGACAGAGGAAACTTACAGTGAGAGTTGTCGGCTGTGGGTTTCAGGCGCTTCGGCATAATCAGAGAGACTGTGGACTTGGGAATGATCGGTACCGAACGCTCTGCTGATGCTTAAACGCTGAAAAGACTGTGTAAGGACAAGGACAACTGAGGTAGGTAGGTTGGCGGGCGAGTTGTGGCGAGGATGAAGTCGAGGCGGGTGGTGATGTTATGGATGCGTCGGGGAAAAGCGGGGCCGCTTCACCGCCTTCGCCGAAGCGGCACATCGAAAATTAACAACCACGCGGGCACATTGATTGGCTCAAACGATTGAGAGTGTGGACCGAAGCGTAGTTGAAGAAGACAAGTAGGGACGGAAACACATACCGGTCTCAGGAACCCATCTGGCGTCCTCTCAAACCCCAATTGCATTCCATCTGATCCCCACCCAAACCCCACCATCAACGGACCCCTCCCCCAGATGATCCCCGCTACACCACCACACTCCACCAACCCAGAATCCTTGGGTGGGCCATGTCCGCCGACTTCTGGGCCGGCTACGTGAGCGGCGCTGCCGGCATCCTCATCGGCAACCCGCTGGACCTGGTAAAGACGCGCCTGCAAGCCGGAACATCCAGCCCAAGCCCAGACGCCTCGACCCCGGCGCGAAGCTTCAGAAGCAACTTCGATCATGCCGGCACCCTTGTGAAAGGTATGTGTGACGGGTCCCACGATCCACAAGACGGATACTTACAGGTGACCCAGGTGCCACCGCTCCAATCATAGGCTACGGCGCCCTCAATGCCATTCTCTTCGTCACCTACAACCGCAGTCTGAAACTCTTTGGCGATGACCCTGCCGTGCCATTGAACCTCTACAAAGTATGGGGTGCAGGCGCTATTGGCGGTCTAGCAACCTTCGTTGTCTCGGCGCCGACCGAGTTGGTGAAATGCAGAGCTCAGGTCTCCCTTACCTCAACTAGCTCGTGGGCAGTTGCAAGAGATACGTGGAAGCAAGAAGGGATTAGAGGGCTCTACCATGGCGGAGCAATCACTAGCGTGAGGGACGCTGTTGGTTACGGGTTCTAGTGAGCTTCCCGTTCCTGTGGCCGGCGGGTCACTAATGTCCATCCAGCTTCTGGTCGTATGAGCAAGCCAAACGCGTGACGCTCTCTCCTCAGGATTCAGATAGTCAGACGGCACTGAAGGTCATGCTCTGTGGTGGATTGGCCGGAGTCGTGACTTGGGCTTCCATCTTCCCGCTTGGTAGGCTATGGACTTTGCTCGAGGTCGATTCTTGCTGACTGGACTTCTAGACGTGGTGAAGACAAGAGTTCAGACTCAAGTGACAGGCGTTCCCCTTTCGACAGGCCCAGAAGAGGAGCAACGGTTGCTCGGGAGAGATGTAGAGGCATCTAAAGCAGAAAGTCAGAGACTAGGATCGATGCAAATAGCCAGACGGGCGTATCAAACCGAAGGACTGTCAGTCTTCTTCCGCGGGTTGGGGATTTGCAGCCTTCGAGCGTTTGTGGTGAATGCCGTGCAGTGGGCAGTCTATGAGTGGATGATGCAGCTGCTTACGCGGAAGGACTAGCGAGGAAAATCACATTCACCATAGATCAAAATCAAATAGTATGAAAACCGTTAAACCCAACTCCATTGACTGGTCAAAAGAGCCAGAAGACCGGTGTTGCATTTTAACAGTACATAAGACTTTTGTGTCTGAGTGGAGGAAAGAAATTGACAGGGTAAACCGCTCGACTTAAACCCAGGTAACCTTCCCCACAAAGCCGTTGTATTCGAGTAGGTAGAAGGTACCGCCAGCAAGCCACAAAATTTGAGTACCGAAGTATGTAACCCTTGCCCATATGAGCCCTGTGACAGGATGCATGGCAATTGGCCGAGCCGAGAATAGAAGAAGGAAAGAGAAAGAACCCAATGTCAAACCAATGTCAAGCCAATGAGCACTCTACATGATCTGATCCTGGGTAAGACCGCCGGTAGCCTCGGTTCCCTCCATAGCTTCACCTCCATTGGAAATGTTGGTGTATCGGACGTGGGAAAGACCAAGCGGGCGACCACCGTACTGATATCCAGTGAACTTGGCTGCATGAAGGTTAGTTGATATCTCTGAGCCTGACAGGACATTACGTACCAATGGCAGTGGCAGCGTCCTCCAACTTCTCGAACTGGACCACACCTGTGCCGCGGGAGCGACCATTTGCTTCATACTGGATCTCGGCGCGGCCGACCTTGCCGATGGTACTGAACAGCTCGACCAAGTCCTCATTGGAGGTCGACCAGGGAAGCTGGATGCCGTCAATTTCTGGCGTGGAAGGGAGGGTTGATTACGCTTACGTTGCGGACATATATGGTCTCGCTCTCCTCTCCGCCAGAGGTCGCGTAGTCGGTGAACTCGTTCGGGGGATTTGACGCGCCTCCTGCGTCGAAGCCACCAGCAGCCGGAGCAGGTGCACCGAAGCCACCACCGAAGCCACCGCGACCACCGCCGAAACCGCCGCCGAATCCTCCACGAGCACCTCCGAATCCGCCACGAGCACCTCCAAATCCTCCACGAGCTCCGAATCCTCCACCGAATCCTCCGCGGCCACCGAATCCTCCTCCAGGGGGAGCTTGGGCGAACCGGTCCTCGCGAACCTCGAGCTGGCGACCTTGCCAATCGTATCCGTTGAACTGTTGAATGGCGGTGCGGGCGTCATCCGCGGTCTCGAAAGCGACGATGCCGGATCCCTTCGGACGACCATCGGGAGCGACGTGAACATCTGCGCGGATCACAGAGCCGGTATGAGCTAATTTGGGGATCAGTGTGCTGTCGAGGAAAGCCTCCTTCACCTGCTTCCACATCAAGCTCAGAGTACGGGGGGGTGCCTACCAGCTTGTCTGAACAGATCCTTGAGATCCTGCCATCCCACATTGTAGGGGAGCTACACAATTACGTTAGCAGGCCATGCTGAAGTATACGAATATTGGGGGATAACAGACGTTGGCGACGTAGATCTGTCGGCCACCACCACCCGGGGTGGGTCCGAAGTTGGGTCCTCCAAAGCCTCCACGACCGATGCCTCCGTCGAATCCACCGCGCGCCGGCGGGGCAGTGAAGCGGGGTTCGGCCTCACGGTCCTGCAGATTTGTTAAGGATTTGTGCCCAGAATAATGTGTGGCGGGGAGCACTAGTACCTCGCGGACGTAGACCAGTCGGCCCATCAGGTTTTGATTGCTGAGCGTGTTGACCGCCTGTTGGGCTTGTTCCCTAGTAGCGTACTCGACGATTCTGCCATGTTTGTTAGCTATGAACCCTGGTGAGGAGGGAGGAGGAACGTACCCGCATCCCTATATACACCGGACAAGTCCCTACCGTCAATTTAATGTCCAACCAAAAAGAGAAATTTTTGTTCCATCTTAGACAAACCACACCTTTGACATTCCATTTGGAAGAAGTAACACGTCCGCGAACAGGACCTCGCCGGCTGTGGGATGTTAGCATGAGCAAAGGAGGGACGGCGGCGTGGTGACTGACCCTGTCGCATGAAATCTTTGAGATGATGCCATTTCACGTCGTACGAGAGGTTGCCGACGTAGACGCGGCGATCCTGCTGGGACGACTCCCGAAGAGACTGCATCATCTGTTCCTTGGCCTGAACGCGCTCCTCCGGGTTGCGGGTCGGCGCTCCTCGAGACGCGCCGTAAGAACCGGTGAACGAGGTGGCACCACCCTGGACAGCTCCACCTGGCGATCGGGAACGGCGGTCGGTGCGGCGGAAGTCCTCGCGGCTGCGGGAATGGCTACGTGGAGAGTAGGAGCGGCGGCTGCGACGCGGCGACCTAGAGCGACGGCGGGGAGAGCGGGAGCGCTCGCGCTGGAAGTCCTGAGCGTTAGCGTTGTCGATGGACATGATGGGCGCGTGCAACGGCGACGGTGCAGGCGCTGGCGTCCGGTTGTGGTGATGCGATGTTGGTGGTGAGTGCGACAGAGCTGTGAGGTCGGCGTTTGGAAGATGAGGTCAAAAACGGCGCTAGGGCGGCAGGTGCCGCCGCGCCAAACTTGGGCCTCACACCTCCGCAGCCATTGGAACCGCAGCGAAACCGCAACGCCACGCAGCGGCCTGCACCCCGGCGGGCAGCACAGCGACGAGAGCAGACAGAGGCACAGGAGGGGCGGGAGGCACTTACAGCTTGCGGACGGTAGCTGTCGGCGGAATCTGGCGAGCGTCAGGAGAGGGAACGAGGCCGCGGAGGATGCAGTGGGAAGAGCAGAGGAGCGTGAGGGTTCCTGGCAATGCCTGGGTGGAGACTCACCCATTATAGCACGAAAGAGGTAAGGACTCTGGGCTGCTCAGTGGAAGTCGCGTTTATGCAGGCGAACGGGGGAGGCAGGTGGGACAGGGGACGGTCTGCGAGGATGGGAATCGGCCTCCAACCAGTCAGGCGCGGCAGACGCTTCTCACAGGCTGAGCGGGTCTGTCTCTGCAGAGGATGCCTTCTTTGCCTTGTGCGCAGGCAGTGTCCTGGCCCGATGTGCCTAAACCGACGCCGCGACGGCCGCTGAGGAGGGTGCCGTTGCCCGCGGAGCGCCAATGGGATGCCACACAGCACTGGCACCGCGAAGGCGATGCAGCTGTGGAGAGATACCGACCGGACGGGCGCGTGAACGGGGTCGTTGGACGGCGGCGGACGGGAGCGCCGCTGCTGGTGCTGGACGCACGGCCAAGAGTGAGTGGGAGGGCGCCTGATAGCACAGTCTGTTAGTCGGTGGCCGGGTGCAGCGCAGAGTCCACGGCACGGCGACGGGGATGGCGATGGCGACTAGGAACTGGTGAGGTCGAGGACGTGGACAGCTTGGAGGAGAAGCGTAGAAGACGACGAAGCAAGCCGTGCTTGGGCCTCCCGGCGGCTCTAGAGCAGGGCGGAATCTATCTCCCAGCGCCACAAACACCACGGCCTCAGATGCCATGCCGCTGCCCGAACGTCACGATCTCTCCCGTTACGCTGCCTCGAGGTGACCGCGATCTCGCAGCGGACGGGCCCCGCGGTCACCACGCTGCCAGCACCCACGCAGGTACTCATATTGGGCCGCGGAGGCATCAGGTCCTCCCGCACCCGCCCGCCGCACCGCTCGCTTGGCGCATATCGAGGACGGCTGAGGAGCTGCCAGAGTTTGCAGCTGCTTCACGCCGGCCGCTTTGCGTGCTGGGCAGAGCCGTCGTCCTCCCGGCTGCGTGGGCAGCCAGCGCCTCCAACGCTCCGACGTCCCATTGGCGTCGAGATCCCACCCAGCATTCACTCTGGTCCAATCCCTCAGGTCTTCTCATCACACCGTGGCCGTGCGGGATCCCTGCACCTCCAGCATGCCCCTCACCCCCTCCAGCTCCATCTGCAACTTCTCCCGAGCCCTCAGCCTTCCTGCTGCAGAGCATCGCCGGCCGTCAGCGGGCGTCGTGCTGGTCTTGTTGGGCCGCACACCTCGTCGCCGCCGTGTGACGTGCGCTAGTATCTGATGCCAGCCTACGAAGAGGAGGGCGGCCGATTGCCCAGCCGGATCCCCTCGCATCCCAACTGGTGCTAAAAGAAGGCAACGGGGTTGCAGTGCTTGGCAGGCGTCGCACACGCAGCCCGCTTTTCAGGCCGGGCAGACTCGAGATCGTGCCGCCTGTGCAGAATCTGATGTGGGCCAGGACCGTGGCTATCCGTTTGTCACGGCGGAACGGGGACGACGGCACCTCATGCGCGAGCAGTCCAATCTGGCCGGCGACAGCTTCTCTGACGCATTCCACTCCATCCTCACTTCAACGTGTCTCTTTTCGGCCGACTTCGCTGCCGTATTCTATGCATCCGTGTGGGTCTTCAAGGTGATCGGTGAGGCAATCAGTTGCTCACTGCATCCATCACATGTCTGGGGAAGCGCCGTGCCAGACATCATGCACAGCTGAGGTGCAGCCACCATGATAGTGGCCTCTCTGGCACAAGAGGTAGGATATCCGCCCCCAACCCGCACCAAGCAGCGAAGCTCGCAAGACGAGCTGCAGACGGGCAATCACGATTGTCTTATGTCAGCGCAATCTCTGCCATGGGGGTTTCAGGTTGCTCCGACGGTAGGGCAGAGACAAGCTTTCCTGAACACCCGACGCACTGGGTTCCTCATGTTCCTTTCGCGAGACACTAGGGACCAATCTGCTTACCCTCCGCACTTCACTCACACTCTCTTCGATATCGCGTGGGGGTCCATGTTGGTTAATTTCTCTCGAATTGGGAATTTCTTCTTCTCTGCTTTCGCATTGGTCCAGGAATTATGATTATTCATCGATGGAGCCATCGTTTCTGCAGAAAACTTCATTCTCATTCGACTTCGTGAGCTTGAAAGTCGATAACATGTGCTCGATAGAAGGGTATGTTTCTTTGCGATTGTTTGGAGCCCATCGATATGCCTCAAAAGATATGTACAAGACGTATAGCAAATGTTTTGAACAATCTGCAACGTCGCCGAGCTACCTTAGATCGCGCTATCTGAAGCCTTGGATGGACTTAGGAAGGTAGGTATGTTGAGCATTTTCAGTTCACTATGTAGCAACCGGACCCCCCGAAGTCTACCCTTACAATCGAGATTTCATATCTGGGCACGCCACTGACTTCATCTTTCGGCCGTGGACGGTTGCGACGGATGTGTGAGTCAGCTTCGAATGGCTTCTCTCCCGCTTCCATATTCGACAAAAGACGACCACAGCTCCGAAGTCGATCCGTGTTGAAGATATTCGCCGTCCGCCATCCGTCTTATCCTGAATTACAGTGGACCAACAAACTGAACTCCGAGAGAATTGCGCAAATCCAGTCTCAAGCTAGCTCAGACGCGATTTCGTTGGGTCGCCTAAAAGCAAAACTAGCATCCATCGAGCTAAGCGAAAACCACAGAATCTGAGAGAGTTCAGTCTAACCGAATACAGTTTTGAGTCTAACCTTATTTCGGCTAGCGTCGGATGAGACTCGGAAAATGCTCATCGCGGAATCACGAGAGTATGAAGTTTTGGCCGCGATAGGAAAAGCATGCTCTAGAACTTCAGGGTATCTGAATCTTATACGCCGCGCTCTTTAAAGTTCTCCGTGTACGTCAAGTACATATATATATATATATATATGTCGGTGCTGCCGCTTCAAATCTCATTCTCATCATATTCACTCGCACGTCTCAATCGTCCTCCAATGATTACACGCTCAAACACTATGACTTCCTTTAATCATCTCGAGCGGGATGACTCCTCGTCCGAAACGACGAGAACAGATGACCGCGTAACCCGCTACAGTTCAATCGTCAGTCGCAGAGACAGAGAACCAATCCCATTCAACGAAGACTTAGTCAATCTCCCCTCGCGAACGCTCAGCAACGAGGCAAACCTCGAAGAATATACCCAAGAAACAATCGACGGGCAGATATTACGGGAGGTCAAGTCGAATACTACAGGAGTTATCGAAAGATATGAGCTCGTCACATGGAAGATAAACGACCCCGAAAATCCCAAGAACTTTTCCAAAGCGTACAAATGGTACTGCACCATGGTAGTGGCAATAACTTGCTTCGTGGTGGCTTTCAACTCCGCTGTAATCACAGCAGATCTAGAAGGAGTGGCTAGGGAATTCAACGTCAGCGAGGAAGTAGCACTCTTGACTATCACGGTATTTGTTATAGGGTTTGGTGTCGGTACGTCGCCCATCGTTCCTTTCATAGAAACTGTGACTAACATGAACCTCTAGGCCCTATGGCATTTGCCCCTCTCAGTGAGATCGTCGGCCGAAGGCCCATTTACGCAACCACTTTGCTCGTGGCTGTCATCTTCACGATTCCTGGATGCGTCGCCAAAAACATACAAACTTTGATTGTGACTCGTGCCCTTGCGGGTATCGCTTTCTCAGCCCCAATGACCCTCGTGGGTGGTACTTTGGCCGATCTTTGGACTACTGAAGAGCGAGGTGTTCCCATGGCCGCATTCAGCGCCGCACCATTCATCGGACCCGCCGTAGGACCACTCGTTGGGGGTTTCGTTTCCGATGGGCTGGGATGGAGGTGGCTATACTGGCTCCAGTTGATTCTATCAGGCTTCGTCTGGGCCATGATCACCTTCACCGTCCCCGAAACCTACACACCAAAGCTTCTATCTCGTCGCGCAGCAAAACTACGAGCCTCCACTGGGGATAGCAAGCATGTCACAGAAGAAGATCTCGACATGCGACCACTCAGTCAAAGACTACGTCTCTTCTTAGTCCGTCCGTTCCAGCTGCTCTTCCAAGAGTACATCGTGTTCTTTGTATCTGTGTACATGTCCGTTCTTTACGGTCTGCTCTACATGTTTTTCATCGCGTAAGTATCCTACCCAAAAGTCAAGGCACACTCTTCTAACAATATCAACAGTTTCCCAATCGTATACCAGAAAGGCAAAGGCTACTCAGCTAGCAAGACCGGCCTGATGTTTATCCCGCTCGCCGTCGGTGTCCTCTGCAGTGCCGCATGTGCGCCCTTCGTTAACAAGCACTACCTCACTCTCTGTAAAAAGCACAACGGCAAACCCCCAGCAGAGGTCCGCCTCATCCCAATGATGATCTCCTGTTGGTGCATCCCAATCGGCCTCTTCATCTTCGCCTGGTCCTCATACCCCCGACTCTCCTGGGCTGGCCCCGCTTTCGGTGGCTTCCCTGTCGGATTTGGGTTTATTTTCCTCTACAACTCCGCCAACAACTACCTCGTCGACTCATACCAACACCAAGCTGCGTCTGCACTGGCCGCGAAGACGTGTATCCGGTCGTTCTGGGGCGCCAGCGTCGTGCTCTTCACCAACCAGATGTACAACCGACTCGGATACCAGTGGGCTAGTTCGCTGCTCGGCTTCATTGCACTGGCGTGTTGCGCTATCCCATATGTGTTCTACTTCAAGGGCGCGGCGATTCGGAAGTATTCGAAGTTTGCATATAGCCCAGATGAGGAGAATATGGGTCTTGAGAAGGACATCGTTTAGGCGACCAGCGAGCTTCGTCTTCGAGGCTTTAAAGCATAGCATACCTTTCTACTACGCATATTTTCTTCATTCTAGGCGTTTTCTTCACGATATCCTAGATTCGAGTAATGGTTCGGAGACTGTACATACATAGCGCTTTGCATTTGGGTATAGAGGTGTCTGGGTTTTGGGTGCATCGGTGGGAAGGAATCAGTACAGTCTCCACGTTATAACGTTACTCTAATTTAGACAGTTTCTACAAACAAATAAACTGGTAACCATACTATCCCACGAGTTCTCATAGTTGTCCATGTATAATTCGCTAGTGAGCTCTTCAAGCTATTGAATAAATCTAGCGACGTCTGACGATAGTCCTGAGAGCGCTTTCACGGTCTGATTTATCAACACGGGAAGCTTCCAGGAGCTGCAATCTGGGATTTTGATTAAGATGATCTTCGCACATAAAAGAGCCGGCTGCCTCATAGAAACAGGGGCAGGAAAAATCGCAACTTGATCTGTCGTCGACTGGTTGATTGATGGAGATACGAAGCCAAGTAGTTCAAACCTTTGTATATAACCATATTCCTCCGTCTTGAGGTATTCTAGCTAAGCTACAAAGTAGCTGTCCAACGACTCAACACGATGAGCTTTCATCTGCTGCCAATTTATGGGTGCGGGTTGAGAGAGATCCAGCAGTGGCAAAAGGGTATTTCAAGATCAACTTGAAGCGCAATGACGTAGGCATAGAGATAGAAGAAATAAGAGAATTTATAGTTAACTGTTAACTAACTAGTTAGTTATCCACAGCGAGCTTACTCAGCACTCCCTTTATGCAGGCTTATCCCCATTCGTGACGTCCCGTGGACCCGCATTTTAGTTGTCCATCCGCGAAAGACCGAGGGGCATCTCTGAACAACACCGACGCCAAAGACGAACCTAAGCCTTCGAAGCGCGATGGACATGGATAACAATAGTCCTCCTGCCAGCATCTCTTTCCCCCAAGATACGCCGCCGCGTGCCGATGTGGACGAGATCTTGCGCCGGAAGCGCAAGGCGAGAGAGTACAAGGTGCGTACTGCCTCAGCTCTTTGTACAAGCTTGTCGAGCTTCATGTGAAGCTGTCACCTAGAACGTATAGGGCCAAGCATTCAAGAGAAGAAGAAACCAATGGTTGCCGCTCAATGGAGTCCACTGCTTCCTTGGACGCGACGATTTGCGAAAATCGCGCAATCTTTCAATTGAAGGCGCATAAGCTAACAAGCAGAGTATAGGCGTGCTATCCTTGCCGGCAACGCAAAGTCAAATGCGACCAAAACGTGCCTTGTAAGACCTGCATAGGTAAGCTGTCAGTGGATGTCCTACACTTGGATCTGGACCTCATGTAGAAACGAACGTTGGTGACGGCACCCTCTGGATTGGCCCAGCGAGATATCAGCATGACACAGCTGCACGTTTTCTCTGTCTTCGAAGACACGTTCAGATGCTTCAGGCCGTGCCAAAAGTGAACACACCTCAACCTAGCTAACTTTCGCAATAGATCGAGAACACGCAGAACTATGTACCTACCACCCCCCGGCCGAGATACATCCCCCTGCGAAGCGTATAAGTATGGGCGTAGGCGCAGGCGTGGGCGTGGGACACAATAATAACGACTTTTCAAACGGCATGGTACACATCCACGGAGGGACTGTAACTCTTCCGCGCGAGGACTGGGATCGCATATGCGCGAAGCTGCAGAGTGCGGAGAAATCTCTGTCAGACCTGAAAAACTCCATAAACAACGTATCCGAGATCCCATTGAACGGCGCATCAAATGGATACTCCCCAGGGACAATGACGAACACACCACTAGCCGCAAACGCTCCGCTGGATAACGAGCAACGACACGTGCGGACCCAAGGCATACACACCCAAAACGACCTCACAGGACAGACTATTCACATAGGCCCCAGCTCTGTCCCGGCATTGGTCATGGCGCTTGGTCGTGGGGAGACTCAATGGCCTGGGGTGCAAGACCTTTTAGGAAAGAAGAGCATTCTGCCCGTATTTGGACTGGATAACGAGAGTGCCACATATCCATTCGTGGATCTCTGGGGACTGCCACATGGATCCTTAGCACGAGCAAACGAGCTCGCTAATGCGCTACCGACTGACTCGGAATGCTTAAGCTTCTTCCGTTGCTATCGAGAGACCGCCCACATTGTTTACCCAGCAGTTGCAGATATCGAGCAGTTTGAGTCAGATATATTGCTATTTCTCATCAATCGCGCCAGCGCACAGTCGAGCAGTGATGGACCCACGGGCGTTACAGAAGAAACGATTTACGGGAAAAGCCTACAATGGATTGGGCTTCTCTTTGCAATTCTGGCATCTGGATGTCAATGTTCGGGTCTCCCTCGAAAGGAACGGGAATTGACCTCACAGGTCTACGTCTGCTGCAGTTTTGAGTGTCTTCGATTCACTAATTTCCTATCCCACGCGACATTGGAGAACATCCAAACAATGCTGATTCTGGGAAACGTCATTTCGAACAACATGAATGCTGGCGTGGCTTGGTCACTGATGGGACTTACAGTTCGTCTGTCACAGACTCTTGGGCTACACCGAGTCTGTCCTCCATCAGTTGCGCCTCAAGTTAAGGCTGTTCGGAGTAAAGTCTGGTGGGCTCTCCTGTGGCAAGACAGCCTTCTATCCATTTCCTACGACAGGGCTTCATCCACAACCACAATCGATCACACGGTCCCTCTTAGCCAGACATCAACCCCGGGCACCAGAACATATGTAGAGTGCATGTATCGGTTATGTAAAGTGGGTCTGGATATTGTTCGGGAGCGGCAGCAACCTCAAAATTCCAACGACGCTTTGATGCGCATTACAGAACACCGTAACCAACTCCAGGATATCATGTTCGACGCTGCAGACTATTTGAAAGATTCGCGGAGGTGTCGGTCAATGAGGGATCAGCTGGAACACTGGGCACTCTATCTCCATGTCTCATACATCACCTCAGAGCTTTGTCGCCCTGCCATCAGTCCCAGCACTGCAGCCTTTGACCTATCGAAGACATTGCGTAAGACGTGCATTGACAGTCTAGCAAACACCGTGGAAGCCTTCCTAGGTCTGCAAAACATGACTCCATTCGCAACTCGATCATGGGCATCCGTCCATCGATCACTCAGCTCAGCACTCCTACTCGGTATTATCGGCGAATCGTCGCGCAACGAGCGCGCAAAAACGCTGTTGATGAATCTGGTGTCGGTTTTAGGGGAGCTTTCGTCCAGCGTGGATCCAGCAGAACTTTCGGCGCCGATTACTCGTTCGGTTGCCGCGCTCCAGAGACTCATTACGATTCAACAAAGCCCGAGGGCCCCAAGATCAACCACATCGCAGTCTTCTCCGTCGACCACAAACTACACGCTCGAGGATTTGAATGGCGCCTTGAACTTCGACGACACTTCATTCATGACGCAGTCTCCTATTATTGGGTTGGATATGGAGGCGTCGCCGTATGCGTTGATGGATTCAATTATCTGGGGTGCTAAGAAGACACCTTGAATTTGCAAGAGCAATGGTTAGAGAAATTTAATAGCGCCAAAGACGCCTTAAATTGCGGGATGATTCCCGATGTGGTCGCTCGGGGTGGTTCATTCAATTAGGGAGGGCTTCAAATAGAGGAAAGCGTAGAATGGGTTGGACAACGAATGATGCCTGTAAGTGCTCGAATATCTATTCTTGAGTGGATATAGCCTAATACAGTGTCACTGACTAGGTGGAGGAAGGTTGTGCAATGTAAAAATTGATAACTCCTTCTGGGGACGCCTACGGTAGACAAGCTAGAACGCTGTAGCAAGAGCCTGCTTACCCCTTTCTACCACTACTTGCGGTGCTTCTATGTATTCCTATAACCCGGAGCGACGGGCCACGCATTCCGTCTGTGTCCACCTATAATTCATACCAGAGGTGACCCGGCAAAAGACCGCCTTGCTGAAATGAATGGCTTTCATCTCATTCCCATTACTCAAACTTATCTTGAGACTCTTCAAGCGGCGCTAGATTAGTGCCAATACCCTGATATCGCACTATTGGCTTCGAAGATGGGTAAGTTTGTCGCAATCGATAGGCATCTACGCCTTGGCATATAAATATTGAGGTCACCTGAACGGCACGCCGAGAATGACCAAAGATGGGATGAGTTAGACTAGGCAAGCATGTGATTCGGCCTTTCAAATTTATAATGGGATTCCAGCATCAAAGTGAATGTATCAAGGCTTCTTTATTTTCTTTCGCCGTCACTAACGATGGGTCAATGTAAGATTCGGGTTGTTCGGCTGCGGAACCACGGTTTGTGCAAAGCTTGACCTTTTGCAATCTTTGTCATTCCCTACACATATGTTTCGTCCTAGACGGGTCTATATTATGTCGTCTGGCAGATAGTATGGTACTCGTCCACAGTGCTCTTCCTTTCACACTCATCTCCTTGGTTTAACCCCCCGGCGACAACCAATAACAACAGCTTCGCCACTCAACCACGACGTGACCCTTGGTACAGGCAGACAATCAGAGCGGTATCCGCCCCCGCAGAATCAGAGCGTCTTACTACAAATATTTGGCAGCTCGTCTATTTCTTGTCGCCCTCACCAACGCTTCGCCAACGCCCAGCACCACTTCCATCACTACAACCAGCATGGCGCCAACCCTCCGCTCCAGCGCGCAGAAGGTCAGCCGCCTTCAAGCTGTTGCCGTCGAGATACCTGCAAAGCGTCGACATAATGGTGATTTTCCGAAGCAGTCCAGCCCGGCGACGTCTGGCGCGGGCCCTCAGGCAGACAGCCGCTCTCCCCCGACGAAGAAAGCACGGAAGAACAACGCGACGGCCGAACCAACCTCCAGACAACTTCGCTCTCGCTGCGTTAGTACACCTGTTTCACTGATTCCTAACGCGAACGCGACCAACGGGCGTCCTGCTACGGCCAGCAACGATCCACAAACCGATAAGCGAATCGACGAGCCGACCGAAGAGGAGCCAACCGAAGAGCAGGTTGACAACCGTGTCTCCACAGGTGCCACTGCTTCTGACGCCAACGACGCGCCGCCTCTGTCCCTCCCTGTTGGTGACGGTCTCACACAGGAGGAAATAGTGGTTGATACCAGTGATGTTGAGAGGACATTGCATGCTCCAACACCGAGCCCCATAACGCCAACCCACGGCCCAGATGATGTGGTGCGATCTGTCGAGAAGACCACAGGATGGTATTCAAACGTCGATGCCTCCTTCTCCGAACACCACGTCCAACCACCGATTGCCTCGCCGAAGAACACGGAAGCCTCCAGCCCCAACGACTTAGATGGACCATCTGAGGATCTGTTACGAGATGATGAAGCTTCCCTGAGCCCTAGCCCGGGCTTGCCCGCAATGAAATATGCCATCCAGGATCACGCACCCTTTGAGCTCATATTCGGCGAAGCAGAGCGTCTTCTCCGTCTCCTGAACATCCAGTACGCGAGTAGGCGCAATCAGACTGATAGGGTCACCGTACAGCAGTTCTATTGCGAGCTCTACGTTCGTGCGACCGAGGGTATGGATGACTTCGAACGTCTAACTCTGCTCACAACCTGCTTCGTATACAAGACCAAGGCACGGGTACTTGAGTACCTTCGACTGCTACCCCAGGACAAATTGAAATGGGTGGAGAAGGCCATGGCTATAGTTGAAGAGCGAGGTCGGGACCGGTTCGAGGGAAACTTTGTCGGACATCTGGCTTTGATACCAAACAGGAAGATCACGGAGGGTAAGAACAAGAGAAAACGCTTGGAGGAGGCAGGCGCTATCGAGCCAACTAGTATAGCACGATCTGGACACGTACTAACACCCTCAGGCGAGAGCGACGCTGTCTCAGAATCCGATGCTGGACCCAGCAATCAGCCAGCTTCGTCAAGCACTACTATTCATATTATAGGTCCGCCTGCCCCCGATCCAAAGTCTACCCGTCCAGTCCGCGCTACCCGATCTACTCGGAAACACGCCTCCCCACCCGCCAACGCCAAAACTACCACCTGCGACGTTCCCAGTCGTCCGAAGTCAACCGTTGCAGCTCCACGAACAACCCAAGCTCCACGAACCACCCAAGCTCTACCACCGCCTCCCCCGATCTTCATAATCCCAACCCTCCCCCTCGGCTACCCCTCCCACAGCATCTACATCCTCGCTACCCTCATCCCCCACGTGGATCTCACCACTGACGCCATCCTCGCGCATCCCGCCGCCAGACAACTCTACCTTGGGCAGCACCTCAGGAGGATCACCAAGCCGACCCTCCCCGACACTGTCAAGAACGACAAGAAGCGCACGGCGCAGTTCAACGCGCTGTTTGCCCATCTGGCGGAGACGAGCGAGTTGTTATGCGGATGGGAGGGCCAGGCGGTGCTCTTCCGCAACCACGAGTTGAAGGGGTATCAGATGGAGGATATTGAGCAGTGGGTTGAGGCGTTCTGGTACGGGCGCGAAGAGAGGAGTGAGGGCCATGAGAAGACGAAGAATGTGAAGTTTAGTGATGTGTTGAAGCGAGTACACCTCATTGAGGCAAGAGGTGAGGGCGAGGAAAGCGATGAGGGTGAGGATGTGGGAGATTCGGCAAAGGTGAGTGGAGATGATGCTGCTGCGAGCGATGAGATTGAGTATGGGGTGGAGCCGGAACGGGAGATGGAAGATGTGGTTTCTACTGGCGTGGATTGATATTGGGTGTGAGTTGGCAGCGGGTTAGGATCACGGTACTGATTTGGGCTGCTTGGGGCGGAGTGTATTTTGATTTTGGCTTGTTCATCCAGCATCACTGGCCTGGGGGGCTCCGGGCTTGGATTCAGGCTTGGAGTGTCCGGCAGATTCCATTTTAGTTTGTGGGTGATTGTATAACTATTCTGTAACAATTTGATTTTCAACTTCTTCAACAACAATCCACATATCCCGCTCATAGATGTGTAAACACTTGGCTGGCGCAGTGTGAAGTGCTTCGAAACAGTTTCAAAGCATTAAAAGCAATTGTTTTGAGCAATCAGTCGACTTGCTAAGCCACTTCAGACAGTGCCAGATACGCGTATATAGATGGACACAACGAGCGCATGGATTATGAAGCATTGACACAGTACGTTGATATACCCAAAGAAGTCAAGGTGGCCCCGAAGAATCCAAAACTCCAGCCAATCGTTGCCATTATCATACCATTGTAGCCCTAGAACTCCATTGGATCCCCTTCTTCCCTCTCCCTCTTCACACCACCCCTCTCCTCCTTCAACAATCCTGCTACGAATAACCTAAAGAACTCAACGTACGGCTTCATACTCGTCTTCTCCCAATCCGGCACCTTCTTTTGGCTACCATCCCCCCCTTCCTCACCGCCATTCTCCCGATCCCACTCATCAATCTCGCCCAAAAGCTGCGTGACTGTCGGTACACCTAGTGGATCAAATTCTTCCACCTTCCGCGTGTCAATCGGCACACAGACCCGCCCGGTCCCGGGATGTACGCAAAACGGCGATTTAAGCAAATGGTTCAGCTTCTTTGACACCTCGGCATCGAGACGCGGGTATGTGTATTCTAGCACGATGTCTTGCTTTGCCTCCTTCAACGTCGTCGGATTGAGTGACGACAATGCGCCGGAACTTGCCAACGCGTCTATGTCTGCCCATTTAGATGAGCTGGGCCGCGAGGGCGCCGAATCCCACTTCTTGGAGAGTGCCGCGCGGAGGGTTGGGTCTGGAAGTAGATCTAAGAGGTGGGTAGAGCGCTCACCAGCCCAGGGGTCTTGCTCGAGCAAAATGGAGGTCTGGAAATGCGAGCGGAGGATATCGAGGGAGCGGTCGAGATGTGGGTGGAGAGGTCGTTTCGGGTTTACTTTCTTTCCACCTTGCGCGCCGCCCTTGACCAGCTCGAGGTACGAAGCTACCGCTCGCCGCCTCTGGTCGTCCATCTCGCGTGCTCGTTTGTCGCATACCCAGGCGTGGGCTCCTCGTCGACCAGAGTAGACCCATAGAATGTGCTTGAAGCCGAAGTCTTCGCGTAAAGCAACATCGACTACTTTGATAGCCATCGTGATGAAGGTCCAGCAGCTAAGGCAGATGTTGGCACCTGTGCAACACGTCCGGATGTCGTCGTAATCTGTCATATCGATATCGAAGACGAGTTCTTTTGCGACGGGGCGGAAGGCAGAGGCTTTTCGGAGAGATTTGCGCTCTCGTGGGTTAGTGCTGTAGACGGGGCCGATTTCGAACCGGGAGGAGATCATTTGGACGGCTTGTTTGCGGAGGCTAAGGTTTGTCAGTTATACTACCCTCTTCTGATCCCTCGGTGAATTTCTTACAGGTCTGAGGTCGGGAAGGACTGGTATCGGAGGTACGCGTCGTTCTGTAGAGTAAACGCGAACTCGCGGTGCATGAAGTCGTTGGTAGGAGATGGCGAATGGTTCAGCCATTGGAATAGGTATCTGAAAGGGAAGAGACGCTGGTAGAAAGCTCGCATAGCGTCTGGGTCTGCGAAGCCTGAGCTGGCCTTTATTTTACTGCAATTGATCAGCTTCATCCCTCAGAGTTAGCGTCTGAACTTTCTTACATTGGTTCTTGCTCAGGCGTCTTCTCCGCTTTCACTTGAGGTACACTCGAGGAAAACTCCTCGTCTGAATCCTCATCGTCGAACAAGTCTTCGAGATTGACCTTGGTCTTTGCCGCCTCTGAAGGGCTGGGGGCATCCGACATGGGGACATCTTCGGTCGGCGAGGTAGGTTCCTCTTTCACGACGCTCTCTAGGGGTTGGGCAGAGGTTTGCGGGAGTTGAGTGTCGTCGACAGGCGAAGCTTCTGGAGAGACGGAGTGAGGCATTGTCGCTGGATTCATATGCTGTGCTGTTTGAGGGATGCCGCGGGGATGAATTTCGGGCGCGTTGGAGAAGACGCGACTCCACGCGTCCGGTCCGCCGTATAAATTAGCGCACTTGGTCGCTTCGTCCTCCGTATCATGTAGCTCTACACAGCACCTCAACCAGCGTCATCGCCAAGCAGCAAACAACTGACCTTTGCATTATTCAAGAGCTGAGGCATGACCTGTGCCATCGTCCTACACCATCAAGATGTTGGGAGAGGATGAGATGGTTTCTGGGAGTGGCTGGGTATCCGACGAATCAAGCTTCTACGGTAGGTGCCACTGTCAAATCTATCGTCTGCTCTATTTTCTATCTATGTATGCATTTTCTTTCTGTCATTTCCTTGCCCTTTCTTTTGTTTCAACTCAAATCTGTGTTCAGTATCAGTGCCAGTCAGAACGCTCCAGTACCTCTCGGCATTTCCTGGAGTTTGCACCACCCTGCTAACACCAGTTATTAGGCGACGAGGAGGGACAGCGTCGTCTCGAGGACCTCAGCAAGCAGTCAGAATGTATGCACTACTGGGAAAACCACGGACGCCTTCTCAACACTATCGCCTTAAAAGCTCGCAAGAGACTTCTCGACATCCCAATCGTGATGCAAGAGAGCTCGGAAGTCGTGCCAGCACCAAAGCAATTGGGCGATAGCAGTAACGACTTGAGCAACACAGTCGCTCTGGGAGCTCCCAATAAAGTTCCAGAGACTACCATTGTGCTGCATAATCGCATGCAGGGTATGCCTGAAGCATGGCAACTAGGCGAAAGTATTGATGACTTCGTCGTCCGATTACCCCCAGCTACGACAAGAATCGACACCGTTGGACCGTGGATCTGGGTTATGAATCCCTACCCCGAGAGACGGCACGGAAGCGAGTACATCCGCGATTTCAAAGACGCCGGCGTGGAGCTGCTTCAACGCTATCTTGAAAAGCGAAAGCAACTGGAAGCTGAAAATCCTGGCAAGGCGAAGGAAACCATCACGAAGAGACTACACGCAGACCGTGACCGTTTACCGGGTCAGATCAAAGATCTCGCGATCAAGTATGGTGTCTTGAGTGGAAAGGTAAGATACTCGGATAACTCATTGGCCCATCTCAGACGACACTGTCACCAATGTTCGCTTCTGAAGACTTGCTTCTGGTACTTTCTACTAACACTCAGCGATAGTGGATGTTCTTTCCAACAGTCAAAGATCTCCCCAGAATGTGGAAGGCCCTCGCAGAAGCAGTCACTCAAAATCGGCTGGGTATTGGAGCAAAGGTAGCAACCGACGATGGCAGCGCCAGGTCGGACACTCGTTTGATCTGCATCTACACCTATGACTTCACAGACACGGAAGACGTTCGCCGAGTGCTCGACGAGCTCGTGAGGATGGGATTGGTAGATGCCGACATGCCCATGGGAATCTTTTACAAGTGTGACGCTTACACTCATCTGGACATTACGGGCAACAACAAATACGGCCTCAGGAACAGTCTCTATTCGAGCAAGACCATGTTGGTCGGAGAGCGGCTCTCTGGACAGCGGCTCTCTGCAGCTTCCAGGATCATATCTACGCCATTTTCCAGGATGAAGCAATCGACTCTCAACAAATCTCAACGTAGCTGAGCTATAACGTATAGCGATGCTATTCAGACGCGTGGCGTATTTCGGCTTTATTTACGCATTATACCCAACAGCATTGATCTTTAGGTTGACGGGTTTTCTAATTTCTTCATGTAGATTGACGCACGTGGCCGCAAGAACAATTTAACTTTCTACCACAAGACACGCAAAACTCGTCCGAATTCGACCAAGTGACGATAACCTTGGAGACGATTCCGGTATGCCATGATACTTTGCAACATCAGGCGAACTCCTAGCTGTCTTTCACAAGAGCCCGGTTTCGCCAGCGTGCTGCATGGTTTAGCTCTAAGTCTGGAGAAGACGATGCGCTTCCCCGTACGGCATCATTGGAGGTCATGGAGACGATGGAAGGGTGCAGACAAACTATTACTCGATCACAACAGGGGCACCAACTCGTACGTGTCTCTAGCCCTCTGTGACGACGTAACAGCTCCGGAGATAGCCTGAGGCTAAGGCAATGTCGTCAGATGGTGAAAGATCAATTGACACTGACAGTATGAGGATATTTTCTCAAAAATTCGCGTTCTGGCATGTTGTGCTTTTTCACTCTTCGTCACTGTCAGACATGCCTCAATGAAGTTGTAGGAACCTGGACTGACAGTATCGAAAAATAAATTGAACAGCAGATTAATACCAACCTCGGATAGAAAAGGAGAATCCGGTCCGGTCCGATGGAAAATACGTGATTCAACATCGAGTTAGTGCGTCGGATGACATTTGCGACGCTGGAAGACATTTGAGGTTATTTTACTCGATAGAATCTATTCTCATCGAGTAATACCAGCGCACTGGCTAGGCGGCGGCATACTATACTAGGCTGGACCGAAATTCACACCGACAAAAGCCCAACTCGATATGGGTGTGCTGGAAGCGAGGCAGGATGTCGACCTCTACGTTCGGGCAATCGAGGCAATGCAGCCTTGAAAGCCTCTCGTCGTGGGGTGTGCGTTTATTGCGGCAGAACATTGATGATGTGTGCCGTGGACGTGGAGATGTGGTTGAGCAGGTTGGACAATGGTTGGATGCAGGGAGCGACGCTACATCGCTTTCGTGTAGGGCGCGCCAGCCCTGTGGCACCTTATCTTCGACTCCACCACGGTGGACGCCCTCCCCTTGCGCCGTCAGCCAGAACACGCGCATCTAGCCACTCATCAACGTCACCCAGATAACCTCACCTAATCGCTCTAGTGCCGACCACCAGTTTCTATCGAGTAACACCAGGAATGTTGAGATGCGCTTTTCCGCCCGACTTAGCCCAGCCGACAGGTACCGCGCCGGATGTACCCCCGGGGGCAGACGTCGATCCGACTATGGTCTATCTGCTGGAGGGTTGATAAGGGCGTCTGCACCCCGGATTTTGTCCCGCGCGTTTTCAGTGCGTTTCTATATCAAGAGTCTTTGTCCTTTGGTCACAAAGAAGAAATTAAACCTCATATACGCGTTCTTACCTTCCTGTTGAGCATCTATACGCATCTCGCGTTTCTTATCTCTGCCCCAGCTCTGCTTATCTCTACTCTACGCGGAATCCACCGACGATATCCGCATCTCAAATACCCACAGCACTTCCACCTACACGCAAAAGCACTTCTGCACCTCCTCTTCTTGTACAATTTCTCGTTAAATCCACACGTACTCGATCCCATTACCACCATACCACCGTCCTTATGGCTCCACACGCAACAACACCCCCTCCCACCGCCCACACGCAGCCTCATTCTCACCATTCTCCATCCATCACCGTTCTCGCTTCTTCGAGAGCTGTGGTATCAGGCCGTTTGACCGAAGCTACCATTATCATCTCGACTACAACTGGAAAAATCACCGCTATCTTCCACTCCGTCCTCCCCGCGTCCGACTTCCCCGAAGGCACCCCATACACAGACTACTCGCCCTGCATTTTACTGCCGGGCCTTGTCGATGCTCACGTGCATCTCAACGAGCCTGGGCGTACTGAATGGGAGGGGTTCTGGACGGGTACGCGGGCTGCGGCGTTTGGAGGTGTGACGACGGTGGTCGATATGCCGCTAAATGCTATCCCGCCGACGACAACAGTGCAGGGGCTAAAAGAGAAGATTGAAGCAGCAAAGGGCAAGTGCTGGGTGGACGTTGGATTCTATGGCGGTGTTGTACCGGGTAATAGTGGGGAGCTGAAGGCATTGGTCAAGGAGGGCGTTAGGGGCTTCAAGGGGTTCCTGATCGATAGTGGGGTATGTATTGCTTTTCCCCTCACATTCCAAGCATGCTCGTTCAGTATTGTTGATCTCCTCATTTGATACTAAGATGTCGTTACTAACCATGTGACTTAATAGGTCGAAGAATTCCCGGCCGTCTCCACCATAGATATCGCTCTTGCTATGAAGGAGCTAAAAGACGCCCCAACAACCCTCATGTTCCACGCCGAAATGATCCCACCAATCACCGCCTCCATCGGCGACGATGTTCAGCACTCCCACCCACCTCTCGCGCCCTCAGGTCCCCTAGACCACTACTCCACCTTCCTTGACTCACGCCCGCCATCATTTGAGACATACGCCATCGCCGAAATCCTGACCCTTGCACATTTGGCCCCCAAGCTCCCGCTACACATCGTCCACCTCTCCGCCATCGAAGCCATTCCACTCCTTCGTGAAGCCCGCAAGAACGGCATCAACGTGACCGCAGAAACATGCTTCCACTACCTCTCCCTCGCTGCCGAAGCGGTCCGCACCGGTGACACGCGTCATAAGTGCTGCCCACCCATTCGCAGTCAATCTAACCAGGACGGTCTATGGGCCGAGCTGATGGATGAAGAGAGCGGCGAGGGTGTCATCAAAACGGTTGTGAGCGACCACTCGCCGTGCACGCCGAACCTAAAGCTCCTACCCGAGGAGTTCGCGAGCAGGAAAACTGGCTGTGGTGCGGGCGCGACAGTGGTGCAAGAGGGTGATGATGGTGACTTTTTCGCTGCATGGGGTGGGATCAGCTCCGTGGGACTTGGTCTGCCGATTCTCTGGACCGAAGGCTCTAAGCGCGGCGGCAAGTTCGGGGTGGAGGAGGTTGTGAGGTGGTGCTGCCGCAATACCGCGAAGCAAGTGGGACTAGAACGCACAAAGGGTGATCTGGGGGTTGGATTTGATGGCGATATCGTTGTTTTCGATGACGAAGCGAGCTTTGTGGTAAGTTTGGACATGAACGTCTATCACGACTGGGATTCTCGAATACTAATCACGTGCAGGTTGAACCAAGCACGATGCTTTTCCGTAATAAGTGCTCGCCGTATGAGAACAAGACGCTCAAGGGTGTTGTCAAGGAGACTTGGCTCCGGGGTCAGAAGATCTTCTCAAGAGAGGAGGGCTTCTCGGAAAAGAGTGGACCGGCTGGCAAATTATTGCTCGAGCCAAGGAAAAGCAAGGCGTAAATCCTGAACCGACTCCCGTTCGAGGAAGCGCTTTAGCCGCCATCCTATCTGAGCGTGACAAGAGCATGGTGGGTGTGATTAGCATTTTGATTGGCAATGGAGCATGAGATACGATGAACGACCGGTATGAGGAACGGACCTTATTGTTTTGTTTGGCATTGGCATAGGCGGCAGCGCTATTTTGATGGGGCATAGAGAGAGCGTGGAAGGATTAAGATGGTAGAGGAGCTGAGAAGAAAAGTAGAGATGGATTAAGATTAGGATATGAAGAGATTGGGACCTATGTCGAGCATCTCGGAACATCACCTACACAGACCTTTTTACGGCCAATGAGCCAGGAACGGATTCAATATTTCCCTGTCATGCTTGCACCGTTTGATGCGCGTTTGCTGTCCTCGGTCTGTTACTAACAACGCAGGTCGAGTGAACAAGCCTCCACCGAGGATGAGGCTTGGGGAATAAAAGTTCTACTAAGGGAGCATCAAGACTGGACGTCGGCGCTTTTCGAGAATAAGTACAATGTAAGCAAACTGTTTGGCCCTATAATGAAATCACCTACAAAGTAGCACTGATTCTTATATCCTCCCAGGAACAGAGTATCGTTTTAGCCTACTAGAAACGTCTAGAAGCCCTAGCAAACCCAGCATCAACCCATTTATGTTAGTATTTATAGAGAAACCTCACAAGCGTAACAGATGTAGCAACAGATGTAGCAACAGATGTAGCAACAAACAACAGTCAGACTTTCTCCTCTGCTTCTCTCTTCTCTCACCGTCTCGATCGCATCATAACAGGACGAGTTTGCCAATGCCACACACCGTCGAAGAAAACATCCTCACCGCACCTGACGGCCGTTTCCATCAAGTAATGCTTCCCCGCACGCAACTCCGGCCGACTATCGTGACATGCAATCTTAGAGTCATAGGCGGCCATCTAGAAGCCCTCGCTCACCAACGCTCGCACACGTGCCATAACGCTCTGCGCCCAGTGCGGCGTGGCCACGTCGGCTGCGTACCTAATGGGAACCATCGTGAGATTTCTAGGCCGGGGCTCCGCGTGGTACGGCAGCGTGTCGGTCCACTCCGGCGCGCCGCCAATACTCACGATGCCCGCTGGGGGTCTGACGCCTTCGCGCCGGGCGGTCTCGTGCTGGACGCAGTTGTGGGCGCGAGGCCTGGCGGCGGTGCAACGCTGACTGATGGCGGGCATCGTGAAGATGGGCGCTGGGGCAAGGTTCTGCGCAGTCAGTCGGGGGGGTGGCACGGTTGCTGTTACGTAGGGTGAGGCCACGGGATGGGTGCCACGCGCGTTCTGGCGTTCAGGAACCGCCGCCGATCTGCAGGCCCGCTTGGTTGGAGGCGGGGCGGTCGGAGTGCCTGTGTGTGGTTTGGCCTGCATCGTCGCGGACGCATGCTGGGCTGCTCCTGGCGCAGCACGGCGCCGGGGTGTCGGCTGTTGGGGAGACGATGCAGCACGATTGCGCGCGGCGGTGGGCGCAAGACGGCAGCTCGGGGCGTGTGTGTCGCTGGAATAGGCGGGCGGGAGAGCATCGTGAAGATTTCCCCAGAGCGTGGCCCTGGCTAGCTTGGCCCGAGGGAAGCCGTTGGAGGGGCGTCATTTTTTGGCAAATTTAGAACCGGCGTCGCGCATTCTTTGCCCGCGGTTTGTATATAAACGCTGCTTTCCCGGCCCCGGCGCCTCAATTGACTCCACCGTGTCTCGTACCAGATTCTGCGTCCTCCCACCGCCTGTACCCGTCCGTCTCCAGCACATCGCAAGGATTTGAGGCTGTAGCATCCGCCACACCGCGTCGATAAGCAACACCACGGCGTCAGCTCGACCACCAGCTAACCGACGCCTGGGAGACGACGCTGACCGTCTCCTCAGCCGCAGGAGATAGGTGTGCAACCCCTCCAATTATCGTCGCAATCCATATCGTCGCAATCCATATCGTCGCAATCCATATCGCCGCGAAGCTTGTCTCGTTCCGCATCTGGGAGGTCCCCTGCCCAGCTGTGCGACCTGCGTCATGGCCTTATTTTAAGCACTGCCTTACTACAGGATCAGCACGAGGGGCTGAGGAGCTTGAAAAGCACCGCTTCTCCGCGACTTCTACGCCTTTTTCTGCACTCACTAACTAATTCACGCTATAGGGTCTATTACGCCGCTGAATCCACCTCAATTGCCGACGAAACAGGCCAGCAATCGTCGTTGCGCTGGGCTCTTGAAACCACCCCACCCAAAGGATTCCTGTACAAGCGGTGGTCTTATCCTCCCACTAACTTCCAATTCACCTACCATCCTCTTTACACCCTCAAAACCACCCAAAACACTCCCACATACCATCACTATGGCTTCCACACCAGTCAATGGCCTCCAGGTCCAGAACAAGCTCCTGGACCAAGTCATCCGGACTCCCGGCCGCCAGCCCTCCCCTCTACCTACACACCTGAGCGTACCCGGCACGTCTACACCGCGGGTACTTCCTCAGGAAGGCTCCGGATATGTTGCTCCCAAGTTTGAGGGCAAGGACAAGCAGATGGAGGCGGTTATGGACGGAATAGAAGACAAGGGCTTCATTCCCCCGGACTTTGTTGAATCTGAGACTACTTGGTTCTACAACGAGCTTGGGATTGACGACATGTACTTTTCAACCGAGACGGTGGAAACGTAAGCGCTCAGAGTGCTCTTTGGTGGCTATGCTAATGGTTTCTAGCGTCATAAATCACATCCACTCCCTCTATGCTGCCAAAGTAGCGGCGTATGCCCGCGACGACAAGCGACTAGAGATCCGTCTCGACAAGGAGGCCGTCGACCATGCCGTATACATTGACACCAGCAAGCCCGGTGTCTCTGTTGTGGATGGGCCTCGCTACGAACAACGCATCGACGAGAAATACTTGAACGGATCGCAGGGAAGCGCAACATACCGCGTGGAGAGCTTCCGCTCAGCGAGCCCCCTCCCCGGCAGCGGCACTAAGGAACAGAATGGACAGCAGCTTCGGTGCTACTTCGTCTACGAGTGCGACTTCGTAGAGAAGAACCCGAGCCCGACGGAAACGGACTTGGAGAAGATTGGCGAGAAGCGATTCTTGCAAAAGGCCACAAAGAACACCAAAGCGATATACCAACAAGCGATTGAGAATGCTGTTGAGCGGACTGGTCCGGTCATAGAGTACTTCGACATCCAGGGGTCCCGGGAGAAGAGACTTGTTCTTGCTTATAAGCAAGGCTCCGCCCTGGGCCTGTTCAGCGCTCTGAGCGATCTCTACCACTACTACGGACTGACGTCTTCGAGGAAATACGTGGAGCAGTTCTCCAATGGCTTTACTGTCATGTCGGTATATCTCCGACCCGTGGCCGGAGCCGCGGCGAACTCGAGATACCCGCCCATCGAGGCCTCTATTCATCAAATCATCAAGGAGGTCTCTCTTCTTTACTGCATTCCTCAGAACAAGTTCCAGGCGCACTTCGCGACAGGAAGATTGAGTCTACAGGAGACCATCTACGCCCATTGCGTCTGGGTGTTTGTCTCACACTTCCTGAACCGGCTTGGTTCGGAATACACCACACTCGCATCTGTCTTGGACCCGAGCAACAGCGTACACGCAGAGCTTCTCTCCAAGCTGAAGCGTCGCCTACGCGCGGAAACTTTCACAGCTGACTATATCCTGGAGATCATCAACCAGTACCCAGATTTGGTGCACTCCTTGTATCTTTCATTTGCGAGCACGCACTACGTGCAGACGAGGGGTTCCCAAGATGACTTCATCCCGACGCTCAGCTATCTCCGTCTTCAGATCGACAAGGTCCTCAGCGACGATGAGCAGCGAGACATGCTCAACAAAGCCGTGGTCAACGAGCACCACGGCATGGTCATGAGTGCCTTCAATGTCTTCAACAATTCCGTCCTAAAGACTAACTTCTATACGCCCACTAAGGTTGCTCTGAGCTTCCGTCTGAACCCGACCTTCCTACCAATCTCAGAATACCCACAGCCTTTGTATGGCATGTTCTTGGTCATCAGCTCCGAATTCCGTGGCTTCCATCTCCGCTTCCGCGATATCGCTCGTGGTGGTATTCGAATCGTCAAGTCTCGCAGCCAAGAAGCTTACGCTATCAACGCTCGTTCGTTGTTTGATGAGAACTACAATCTTGCAAACACCCAGCAGCGGAAGAACAAGGACATCCCTGAAGGTGGTTCGAAAGGTGTTATTCTGCTCGACGTTCACCATCAAGACAAGGCTAGAGTTGCGTTCGAGAAGTACATCGACAGTGTGCTAGATCTCCTCCTCCCTCCTACCAGCCCTGGTATCAAGGACCCGATCGTGGATCTTCACGGAAAGGAAGAGATTTTGTTCATGGGCCCTGATGAGAACACAGCAGATCTCGTGGATTGGGCTACTGAGCATGCTAGAATTCGTGGCGCGCCCTGGTGGAAATCCTTCTTCACTGGCAAGAGCCCGAAATTGGGAGGCATTCCCCACGACCACTATGGCATGACTACACTCTCAGTTCGGGAGTTTGTGCTTGGTATTTACCGCAAACTCAACCTCGATCCCAGCAAAGTCCGTAAGCTCCAGACTGGTGGGCCAGACGGTGATCTTGGATCGAACGAAATTCTCTTGGGCAATGAGCTGTATACGGCTATTGTGGACGGATCTGGTGTGCTCGTGGATCCCAAGGGCATCAATCATGATGAACTGATTCGTCTGGCAAAAAAGCGCGTCATGATTCAGGAGTTCGACATTTCAAAGCTCTCCTCGGAAGGGTATCGCGTTCTTGTCGACGAAAACAACGTCAAGCTGCCTTCTGGAGAAGTCGTCTACAACGGCACATCATTCCGCAACACCTTCCACCTCCGCGGTGGCTCAAATTACGACATGTTCGTGCCTTGCGGCGGTCGCCCAGAGTCCATTGATCTGAGCTCTGCTAGCAAGCTCATTGTTGATGGAAAATCAACCATCCCGTACATCGTGGAGGGAGCCAATCTCTTCATAACGCAAGACGCAAAGCTGCGTCTCGAGAAAGCTGGTTGCATTCTCTACAAGGATGCCTCAGCCAACAAAGGCGGTGTCACGTCGTCATCCCTCGAGGTTCTTGCATCGCTGTGTTTTGACGATGCTGGCTTCATTGAGCACATGTGCGTCCGCGAAGACGGCACCGTGCCCGAGTTTTACAAGGAGTACGTAAAGCAAGTCCAGAAAACCATCCAGAACAACGCGGCACTGGAGTTTGAGGCGATCTGGAGGGAGCACCAGTCCACCGGCGAGCTGAGGAGCATACTCAGTGACACATTGAGTATCGCGATTACGAAACTCGACGAGGAGCTTCAAGGAACGGAGCTGTGGGAGAACATCGATCTCAGGAAGTCTGTCTTGAGGGATGCCCTGCCGAAATTGTTGGTTGAGAAGATCGGATTGGAGACGATTATGGAGCGGGTAAGTGCAGTGCAGAAGACTGGACTCGAGGATTCAGCTCACGATACTACAGGTTCCCGACAATTACCTTCGCGCCATCTTTGGCAGCTACCTAGCCAGCCGATTTGTGTATAGCTACGGCATTTCGGCGAGCCAATTTGCCTTCTTCGCATTGTAAGTCTTTATTCCTGGAAGGTGTGAACGAAGCTAACAAGATGACAGCATGAACAAGCGCATGGCGATGATACAGAAGTAGAAACTTTTGCAAACTTCTCTCGACTATTCAATGTTCGTACTTCGGCGTTGGAGGATCGGGAAACTAGAGTTTCATTCGGAGTTTACTGCGGCAGTCCTCGGGGACTGGATGGTGGATTGCTTGCGCCTCAATCGCGCAGGCGCTTCGAGGAAAGGCTGTGGAGGCGGCACAGTTGAAATTAAAAGTAATTGCCAGCGCCTATAATATGAACCATTTTGACGTCTTTTACTATGTGGGCTATGTGATTGGAAGTGTGGGTGGTCGAGATGGGAACTGTGTAAACCCGCTTGCTGCTGTCTGCAGTGCGGCGATAGACTTTCGGAATATGAAACGAGATGTAAGTTAATCAATTTGGCAGCCCTGATAGCTCGCCAGGCTACCTAAGGCGGTGTTGTTGTGCTGTCATGAAACCAGGTCTTGCAAGTTCGCTAGAGGGCCAGCTGCAGCACCTCCTCCCTCGATTGCCCGCCTTCTTCTCCCACCTTCGCACCACAACACTCCAGCACCCAACGCCCAACACCGCAGCTATTAACCAGGTAGAGCTTGATCTCCAGTCGCACACTCTTACGCAAAGGTATGTCAGCTTTTGCTCACTGTTTTCTACGTGTCTACCGTCCTGTTGTTATGGTTTTGGCTCGTTCGTCGCGCGGCCCGCCCACTCGTCTTCGCATCGTATTTCGCAGCGCTTTCCACACGACGCGCTCGCCAGCTCCCCGGGCCTGCTCTAACGCGGTCGCCAGGGCCCAGTCATCCTATCCCTCCAGCTTTCTTGCGCGGAAAGCGTCGCGAGGTGCGTGATATCGCGGCTTGTTGACGTTTCCGCTCACCAGCTCATTTGCGCCCGCCGCCCTGCCGCCCGACGTCCAACTTGCACACTTCAACTAACACGACATACCTTAGTTCACCCGCCCACCACCAAAACGCCCTCTGCAGCTCTAGCTACCGATTACTGCTATTCTCTACTCTCCCAGCTCCAACTCCAAGTAAAAAATAGCAATGGCCACCACGCGCGCTAAGACGGGCAACGCGAAGCCGCGCGTCTTTCCCAAGATCGAAGAGGCCGTGACGGGCAAGAAGACGACGGGGGCCGCGAGCAAGGCCAATACGTCGAAGCCGCGCGCGAAGAAGGTGTCGACGGGGCGGGTGACGAAGCCGGCGGCCGAGAAGAAGGTGGTGAAGAAGAAGACGCCGGTCAAGGCGGCTGCGGATAAGGTCAACGGCGCGGTGCTGAAGACTGAGGCCAAGGTTGAGGGCAAGCCCGCGAAGAAGGTTAGTTGGGTCTTTTCGCGCTTCGCGGTATTTCGATTTGTTCAGTGGTGGTTTTCCTTGTGGGGAGGCGCGTGTGTGGGGGGGAGGGTAGGCTTGTTATGATTTTGGGGGAGCTGCGCGTGTGGCTGCCTCGACATGCAGTGCTTTGTGTTTTTGTTCCTTCTATACGTCTTGTTATTGTTCCTCCCCGTCTTCTCTTCATTTTCTTTCCTCTCCCTAAATTCTTGCGCTTCTTCCCGCTCTTCTCCCCATCGCTAACACCCCTCCCAGGCCGCCGGCACCACCAAGGCCAAGTCCACCACCACGAAGAAAGCCGCCCCAAAGACCAAGGCCAAGGCCTAAACGTATCTCCAACGATCTAATCGCTGTCGTCGTATCTCGATATGGGGCGTTGCGGGTGCTGTCGGAGCGAAGGGGGTATATCGGTACATGTCACTACACTACGAACACACAGTCAAGGACGCGTAGCTTTGTCATCCATCACGAGCTTCTTTTCCTTTTCTTCTTTACAGGGGTATATGCTTTTTCTCCGGTACGGGGTTTTCTTGTTTCCTTGTTTCTATGATATCGGATTTGTCTGGTTTTGGGTTCTCTGAACAACACGGTGTGGGATAGGCTGGTTGGTTGGGTTGGGAGAATGGAGCGGAATGGATGAAGCAAAGACAAGGGCATTCGACGTATACCACAGGGCACAGCGTACATATATACTCCAGTTGTCTGGGTTCTGGGTCTGGCTGCTTGTACGCATCGAAGCAGAGCCTTGGGTCTTGTTTAGTCGTGGTTTGTCTAGGGTTTCTGTGTCTTTTCTTGGTTTGATATTGGCTTTGATCTGCTTTAGGTGCGTTTGGGTAGTCCTAGCTTAGGATGGAAGCTCTTGGGGAGGGGTCGGGCTGCTTGTTAATGATGGGTATTGGTTTTCTTGTACTCGATTGCCCTATTGTCTCGTGTTGATTTCATCTAACAGTTTACTAACTCCAGTTCAATCCAGTATCGAATACCCAGCGTGTCAAGGCAAGTCATTACCACCAACCCCCTTTCAAGAAGAACCTCTCATCCCTCAAACGCTTCCCCATCCACCGTAACATCAACCTTCCACCCCGTCCAACCCCCGACCCAATTCTTCCTCTTCCCCACCTTCTCCACCCCCTTAACCGCCTTCTGGAACCCCTCATCCCACCCCGCAACCCCCTCGACCCCAAAATCCACCCCCAACACGCTCTTCCCCTTCCCATATCCCCACGCGGCCCGCACCACCAACCTCCTCTGCCTCACCGCCGCCCCGCCCGGATACCCCCTCGGCACCACCCCCGCCGGATACACGCTCGCCACCACCCCCGCCACGCGGCCCACATACATGCACCACCACGCCCACCCCTCCGGCGCCAGCCGCACAATGCGCCCGTAGAACTCCTGCTCGCTCGGGCTGATCCGGCTCATGCCTCCATGCCGCTCACACAGCAACAACGCCAGCACCGCCCGCTCCTCATGGCTGACCCCGTGCGTGCCCGCCCACGCGCCCGTCGTCGTCGCCCGCAGCGCCGCGCCCGCGCAGATATCCTTCGGCAGCGCCGCGTGCGCGTACAGCGCCTGCGCAAACGCCGTGATCATAGCCGCGGGCAGCGGGCTGCCCGGCGCGGCGGCTTGCAGCAGCGCGACCAGCTCGCCGACGTCCGGCGGCGCGTGGTCCCGCGTCGCGACGACGAGCGGGTCCGCCGCGCGCTCGCTGGGGGTGAGCGAGGCGAAGTGCATGCCCTCGCGCACGCCGCCCTGGGCGAAGTACACGTGGTTGATGGCGGGCAGGGCGTCGGCGAGGCAGGAGACGAGGAACGCGACGGCGGGGACCTGGCTCGCGCGGCGCGCCGAGACGCGGAAGATGGCGGGCGTGGAGTCGGCGGACGCGAGCTGCACGGCGGCCGTGACGGCGGCCGTGTCGTGGAAGGCGGCGGTCGTGACGTGCAGCCCGTTGATGATGGGGATCGGGTAGGGCGTGATGGCGTGCGCGGCCATGAGCACGAAGCCCCAGCCGCGGAAGCCGCCGCCGCTGAGGTAGAGGGCGAGGCCGGCGGGGGCGTGGAGGAGGGCGGGGGGGATGGCGAGCGACGCGACGGCGGATTTGAGGTCGGCGGTGACCTTTTCGCGGTAGGCGGCGTGGGAGGAGGCGGAGGAGAGTTCGCGGGTGAGGGCGGCCGCGCCGTAGGGCATGCTGATCGAGCCCTTTGGGCTCATTTGGATTTCTCCCGAGCTGGTGGTCAGCCAGGTGAGCTGGGTGCTGCCGCCGCCGAGGTCCATGACCAGGCCGTGGACGGCGCTGTAGCTGCTTGCGACGCCGTAGGCGCCTATGCGGCCTTCTTCTTCTTTGGGGAGGAGTTCGACGGTCCAGCCTGTTTCGTCATGGATCTGGTCCCGGAAGGCAGAGGAGTTGGGCGCGGTGCGGGTGGCTTCGGTGGCGAGGAGGCGGATTTGGGAGGGGGGCACGCCGTAGTCGGTGCAGGTGGATTTGAAGCGCAGGATGGAGTGGATGACGGCGGTGATGGTAGAGGCGGAGATGGGGACGCGGGTCGAGGTGCCGGGGGGGTACTGGGCGTCGTAGAGAGAAATGGCGGCGCGGTCGACGTAGATGGTTGGGAGGATGCGGCGGGTTTGGGGCGCGAGGGAGGTTATAGAGAAACGGATGCCGTTACTGGGGTTGTGTGTTAATTGAGAGGGTGATGTTGATGTTGAAAAAGGTTGATAGAAGAAGAATAGAATGGAGGGGATGAAGCGAAGATGAAGTTTTTGAGAAAAAGAGATATTGACTGAGAAGCCAAAGGAAAATTGAAGCCTACCTTCCCATATCTACGAGACCATAATAGTCTGGGTTTTCCGAGTTCCCCATCCTGATCCGTTCAGATGAATTAGGCGTGGAGTTTGGTGGTATGAGTCTATTGGTATCGTCTTTGTCCAGCTTGCTCTTACGAATGCACAGGAGGTTTAAAGAGGTGATCAAACAATTGGGAAGCTTCAAAACCAAAGGTCATGTGTAAGTGGAGTACACAGTATTCGTTAGTTGGACGGCCTTCAGAAACCTCGAAAAAGCACCACGCATCAGCTGAAGTGGCAGAGATTGCTTTTCCAAGACGACTGTTGATGCTATCGTTTCGAACGTGTTATCTCATCAGTCGGGTCCCTCAGAGTAAGCCAGGAAAAGTTCGAGGCCCAGGCATAAAAGGTGAAAGTTTTGAAATGGTGGAAGTCTGACGTCGTCGGCTGCAGGGTCCTAAAAATATCGCGCTAACCGAGATTGGAGTCGCCTGTTGACCTACAGAGTTAGGTTCCAGTTCCTAGAAGATATTTGGGAGGGCCAAAATACGAAGTGTCTCTCCGAGGGGACCGGATCCGAATTGCCACGTAAATATGGAAAGTGTTTCGACTGCTTGAGATGCGAAATCCGGAAAGAGCATTAGACCGCCAATATACTGATCGAGTTCATCGGCTCTGGCTTATGGTGGTGGAGGCAGAGACCGGTCTGGACGCCCGAGGCAAGACGGCAGCTCATGGTTGCTAGGGCACAAGAGTCTCGAGATCGGAATCGTTCAAGTGGCAGTTTGTACCTCTCTACCAGTCGCACAAAGGTGCTGATGAGGTGGTGGCGGTTGTAGCAATCGCCTTAGTGCAACCGTCGTCGAGTAACGTACCTGTCAGCTTGTCAACTGATCGCCCACAACGAGCCTGTGAAACGGGTCTCATTCATCAGGATTTCGCGTCTGCCGAATCCCTCTCCACAGTCAGTGCAGAAGAGGCTTGTGAATGCCGGCAGTCGGGCGGGAGATGGCTGAGCAGGGTGCGGGAAGCCATCCATGCTCTTGTGCTAAGATTGGCCCTCCCTAGACGGCGCCCTCAAATCTGTAACAGCATCCATCAAACCTCAAACATCACCACCGTCACGGCCCTTGCCTGGCGGCTTCGGCTCTTGCACATCATGGACCCTCCGCCTTTGAGAGGCTGAGACCGGTGGCCTCTTCACATCCTTCATTCTCGAAGACGGCATACGCGGGCTGGCACACAGAATTTTCCGGTACACGACTCTATGGCAGCGCCTATTTTTCATACAGTTCATCGTCGCGGTTCTTCATCTCCTTTCCTTTCCAATTAGAGCCCAAATGTACGGGTGACGTCTCCCCAAGTTGGGAATACCCCAGACCCAAGATCTAGTCCTTCACCCGTCATTTCATCCGTGTCCGATCGAGCGCGATGTTACTCCATCTCTACAGGGACACATGTGACAGCTAGGCCAAATCACTCTTCTTCTGGTGCTTGTAGGCGTCTCTGATTTGCTAGGAAAAACTACCTCTTTGTTTGATGTTTTGAATTGCATGTCGTTTCTTGCGCGTCTTTTTTTCGATCTTCGCCACGTCTAACGGTTAGAGTTCGGAATCTCTGTACTCAAGAGTATTTTCCGTTACGAGCTTACTTCTTGTCCCACTAAGACGTGCTTCTAGAGTCTTCAGGTACCACGGCGACGAGAGTCTACGAAGGCCTGGGAGTTGCTTTCGTCCACTTCCCTGATACCACCTGCCTCGACGCACCGGGAAGTCCGTGCGGCGATGTTCCTGATCCTCGGGGTGCTTCTGTTTCGGGGATGGCGGCCCCTTGCACGCTGCCTCCCGCCACCACCTTGAGCATCGTGATCACGTCAGACTCTGATTCGCCGGGTGCGTTTACCTTTTGAATTGTTTAATGCGAAACATTCTAACGCCCCGTGCTTAATCTTCAAGACATGATAAAGAAACGGGAGTGCGCCATAGCTGGTGGTCGTCGGGTGTACCACTTCATTCTTTCGGTGGCACCTTTACATTCCTTAGCTGCTTCTTAGCAACAGTCACTCTTTTTTTATATACACTCTTTTCAGCAGTTGCTTGAAGCAACTTTACGTTCATCACTCTCAATCATTTCAAAGCCAAGATGGTCAATCACAGCTTGCTTTTGGCGCTTCTTCACGCCAGCTTGATATCTGGTCGTCCTGCCGGAGATATCAGGCGGGACCCTGAGATTCTTGACCCCAGAAGCCTTCTTCCATCGTCCAGCGTAGAAGTCACCACAATCTACAGCAGTGTTCTTCTCTCCTCGCTGCAATCCGCGGAGCCTACCATTGTTCCCACAGTCACCGGAGTAAGCATTCATTTTCTTGTCCCCCAATAGGCCGGAATAAATATCGTAGAGCGATCCGAAACAACCTGGTTCAAGTTACTGTACACAATGTCTGACCTTTTGAGTGTAGTCCGTAAATACAGCACTCCCTTCTGGGCACGAGACTGGCTCTCCAATCAACACGAGCCAGCCATCGCCCGAAGGATCTTTAGCTCCTGCTACCACCACTCTAGTTCCTCTTCATCAAGTCCCAACTGGACCAACCTCTGCAAACATCTTCGTTCCAATTGCTACGGATGCGCCACCCGCGCAAATCAAGCAACGATCCGATCACCCTGTAAAACAGCTCAACATATACCCACAAGACAACCCCTATGAGACGAACAAGTTCTACGCAAACTTCTTCCTCGGCGGACAATCCAATCCGACATGGACACAACCATATTCGGTGAGCTGGTCGAAAGGAGGAGGAAATGCTGAAAGCTGGGGTCTAGCAGTCTCGCACACTGAGCAAAGCCAACTAGCATGGGATTCTGGCGACCCTCCGCGGTACTTTATTGGCCCAATTGGTCTACAATCCATCATCTTCTCTGCAGCTGAACTTGGAGAATCCACTGTCCTCTCGACAGATACCCTCCAGGGCTTCTCCGCAAACGTCAACCTTGCCCCATCCGCGCAGGATGAGACTATCATCACCTTTCCCCTAGCTCAAGGGATGGGGTTTGTTACCGCAGTCTACACTGGAGGGTCTCCAATTCTCCAGAGCGGGATTTTCTTCAAGACGTTGCAATACGTTGGCGAGCTTAATGCTGTCACTTTCAAGTACCAAATCGTGCTCAATGATGGTACTGACTGGCTTCTCTATGCCACCCCGACCGGTAGCCTCGGAGCACCTCCATTTACTCTCGAAAATAGCACAACGATTTTGGGACCCGAGAAGTTTCAAGGCTCTATCCAAGTTGCGAAGAACCCAGCCGGAACAAGTGGAGAGAGTTCGTACGATGCGTCCGCTGGATCTTTCGCGCTGAGCGCCTCGATCTCTGCGTCGGTCGATGCTAACTCTGGAAGCTATACGCTGGCTTGGGAGAAGGGAGGAATTCAGAACCAGACGTTGCTTATGTTCGCTCTTCCTCATCTCGTCGACTCTTTCGACGACACGACTTTCAACGCGCTCACTGATATTAACATGACGACCATTACGAAAGGTAACGCTAAAGCTGTGATGGCTGACAGCATCACTATGATTGAAGGGAGTCTTCCAACGGAAATGGGATTCGCTCCGTGGCAATCAACCGGCAATGGTGGTCAAGGAACTGTTGGGAACCAGCTATCCACTGCAGCCATTACGGCGATCAACAACGCTGCAGCGACAGAGCTGAACGAAGATTTCGTTGCACAGTCGGTTCTTGACAGCATGTACTATAGCGGGAAGGGCCTCGCCAAATTTGCAGGTGTAATCTATACGATGCAAGATCTGGCCGGCAACTCTGCACTTGCAGCAGCTGGACTAGATAAACTCAAAGACGGTAAGACGCCCCTTCAATCAACATCCTTCCCGATGCTAACGTCAAACAGTTTACAACGTCTTCGTAAACAACACCCAACAATACCCCCTCGCATATGACACCGTCTGGAAAGGCGCCGTGTCCACCGGCGCCTACATCACCGGCGACACAGGCGTCGACTTTGGCAATTCCGTCTACAACGACCACCACTTCCACTACGGCTATTTCGTCTACGCCGCCGCCGTCATTGGCTACCTCGACCCCAGCTGGCTGACCGAGGGCGACAATAAAGCCTGGGTCAACATGCTCGTGCGCGACTACGCGAACCCGTCCGCTGACGACCCATACTTCCCCTTCCAGCGGTCGTTCGACTGGTTCCACGGCCACTCATGGGCGAAGGGGCTGTTCGAATCCGGGGACGGGAAAGACGAGGAGTCGAGCTCGGAGGACGCATTCGCGAGCTATGCGATCAAGATGTGGGGGTCGGTGATTGGGGATGCGAACATGGAAGCGAGGGGAAATTTACAGCTTGCCGTGCACGCTAGGAGCTTGCAGCATTACTTTTTGCTGGAAAGCACGAATAAAGTGCAGCCTGCGAAGTTCATCCCCAACAAAGTCACTGGGATTGTGAGTTCCCATCCTTCAAATTTTCCATTTTGAGAGTGGATACTGATGAGAATGTAGTTGTTTGAAAACAAAGTCGACCATACAACATACTTCGGCACCAACCCTGAATACATCCAGGGCATCCACATGATTCCGTTGAACCCGTCCTCTAGCTACACACGCACCAAGAATTTCGTAAAAGAAGAGTGGGACACGTATTTCGGTAACGGCTACGCAGATACAGTTGAGGGAGGGTGGAGGGGGATACTTTATGCGAATCTGGCGCTGGTAGACCCGGTCAGTTCGTATAATTTCTTTGCAGCGGACGATTTTGACTATACTTATCTGGATGGAGGCGCAAGTCGGACGTGGTATTTGGCGTATGCGGCGGGGTTAGGGGGCGCGGCTTAGAGCCGGATCCGGAGATCTGGAGGTGATTTGGGATGATAGGTGGTTCGAGGAAGGACATGTGCGTATGTAGATATGTATGTGTGTGAATAGATATACCCTATGTCAGAGTTATGATATGTCGGATCACGAAGTAGCAGATTTGGAGCTTTCAAGTCCTTCTCAAATCAGAAGAGATTGAATCAAAGTATTTTTTTTCAGCTTATTCTGGTCGTCATTACAATTCTTTAGGTAGGTGACCTCGCACTATCTTGTTCATCCTTTTTTTGACAAAGTTGACCATCTCCAGCTCCAACTTTACGATCTTGGAGCCTTCAACGCCATCTGCTAACGCATTCCCGGTTCCAAGCCATCTCACTCAAATCGCGCCACTCGGACTCAATTCTGACGCGGTCTGGTGTACTTCCCATTGACGTCTTGAAGCCGTGCAACTCGACAGCACCTAGATCTGACAACACCAGGTACCTTTGAGTTTAGCCCCACCTTGTCCGCTGAACGTGATTGGCATTTCTTTCTCCTGGTCGGCCATAACATCAATCTGCCCCTCGCTAGTCTCTCGTCCACGCCACCGGTAAGTCCAATTAGGGATAGCGGGCGATGGGACATCTGTGGCTAAGAGATAGAAGGTGTTCTGGCATGGATCGTTGAAGACGCAGTCGCTATCATGCCCATTCGTCGTCATCTTCGTCACCGGAATCATCCTGGCGCTTTCGTTTCTGACCTGTGGAGGCAGTAGCATCTTTTGCTTTCACGGCTTTGTTTTGCGTTTCGAATCGCATCCATCCTTCGCAAACGCTAAGGTTGAATTCAGCGTACATCTAGATGCGCCCCTTTTTGTCCACGCCGCGGTAGACAGTCAAGACATCTCGTCGCCGTATTCACACGGGTATTGTTCCTCGATAGCATCCGAGAAGATTTTCCAGGTACCAGTGACATCCCATGTACCGTTCTTTTCCGACTCTTTCGCAACGGCGGCAACTCTACGGGCTTGCTCCTCGCGTTCAGCTTGCTCTCGTAGTTTCTCCGCCTGCTCTCGCTCACGTGCGGCCTTCTCTTTAACCTCGATAAGATCTTGCTCTTCCTGCCGGAGAACCGCCAGCTGGGCGTCCACTGCGCGCTCGCTCGTTCCAACGACAATGCACAAGGCGTAGTATTGATCACATGGGAAATCCCTCCTAAGCTGAGCCCAGTTGAAGCCTTCGACAACCAACCCAAGGGACTCTGCCGCTTCCTCAACGGCGTCCCAGTCGCTCTTGTACACGAGAGCCTCTTGGCCGGACTCCCCATCTAGCAATGCAGCTTTCAAAGCCCTAACCTTCTCATCCACGAGCTTCCGTTTCGCTTTCTCTCTCCTAGCCTTCTCGCGCTTGACCGCTGCGTCATGGTTCGCATCCCACCTCGCCTTCGCCTCCTTTTCCAACTCGACAAGTTCCGGCAGCACCACGTTCGGCGCGGCTCCCTTCAACTTCCAGAGCATCTCGTTCTCACCATCCTCCGGCACGCCACGGAAAGCGCACTGGGCTCGCCACCAATTCCGGGGTTTCTTGGAGGCGGCCTTGTAGACTTTCATGACCGTGCCGGTCTTGTAGTGGCGGGCGTGGGTGACGGTATCCCCGTCGAACTTGTAGCCGAGGCGGAGGAGACCATTGCCAGAGTACATGAAGTCGATGCCATTGTGGGTGACTTTGATGCCCCGGGTTTTGACGTAAGACATGGTGGATTGCTGGATGGAGGCGGGGTGGGAATGAAGAAAGGATGTGGGGTAAGCAAGAGATGTGGAGACATGATATGAGTGCTAGTTTGCTATCTTTGTACCTGTAGGGGGCTCTAGTTGGGAGCGTTCTTGACATCCACCCATTATCTCTTGGCAAGCAAGTAGGTCTACCTCCCCCCATTGCAAGGCTCACATTTCAATACACCATCTCTATTGGTGAAAATTCGAAGAGGTTGATATCTCGTATGCATAATAGGCTCCCTGTCATACCACGTTGTTTTCAGTAAGCTTTCGGTCACGTGGCATGACCTAAACGCATTGGAAGGGAAGACCTGTGGTAGGTATGTAGCTTCTGGTATGCTGCCGTCTCTATATTCTAGCTCGTTACCCTCTAAGACCCAATACTCCTTGGCTACACCTTACCTACCAGGGCTCTCTAAAAGAAGCACTCAAAACGCCAAGCTAGAAGTACACATTCGTCCTGAAGCTTACTTCGGCTGCTCATACGAAGAGAGTACAATGCCCTCCTCTGAATCAATAGACTCCTTTCCCGATCTCCGCCCTCGCAACGACCAGTTCGATTCGGCCCAGAGATTTTTGAAAACAAGACCAGGATGACAAATGGTCAAGAAGAAACAAGCAATTATAACAAATGGTCCTTCGAAGATCATGAAGAGCGCCTCGTTGTTCGCCACTGAGCCGCCAAAACCGGACTGCAACTCAATCACGCGGAAGATAGACCGAATCAAGATGGCGAAGGTAGCAACAGCGAGACCTTTCCAAAGTCAGCAATGTGTCCAGGGGAGAGGCTGGTCTATACATACTCCACTTGAACCACTTGAAATACCGGCTCGCCCTCAGCCCAGAGAACTTCTGGCAATTGCTCTTCGGCGCGCGATGGACCCGCAGCGCATAGTCACCAGCCAGCCCGATGAACACCAGAAGCGAGAAGACCTGGAAAGCTAATCCAGCCACCATGATGTTCGCTCCCATATCCGATCCAGCCTTGTCGTTCGCCGTCGCCGCAATCGCGCCGCCAACGGATTGGAGCAGCAGCGAGAAGAAGTCGCATCCACAGAAGATGAACATGTACGTCTTCGGTTGGAACCGTGAGCTGTCCGAGCCGTAGGCCATGATGATTCGACCGAGGCATAGATAGATAGCGGCTGAGAGGAAGGCCGGGCCAATTGTCAGGGGGATAAGGTATCTATCGTCACAGTCATAGTCAGCTACTGCATCTCCGGCACCAACATCGTTTGAGTCCTTACAATAGAAAGCTGTTGAAGTCGAATGGATCACCATGGAGCATAACGCGTCCCGCGTACCCCAGAACCTCGAGTACGATCCCGCAGAACATCCCAACGAAGAAGCCCCATGTTTTGTGTCGGATTCCTAAGAAGCATTGCGCAATAAAGAGGGCAGCGAAGATGATGAGGTAGATGAGGTTTCCGGCGAGCGTGGGGAGATACTCGACTTGGGCGTAATCGAGCGAGCAGATGGAGACGGTGCAGAGGTCTTCTGGGATTGCGGTGCCGTTTTTGGCGTATACGTATTGGATTGTATTGTTCGAGTTCGTCATTTCAGAGATCGAGGGATAGAGTGCGCGATTTAGAGGGCAGATGCTCCGACCCTGAGGACTTCGACGCTGCTAATGCCAGGAAAGGCTGAAAAGAAGTGCGAAGGAGAAGGAGAGAAGAAGTCTAGAATAACAAAGGGGAGGGTGTTTTGGACTCTGAACCTTCAAATCGCAATCGGGCACCACATCTTATATGTACGCCCCCACATCTCTGATAAGACTCCGCCGCTGCGCCAGATGTCTACCGCAAGTGGCAGAGTGTACGAGTCCGCCTTTCAGCCCTCTTGTTGAGGACGGGCGTGGGGCCTTCTCTATGAAACCAGCAAGGCTATGTGACGTTCAGCCCCTGGCCCCCGCGTCGGGTAATACACGCCCCAATAACAACGAACGATCTAAGAATGGCAGCCTGCGCATCGCAGCCAAGCAACGCTTAATCTTAATTTGGCAGTAATGGAGCGCCGCTTGAAAACGCCGCGCGTCGGGACTCTTGTTAAAACAACGAAAGGCTGGAGTCTGCCTTGCCTCGTCGTCAGGTGTTTCTAGATGAAGAAGTATTCTTGCGAAGCCTACTGTAACGCATCGCAATGTCTTGACTTGTTGGTGCATTGAAACGGTTCGGTACTGCAAATCTCGCAAGGTTCTCTGGATGGAGTTTATGAAGCCGTTGGTACGACCTCTGCCCCGCTATGATGGATAACGAGTGGAGTTAGTACCCTCTATTTGGTGTCCTAGTTGAGCTGTGTATTGTCTTGGTATCCGGCTCGAGTGCTGCAACCGAATACGTAAGTGCCACGTATTTCTGCGTTGTCTCGATTTTCTCGTCTTCTTCTCGCTGGGACTTTCAAAGAGTCCCAGATTTCGCATGCTCAGACTCGCTCTTCAATTCAAAAGGCGCAATTGAGATTCGTCGAGAAGCATGAGCGGTAGGAGCTTGGTCGAGTCATCGACTACGAACCTTTGTCTGTCCGAATATTTATTACAGAATGCCAACACTGCTGTTGCCTGAGGCGTTGCAGATTCGAAGGTTTGCGGCGAAGCGTTACGAAACATTGTGGCCCTCGGCTGGCTGGACCTAAGCCACCACAACTGCTTTAAGCTTCAACCTTCCTTGACACTAGAACACGGAAAGAAGAAGCAAGATCAGCGCTAGAAGAAGGTTCTTATGTAGGGAAAAAGCTTGAGACGACATGGGTATCCCGTTTGAGATCATCACTATGATTAACCTCCACGTCAATTTCGAACTTCAAGCAAGAATGTCATGATAGTCAGAGACCTATACATAGTAATTTCATGTGCACCTCCATGGAGATGGGGTGAAATTAAGTAGCCAGACCGAGATGGTCACGTGACGATTGGTCGGTCTGTATCCGGCTCAGTCTTCCGCGGACACCTGCATCATCTCAATTACCTACTATGTAGGCCCAGTAGGCTAGATCCAACTCATCATCCGCACAATATTTACTTCTTCACATGAGCAATCACTTTACGCCCCGTCTGCCTTTCCACTCGATATGCAGAGACACTACCGCACAAGGCTGGAACCTTGAGAGAAGCAAAACCTTCGGAGGCTGTGTCGGGCTGAGCATCAAAGCGTCGACAAGACTCCAACCTCGTTCGAACTATCGTTCAAACAGCTTCTTGTGTTCTTCTTTCGCGATTATTCCTTTATCGCGGATGGATAATGGAACCCCCCAAGCATCACATTCATCACCGCAGTCGTGGGATCACTTATAGCGAAAGGGAAGGTATTTGACACAGTCTCGACAGTAGATTTTGATATCCTAGGCGTACCTAAAGCTGCACATGACGTAGTCTGCGAGATCCGTGCTTTCTGTGCCGTTATTGCGTCTCTTCATGAGTTCCTTGTTCGACACGCTGCCGTCCCGAACAGTCAAACCGCCCTAATACCCTGAAGTATCAAAGACGCTCCTGTTGGGATTTTACCTGTAAGTGAAAGCAAGAATACGGAGCGAGAAAGCAAAAAAAGAAAAAAACGGCAACCGCCTCCGCCCACGCAGATGCTCAGAATCCAGATATACGTCCAATTTTAGGGCCTAGGCTAGTGGTTGACTCCTGAATGCGACGACAACTTACAATTCGAAGACAATCTTAGAATATCGCCTGTCTTCATGTGCCTAATAGTCTCTAGAAGCTGTCGTAGTAGGAACGACGGTTATGGAGATGACATATTGCATTCATCGCTTCCAGCTTGTGGAACGATACTGGTCCCAGTTTCAGCTTCAGACGGTTACTCAAGTTGCTCTCTACCATAGCGTGTACCTATGAAAGCCATAAGATTTCAAGGCGTCGTTGGTCATTGTTCTTTTGTTCCCATTACGCCCCAACGCCCTTGACTTTTTCTTGCCTGACTGAGACGAGACGCTGACGGGTCCCGTGCTCCTTGTAGAACGGTGGCTAGTCGCGCTGGTAGAAAGTGGCGGCAGCGGTGGCGGTGACGGTGGCGGTGGCGGTGGCGGTGGCGGCGGCGGAAGTGACGGTGGTACAAGTAGTAGGCTAGGGTAAAATGGATTTGTCCAAGGAGAGAAATTGACGGTGTTGTATCTAACGAGCCTTACTCCGTTGTAGATGCCTTGCGGATCCCTACCACCTCCAGCAGGGGTGTCGAAAGACGTGACCGAAACAGGATCCGCTGATTGCTCTTCGATTGCCATTTCTGGCGATATGCATGTTTCTAGTGATGATGAGTGGGGCCGTAGTCTAATACAAGTCTCTCCAAGAACGTGCGATCCGTCCAGGGTTGTTATAGTCCCCGCATTCGGTTTCGATCTCTCTGTATCCTCTGTCATGCCTAAAGATGAGGGAGGTTGAGATGTTTCAAAGAGTAGATGTTGGATATACGTCTTTATCTGGATTTTGTGCTGCTCGATATCATCACCGGTGATCCCTTCTTCAAGAAGCTCGCTCTTTAGCATCTCCCAAATATCCTGACCCTCATTGTCTTCCTCTGCCACTGTCAAAACGGACGGCTCGCGTTGACCAGAATTGATCTCCGCCACCAACACGTCGATCTTCCTTTCGATCCTATCTAGCATATGGCCGTGCAAGCTCGTCAAGAATAAGTTGACCATCTGAACATGCAACGACAACTTGCTTCTGATGGTATCAAGTTCTTCTTGCCCAAACTTCACCCTCTCCCACGTCCGCTGACTATTTGTTCCGAGACCCTTGTATTTCTTCACCAAAGCGTCTAATTCGGCTAGAGCAGTGTTGCAATTGCTCGTGATTTGGTCAAACTCCACGCGTCGTGTGGGACCCCGTTTGCTGAGGGCGGAGTCGGGATCTGATACATCGTCCAGTCCTTTTTGTAAGACTGTGTGCAGGCTGAGAGCCTCACAGGCAACTTCGGCGAAGGATGACGAGGCCGATTTAGCGCGGCGGTAGGTGGTCCACGCAAAGTGGACGAGGGTAGTAATATCGGTGATGGAGATGCCAAAGGACATGTTGCGGAAGTCCAATTACCGGAGAAGTGAGTTGGTAGGAAAATGAATGACCACATTGTAGAAACGTGGAAGAAAGTGAGGCCTTCCCAGCCCACCTCACGGCGCGGGGCGTTCTCAGCCTTGCTGCAAGCTGGAGCCACGTTTGGATTGGCCAAGGCAGTCTGGGCTCTCAAGTAGACTGACAAAATCTAAAATGTCTCGACTGAATGCATTGATTACAAGCTGAAGAGGGTTTGTATTACATGTCGTATAATAGATGAAACAAAAGAGGAAGAAGAGTTAATTTCTTTACCATAGTTGAGAACTTCCTATCTTGCTGCGCAGTGCTTCATACCGGACGCATCGCCACAGCTTTACAAGAAACATGGAGCCTAAAGTCCTCAGATTTCTAGATGCTGCAGGGTTGCTAGGGTAAAGCAAGCAAGCAAGCTTGGGTGTATTTTACGCAGGGAACCCCTTAGATTCTCATTCCATTACCTGGAATATACTTAGATAAGAGGCCTGCTCTGCGTGTCCCTGTCAGAAGATGCCGCACATCTCTTTTCATTCAACATCAGACCCCTCCCCTCGTAGCTACAGGCTACTCTTACCCGAACAAAGCGTCTCGTGAAGCCTTTGCATCGAGTTTTCCGCCCTCGCGGCACAATGCTCTGGGTCAACAGACCTATCACGCATTCGTCGATCAAAGCTCTCGAGAGACACCCACCCTCGAAAGCCCTTTTCCAAGACCCATGCCTGCACCATCTCTTTTACCGGCATACATCCGCCAAGCGCTGCCTCCAGAGGAAACGGTCGGGCATGTTTCGACCACGTGAATTCAGCCGCCTCTCCTTCAATGTACCACGGATGCTTGTCTGAGAAAGGTGGATGGAAACGCTCTCCGTCCGAGAGTTGAACGTAGAACAGCTTTTCCAGCAGAAAGTCCTGTACAAAGTCGCGAAGTGAGTTGGCCAGAATCTCGTCTGCATCTGGGTACTTCCCGCTGGTGTCATACGGGTTCCCCCAAATCTTGCTCGCTACGTGAAATGTGTCGAGGCAAATGCCGAAGTTGGATCGATTTACAAGATTCGCGAGGCGGAGGGAGTCTTGCCATGTAGAATAGCAGACTGACCAAGACATCGGCTCATACGCGATGGAAATGACCGGTGCAGCGGCGCTGCCCAAGTCTGCCAGCTGTTGCAGCTCGGATACGATGAGAGCTTCATCGTGAACGGCATCTTTACTAAACTGCGCAGGTACTTGCAGGTAAGTCGCACCCAAGATACGTGAGATCTTGATCCAGTCGGCTGCTACGTTAAGGCGTTCCTCAAGGGGCGATTTGTGGCCTTCGAAATTCTCAAATGGACATAGCGAAAGTATTTCGAGTCCCTTCTCCCGACACAATTGGCGGATTTGGTCTGCACCTGATTCTATGTGTAATCTCCGAGATGTACTGAAATCTTTGAGGTCGACGTGTACGATTTCGATGCCTTTGAAGCCATGGCTGGCGGCGGCGTGGATCTTGCGGTCGAGAGAATGCGAAGGATGAAGACCTAATGACGAGGTGCTTATCGCGCATTTGTTTTCAAAGGCCTTCATGACGGGTGATATGAGAAGTTGGAGTACGTTTTGATAGTTGCAGCATGCTGGGGTTTATAATGTTGCGAATCGACCAGTTAGTGCATTAGCGGCGAGAATTGCGTCTCGGACACGATGTTAAGGGGAATTTTTCCCGCCAGTTTCCAGTGGGGCCGAGACGTATCGCTCAAGGAAGTAATGTTGGAACTGAGGTCCGGCCATTAACAATGCAATTGTGGATTCCACATTCATCTCTCAATATAGAAATTAGCGCAGAGATGGAAGGTTGAAGAGAATATTTGGAGGAGACCTTGGAGCTAGAATACAGATGGTGACTAAGGACATAATACATAGAATACCACGACGGCAGACGCGAAACCTATCGTCTTGTCATTCATCAACCCTCTCGTCCGAAGACGCTTTTCGCTGCCTACTAATATAGGATATCATAGAGCCTGCTGATCTCAAGTCCTGCACATCTCAAGCCCTCCTGTACTGGAGATTTGTGGCTTTAGATGCCTTCAAAGGCGCATCCAATAACGACGCCCGAGGGAGCCTCAAGATGCAGATATTCAGCCTTGCGAGGCCGCCCAGCTTGAGCAGCTCAGCCTACCTGCCCTTATCACTAACAACTTCATGGACTGACTCTCCTTCTCTCTCGCCTTTAAAGAACTTTTTCTTCGTTACATTATCGTTAACATCCACATAGTTCCAACTGATCACATTCATACCATACCGAGAGCCCTCGCAGACCACCCTTCTTAGCCACGAAACGATCCCCCGATACCTAGGAGCCGCACATGAACTCCCTCTAAGATGTCAGCCCACCGCGTTGACGCAATACCAGCACAACCATGGGCGCTTGCCAAAGCGCGGTTCATGTCGGACCTCTCGGATCAGGAGAAGAACCTCTTCGAGAAGGCTACGCTGGAGAATATCTTCTACGGAGCTAGTGTGGCGGAGAAGAAACACAAGGCAGAGAGCAAAACGCGAGCTGTGCACGACAAGATGCGACCGCTGCTGGAAGCAGTAGAAGATTATGGGAAAGCGATGGATGTATTCTCGAACACGTATTCGCTAGCGTTGGCTCCAATCTGGGGCAGTATCAGAGTCTTACTGCAAGTAAGTAGTATATTTCGATAGAAGAGTAGATTAGCGTACGCGACACGCTCCGCTGACTCAAAGAAGTATGCTTTGGACTTTGGAAAATACTATGAGAAGATAGTCGATATCCTCGCTCGAATCGGTGATGTTCTGCCACGTTTTCGAATCTACGAACGCCTGTTCCCTGACCACGAACGGCTCGTCCTTGCGTTAGCAAATGCCTATCTGGATATTGTCAAGTTCTGTACAGACGCAAAGGCTGTTTTCACGGAGGGGAAAAAATCACGCAAACCGTTCAAACTGATCTGGAAACCATTCAGCAAGCGATTCGATGTGTATTTATACCAGTTCCGAATGCACCAAAAGGAGGTGGAGAGGGAAGCGGGCGTGTCGCATATGATCGAAAGCAAACAAGAACGAGAAATAGAACAAGCAAACAGGGAACTGCAAGAGCGAAACATGAAGGCAGAGAGGCGCCGCCGGGTCCTTGCCCGGCTTTCTGCGGGAGAGTACCAAGTGAACCACTACAAAACCCGAGGCGTTCGGATCGACGGCACAGGAGATTGGGTTTTGAATGATCCTTTGTTCTCCGCTTGGCTTCAAGACACTGGAAGCAGTGGTTGCTTTTGTTGCTTCGGAATACCGGGGTCTGGTAAAACCGTCCTCGCCTCTGCCATTATCGATTCGATGATAGCTCGTGATGATTCAGCGGTGGCATACTACTACTGTGACTACGCCAATCCCAAGACCTTGGAGATGGGTGCTATCGTTGGATCGCTCATAAGACAACTCATCGAGAAGCTTGAACTAGACATAACCGACCAATTCGAGGAAGAGTTGATCGAATGCTACGAGGCAGTGTCTCCTAGCTTAATGTGCGATAGCCTCACAAAGCTTCTTCATCGCTTCATCCTCGAATTCAATTCGGTCTTTCTCGTTCTAGACGGAATTGATGAGTTATCGCGACAAAACCAGTCTGCAATTCATCAAATCGTATCAAAGGCCCTGGATCGTACTGACTGTACCCTGAAAGTTTTTCTTACCAGTCGTCGCGAAGAGAGATTGATCAGAAAGTTGTTTGCCAGTTATCCATCGATTGACATGTCCGATACCCAGAACCACGCTCAAATATCTCATTACATCCGCTGTTCGATTGAACAAAAAATCAACTCCGACGAGCTCCGTATCAAAGACCCAGATTTGAAGGATGAGATTATTGTTGCTCTTGTCAATGGCGCCAAAGACATGTAAGAAATTTCCTCGGGGACAGTGCCTTGCCATAGATATCCGTACACTTTCCAGCCACAGTCTGTGGGGCTCCAACGTACACAGGTACTAATAGAAACCGGGGGCAGCGGATATACTTCTAATCCACGTACTCCCTGTTGACGATATCTGGGGTAGCCTGGCGAGTTTACAAGTTATCCAAGATGCTGAACTTTTCTCTTATTTGGAATGCTGAAAATATTACGAAGCTCCTCGCGCAGCGGAAAACGAGTGTATGGATTTCTATGACGAGGCATTGGAATAAACTTTATTGGCACAAAACCCTCAAGCCGGCTAATCATCTAGTAGGTTTCTCTGGGTCAAATTCCAGATCGATGACATCTGCGAAGCTTTAAGTGACTCACAGATACGGCATATACTCACACACCTGCCAAAGGACTTGGGAGAAACATACGCAAGAATTCTAGACAAGGTTACTGCGTCTCCCAATGGGAATACCAAGATAAAGCTAGCAATGCGCATTTTCCAGTGGGTCGTATGTGCTCGCCGTACTTTAACAATCGACGAACTCCAAGAGGCGATGGCAATCGAAAAGGGGGATAATTTCCTTGACACCACAAAAATTCCAACTGATGAGCTTGAAATGATTCAGGTCTGTGGAAACCTGGTCACATATGATCGGGAAGACCGCACGGTTAAGTTCGCGCACCACACCGTGCAGCAGTTCTTGGTCTCAGTCACTTCAGTGAAAGAGGCTCAAGAAACAGTCGGACAAGTCTGTCTTGACTACCTTTACTTCTCCGACTTTGAACAACAAATGACTCGCACGGAAACCCGACCCGTAGTCACCCATTCCTCAACGCTGAATTCTCTGATATGGACAGGAGTACCTTCTACCGTGTTGACAGTTTTTAAAGCGCTTTTCGGGACTTCCTCAGTGCCTGATGCAGTTACGTTCGATGGGAATCTCCTACGATCTAAGCCAGTACCGACGTCACTACACAAGAAGTACAAATTACTTGACTACGTCGTCACGTATTGGGCATGGCACGTCTTCGACCTCGAGTTAACAAGGTCGAAAATCATGGATCTTGTTGAGACAAAGCAGCTGCCATTCCAGTTCCGGCCATGGAAGAACGGACCATACGCCGCAATCAAACCACCCCATAATTTACCTAGGCTCAACATCTTCATGTTCGCTTCCGCTGAAGGCTTATCGCCCCTGTTGAGAGTCTGTGAGCCAGGCCTTGCAGACTACTACAATTTTGAGGTCAAGAATGGGAGAAACCCAGCTATACTAGCCTGTGAATCGAGCCGTCTCTCCATCCTGGAAACCTTCCTATCTCTAGAACCACTTGGGGACGCTCCAAGTAAAGGAGCTTACAACCTAGGCTTACTCAAAGCTGCAGCACACAGTTCAGCACCAATATTCCTCCAAAGAGTGTTAGAGGCGTACAGCGCGTCTGCTCTGGCCCTCGGAAGAATATACTTCACGCCTGTCAACAACTTCATCCTAATGCTGAATGATGCCATAGATGCTGGAAACCTTCAAACTATGGAAAACATCCTCGCACAGGACATCGCTTCGAAGCTCCGGCTTCGCGCTAGGATCGCCACCGAATCAAGATACTCGGGGTTCCCCACCGCCCCACCGGACCGAGCAGCATCTCAAGGTCGTATTGCCATTCTGAAACTCTTCATCAAGCAGAACTGGGACCTTGGAAACTCGATGACCTATGCTGCATACTTTGATCAAGAAGATGCCTTGAGAACTTTGCTAGCTCGAGCCCAAACTAGCGAATTTTCCCTCAAAGATATCCCCTTCATCAGATCAGTCGATGAAGACGAGGAATCTCGCAATGAATCAAATCAGCCTACCGCCGGGAATGTCAGGAATCCATTCAGGACGCGTGTCATTACTCAGAGTTTGGATCCATCAATCTATACATCCTCTACTTATTTCGACGCAATTGATTGCGCTTTCAAGGTTGCAATCTGGTCGAGCGGGGAAAACGTCGACAAGCACGGGATAGTGAAGCTGCTCCTAGAGTATGGGGCCAATGCCAACCAGGTAATTCGGACCAAGGACGGAATAACTCGCAAAAGTTTCATCTTCTTGGCGATCGAACAGGGAGACGTAGTGCTTGTCAAGACACTTCTTCAAGCCCAGGAATCCTACCTTGGATTGTGGGGATATCCACTACCATGGGGACCGGACCAGTCGCCTCTACGGTATGCCTTTTCGCGGGGGTATCTTGAGATTGTAGACGTTTTGCTTGGCCATGACGGAGTAGACATCAACTTGCAAGACAGTCGAGGTTGGACAGAATTACATTCTGCCATAGAAGCACCTGAAGCATCGCAGTGGCCGGATTTGCTTCCAGAATCACGCATAGATGCCATTAAGGCAATGCTTACTCAGGAGAAAATATCTACCAACTCCAAAGACAACAGCAGTCACGCAGTACTACCAGATCCAGTCCAAACACAAAGACAAATTTATTGGAAAATGAATGAGTTGGTCATCAAGCGTTTACTCGCGCACCCACACATAGACGTCAATGCTCCGAACTTCGATGGAAATACTGCTCTCCACATTGCGGCTTTGCATTTTGTTCGCGAGGGGGTCGCGAATTTCCAGCGTCTACTCGCACACCCACGGATAGACGTCAACGCTGTGAATAGGGATGGAGCTACCGTACTCCATCTTGCCGCCAGGGACAGTTGTCGTAACATTGTTCAATTACTCCTGGATCATCAAGAGGTCAACGTCAACGCCATGACCAGCGACGGACAAACAGCTCTCCACCTTGCAGCTGGTCGTAACGGCCACGAAGTTGTTCAAATGTTCCTTAGCCATCAAGATGTCAAAGTCAATGCTGTAAACAGCGACGGGGAGACCGCTCTCCACCTTGCAGCTCGTGTTGGGGGTTCCAAAGTCACTCAATCTCTACTCGGCCACAAAGACGTAAAGGTGAACGCTGTAAACAAGAGCAAAGATACTCCTCTCCACCTTGCAGTATCTATGGGCAACAATCAGATCGTACAGATAATATTCCTTCTCCATTACAAGAGGAGGTTCTGGGGCAAAAACGCCGACGGCCAAACACCCCTGGGGCTTGCCGTTTCTTTAGGGAGGATCCACCTAGCTTGCCAGATTATCGAGACGTGCGTAGCGTCGGACATTTCGGACCTATCTAGCGACATCGACACCATCATTACCATGGTCAGAAGCGGTCCCAGTATGATGTATTCTTATGAATTCACTGCAATTAACTCCGCACTAACAAGGCTGGAAGACACTATTGAAGGTACATACGCTAGACTACAAGTTCAAGCCTTGTCAGTCAAATTCAGACAGCTCTTTTCCATCCACGTTTAGTGGGGGTTTGGCTGGACTGAGTAGGATCTGCAGCGGCCTTTCCGAGCATTTAGAGGACGTTACAATGCCTCGTTATACGAATCCATACATTCGTTTACCGCTGCGTGAGGAGTTTCATGTTATTTTCAGCTTTCCTGATAAGAGAGAAGTTCGACACTTTGGACAATTAGTAAATTCACGAGGCTACCCCAGACAGCGCCAACATGGTGTACGCACGTGTATCCGTTACCTCCAATTTCTACCAGTACATTGGAGCCTTATAGCTCGCAGGAATGTGCACGGATATCTATGGCAAGGCATTGTAAATCTAGGGTCTGTTGGATTATGACAATCACATACAGCAATCACTGCTGGTAGCAAACAGGGCTTTCGTGTACATAATGTCGCGTCCCACCAATATTCAGATGCTACAACCTGCAAATCAACAGAAATACGAGAGGGGGTACAACTGACGGCATAGACCGTTAATTTACACCACTATCTCATGCCACCGATGACCCGCGCTATTTCCCCCCCTTCCCCCCTTCCTGATAACCCATCATCAACCCCAATCCTCACCATCATCTCTACCTCAATCTTGCTCTTCCCATGATCCCAAACTACCGGCGTCCACCATCACCATCCCACCCTCTATCCCCTCTGTCCATCAGGTCCTACTTCTCCCAATTCCGCTCCCACCCATCCGCCTCGGTGGCCACTCCTGTTACCCACCCTCCACCACACCCACACACCATTCTGGGGTCTTGCGCATCATTTGACCACCCCTCCCACACCATCGCGTCTCGCGACGCTCGATTTTAATCCTCCGCCTCTCCTCCACCCAGCTTTCCTTGTGAAGAGCGTAGTGAGCATTCGCTGCACCCCTCCCCGCCCACATCCATTGCTTCCTTCAGGCCATCATTGCTCGCACCCTCCACCTCATCAGGGACGGAGTATGTTCCAGTGTTTGAACACTCTCCTGCTCTTCTCCTCCACCTCCATTGGCTTGGGCTGTGGCTTGTTCAAAATGTTGATCCACCCGCTTTGTTGAGGTCATTTGCAACTCCAGCCCCCCCCCCCCCACCAGCTCTCCATCAGGGGATGATTGATCCATTGGTGGCTTTGGTTTCCCACTGCCTGCTGCAGCCATGCAGGTGGATTCTCGCAGGCTTTGCTTTTGATTTCCATTCCCTATCCTCCCCTCCTGCTCTGCCGAGGAAAAAAGGAAGAAACGAGGAGCCCGGAGGAGGGGGGGGGAACACGTGACATGCAACCCAGATCACATGCTAGCGACTAGATGCTTGACGTAAAAGAACGTTGGGGATGGCAGGCGGGTGTTTGAGGGCAGGCAAATCGCACAGATAACTCGCACGGTAGAAATACATATCACTCTTAAGTGCTCTCAAATACTTGTATTATATTCACAGATAGGTAGGCAGAGCTATACCCGTCCAGCTTGCTTATTCCAACGTCCCGTCTCAGGACATTAGCTACAGGGATAGACAACCTCCCGCATCCCGCATCCCTCGTCCAAGACTACACATCCTATATCAAAGAATACACCCGTGCAATTCAGACAGCCGACCCTTTCATCATCCACACATCCACACATCTCTTGCTCCCCATCCCCCAAAACAGCAACGTAAACCACGCCTGAGCTCACAAATCTAGTAGAACTAATCCAACACACACAAACCACAAGATCACCATACCAAATCCCATAGGTAAACCCAAGCGCAAAAAACAAAACAAAAGCCAGCCGTCATGACATTCGTAAAACCAAGCTCCGCTGTGCAAGGTGCAGAAAACACATTACGTAGTTTCTCAAAAAAAGAGAAATCGCCAAAAGGACGGAAATCGGGGATAACGTATATCCAAGCGACTTATTGAAAATATCCACAAAACCCAGAATAATGACAAGAAAGATTCGGAAATGAATGTACAATCGAGACACGGGTAAGGGTGGGGTGGTGGATAAGGGAGCTCGCGATTTACTCCCACTTCCGGCTCCAAACCCCAATCTCCTCATCACTCAGTGCCGCCATCCACAGACAGCGGCTCACGATCGCCGGCTCGGGTGTAAACGTGTACTTCGAGCTCGCTTCTAGCAACCTCAGAAGCGATTTTACGATCGAGGCGGCGGTGTGGTGGCGTTCGAAGTTGACGAGGCGCTCGCCGCCGACGGGGGCGTCACCGATGAAAGCCGGTTTTTGGGCGTTGTAAATGAGGTCGCGGGTGTAGATACCTATTCATGTCAGTCAACACTGTACAGTTGTAGGGAATTCAAAAGGAGAGAAGTGGTAAGCTTACCGATGAAGGGAATACACCCCTCCTCCAAACTCGCCGTCTCCATCTCCACACGCAGATTATGGAAGTTGCGCAGCGGCTGGACCAGCGCTTCGAGATCGCGCATCGTCTGTATCTCCGCCGCGGGGACAAGCTCCCACGTCCGCTTCAACCGCGCGCAATCCGTGCTCAGTAACGCGATCGTGATCTGGTACATCGTCGCGTAGTTTCTGTAACGCCTCGCGTGCGACGTGATGTGGATGTACTTGACGATACATCGCGCGCGCTCCTCAATATTCTCGGTCAACACGATCTCGCTCAGCGCCCACTTGACCATGAGATTGAAGCGCGCGATGACGATGTCGACGCCGCGCGGCTCTTCGGTGCGGAGGTATTCGACCCAATCATGGATTTGGGGGGAAGATTGTTTCCAGCGGAGCTCGATGAGCTCTTTCCAGTCGATTTCGTCGAGGGCGTCTTTTTCGATGACGGTGAATTGTTGCGCGAGGGTTTCGGAGTCGTAGGCGAGGATGAAGGGGAGATGGGAAGGGGGTTGGGCGGGAAGGGTGTCTTTTTTAAGGTCTTTCAGTTCGATGGCCTCGGTTTGTTGAGTGGCTTGGCTGAAGGGGAGGGTGTTAAGCTTGGTGGTTGGGGTAAGACCGGGCGTGGGGAGGCCTCGTTGGAAGACTGTCGTGTCGACTGAAGGCATCGATTTGTTGAAACGGTCGGCTGTCAAAGGAGGCGTGGGTGGATGACGCATCGGGTGGCGCAAGACATCGTTGTCGTTGTCCAAAACAGCAGGCTCGTCGTCAAAAAAACTCCTGACACCCTGGCTATCACCATCTGACCGAGGCGTGGCATCGTTGTCGGACATGTCGCTGAGATCTTCATCTTCATTTAGTAGAAAAGACTCGCGCGGGTTGGGTGATCTTGGGATCGTGGAGCCTTTTGGTATTCTCTTCATGCTGTCTGTCTCCACAACGAACTCCATCGAAGAGTCCGGCGAGCCATACTGACGAGTAGTTTGTGTGCGGGTTCGACTTGGGGAGGATGGATTGAGAGGCGCTGGCTTTGCTGAAGCCCTCATCCGACCTTGTTGTGACTTGTAGGACCTTGATACAGCTGCATCACTTAATCCACGCTCCAGAAGTGGAATTGAAGAGAAGGAATCCTCAGATTCGGCGATCGAGGAATCAGGAGGTGTTCGTCGTGGTGCGAAGTCTTCCCCTGATAATCTGTATACACTAGTACCTTCAATCGATGGAGCCGGAGCAGGAGCTCGTCTACTGATTGATCCATCAACTGTTTCAGCATTGCTGCTTAGTGCTCTCGCGGTGTCTGAGGATTGAGTGATTGACTGCTGGGAGTTGTTGAACTCCGGCGAGCCAGTTGGGCGATAAGTTTCCGGAACACCAGTCGCACGAGGCGAAGGCTCTGGACTCTTCTTTTCGTACTTCCCTTCTAATTTGAGCAGCGCAGATTCCACCCCTCCGTCATCATCGGTATCGTCGGGCAAAGCAGCAAGCTTCGCTACTTCGGCTTCAAAAGAAGGTCTTAGGTTTGGTTGCGATGAGTGGGTTTCTACGAGCGACAAACGTTTCTTTGGTGTTGCAGCCTCAGGAGCAATAGGATTGCCGAGGCCTTTGCTCTCCTCGGAGGGGTCCACAGGGTTGGTAGCAATCCCGGACGTATGAATGACAGAGTTAGCTATTGAGTGAGTACGGTTAGATAGCGTTCCGGTGGAATGAGGACGTTGAATGGGCTCGAGCTCATGTATGTTGCCCGCCTCCCTGAGATTGCCACCTGGTCGTCTTCGAAGTTGTCGCGCGGGCTGTCGATCGAGGACAAAAGGGTCATTGTCTGAAGACATGCTCTGGATTGAAGAAGCGCCCAGGCTAGGGTTGGCTTGATGCTTGTTTAAGCCGCTGTATGATGTGTATCGCCTCAACGATGCCGATGCTGATCGCGCAGACTTCATTGAGGCCTGGCGTCTTAGTGCAGACGACGGCCGATGGGTTACTGGCTTATGACTAGACATTGACCGTTTTGGCAGGCTCGTAATTGAGGATGGCGGACGAGCTACGTCTTGTGGAGTCTGATACCGTAATCCAAGATCCTCAAGGGGAGGTGGGTCCTCGTAGAGTTCGGAGTGCCTAGTCATCTCCACCTGTTCTTCAGGTACATCCTCGGGCTTTGGAGCATCGTGTTGATTCGCTGTCGGTGACCCAGAAGCAGACTGAGATATTCCCCCTACCACCGGCAACGCTCCAGACATCATGGGCACCATTGGAACGCTAGTGTCGTCGAATATTACGATAGATCGACTACCCATAGTGACATTGCTATTCAGCCTAGTGTGATTGGTACCCGGTGGCCCTAATTTGTCTTCGGACAATTGTGACCTGGGCTTGTTGATGGCAAAATCCCACCCACCAGTTCCAGCGGCACTATTAGATCCTTGCTTCTCTAATTCAAGCTCTACCTTGATGGCCGCATTGAAGCTTTCCGAAACCTTGGCGGCCAACGCATCGTACCGTCCCTGGGTTCGGCTGCGAGCATATCTTCGTTTGTGCACTCCACCCGATGATGCAGTGTTTTGGATTAGATTAGGATCCGAGACCCGAGCAGAAGATACGGCAGGTTGCTGCTCGAAGGATCCAGACGAGTTTGCATGAGGAAGGTTACCTGGTTTAGTGCTCAATGCCCGGCGGACACTGCCTAGTATCTTCTTCATTCCAGGGCTTTGGGCATACCCCGTTTTTGGTGTTCCATATTGGCCACTGACATCCACAAGTTCTAGCTCAGCGTGTGATTTTGCAGAGTGCAATGTTCCGATCGTCTTAATGTCAATGTAAGGCGAGCTGGGCTGGAAAATAGCACCTCGGACTAGGCTGCCCGGCACCTTCAATCCTGACGAGACTCGCGCATCCTGACTATTGATCTTACTAAGAGGGAGTGGTGCACGATGATCCCTGAGGGCATCTGAGAAGCTGCCACTACGCTTGTGGGCGTGCGAAGGACGGTTCGCTCGGCTGATCGATACAGAGTATTGAGGACTGGTGGCTGCATGGGCAGGCACCGGATGTGGGTATAGGGGCAAGTCGGTTCCTGGGTCTGCTCGGTTTAACCCCCGCATCGGAATAGAGCATGAGAGGACTTGCATACTAATTTCGCTTTCAGGAGACAGAGGAACTGGCATTCCATCGTAGTCCTGGGAAGACACATGTGGTGAGGTGAGCGATTGCTGGGGAATATGTCGAGGGCTCCTCACCCAGTCCATGTGCTTGCTGGCAAACTGGTCACTCGGATTCGAGCTGAAGGTATCCGTCTTCGCCTTCGATCTAGCAGTCTGCCGAGGGGGTGTGACGGGTGGGAGCATATCTCGCGACTCTCGCGACTCTCGCGATCCAATGCGGCCTCCCGGTAGAAGGTCGTCGTCCGGCATGTCCCTTCCCACTAGTTCCGTCTCATCCCAATATAATGCACATGTCCGCCGCCAGCACTTCTTAAGTTCTCCAATAATCTTGATGTCGCCTCCTCCACCGTCCTCTCGAATCCGTAGATCCTCATGAAGGCTGTTGACTAGGCCGCAGAAGTATACTCGCAATTGGTAGTTCGGGACAAAATCATCAACAAAGTAGTTCAGTATCCAATGTCGAAGAGCTACAAACGTCCGAACGCGCACGATGCGGCCAAAGTCATCCTGTCGATTCACAGCCCATCGTAATCGCGCAAGCAGGTAAGCAACCAAGTCGCGAGCTGATAGAAATGATCGAAAAGTTAGGAAGAAGTCGGAAAGCAGTTCGTAATCCAAGAAGCTGGGAGAAGTGATGTGAGCTATCAGTCTTGACGGGGTTGCTGCTAATATATCGCCAGTCGGCGAGAACCTCACTACAGCATTGTCATCAGGATTGAGCGTCAGGGCATCGTATATCTGAGGCCCAATTGGGACCTTTGATACGCGCGCGGATGACGGCGCAGTAGCCGGCTGTAGAGGATCCTTGGCCATTGTCGTCCGATGCGGCACGGGAGTCGGAGGGAATGCTTCGGAGTGGCGGCGGGATATAAAAGACGGAAACGGGTTGTCATCGACGCGGGTGGTGTTGGAAAACATTGAGGAGTGGGGCTGGTAGTCTTCGCCCGACGCCCTGGTATGTACGGAGCTCCGCAGCATGGCCGTCCCCCTCGCACTGAATCGCGGAGTCCCCAGCCTGTAGTGGGGAATTGGCACCTGCAAAACTGGGAGCGAGCCGGTGTCTGCTGTCTTGGGGCGGCGCGTCGAGGGACGCTCTATGACAATCTTGAAGGTGCCGTGCGGCTCGGCATTGGGCGAGGTGGTGTGGTCATCGGCGGTGGAGAAGGAGCGCGACCGGACGTGCTGGATGGGCTTGGAGGGTGTCCTCGTGTGCTGGCTGTTGTCGAAATTCACATCTCGGGGAATTGGCGGGGGCGCCTCGACTCGGTTTGTTGGCGTGCGCGAGCCCGAGTTGCTCTGGAAGCCGTGCTGCGAGTCGAGATGGACACTGTCGGGCGGCGTCTGGGGAGGAAAGACGAAAGGGTCGGGCTGGGGACGCGTGCGCTGGGCGGCGGGCCGGACGACAGGTCTGTGGTGTTGAGGTCAGTTTTCGTTCTCGTCGGTGTCTTCTGCGTGCCAAATCCTCCGGCTCACAGCGCGACTACTGCACGAGAGGCGGGCCATGTCCAATACGAAGCCGCGATGCAGGTCACTCACCTCAAGTATATTAGGCCGTTGTGCACGTTCCCGACGGTGAATGAGCGGCCAGCAGATGGGCTCTGGTTCGAGCTATCCGGGACGCTGCTGTTGCTCTGCCCGCGCGTCCTCGTCCGACGCAGCTCTTCCTGGGAGTTCTTGACGCGGCGGAGCGACTGTCTGCGACGCCGGTCGTCGCCCTGGCGGCGTTTGGCGCTATACGCCCTCTTGGGCACTGCTGGGACAGCATGCTGGCCGGTTTGCAGGTGCATGGCTGGGGAGCCTGGACGGGCAGAGGGAGGGCCATTGCGGTCCATCACGCGCGGGCGCGCGGCGAGGCGGAGGCGGAGGGAATGTCGCGATGCAGGAGCATCGTCAACGGAGGTGCTGCAGCAGGAGGAGGCCTGGGGGAACTGAGTTGATGCAGGTGGCACAAGAGGACTTGGGACGGATTGCCTCTGGCACCCTCGCCGTCCACCGCAGGGCCCGGCCATGCGCAGCCTAGCTGCTAGCCTCCGAGCAGCCTCCAGACACGAGCCCACTCCCGACCAAGCGGTGCGCCTTCAATCTCGGCGCGCTGAGTGGCCGCGCCAAAGCCACAGCAAACATGCGGATGGGCGCTGATGGCCCCATTGGGCGCGGCGAGGGCCGTGGAAAGCCCGCAGCTGCACTCGCCTCGAACCAGCCGAACCAGCCCGACGAGCCGGCCTTGCTGCCTCATCCATCGGCGCCCATGCTGGCCCAAATCGATCTCAACGCCTCCCCGGCCTGTTCCCAGCCGCCCAGGCCTGCCATCGAGCGTGGAGGCGGCGGCGTGGTGTTGCGGGCGCCGCTCCCTTCGCCATGTGCAGGCCTCGCCGTGTCTCGTCGCGCATTCAAGCCTCATGAACAGAGACACCAGGGCCGGATCGTGAGGTGAACGGCAGAACGGGCCGGATGGTCGGGATGCCCCGTGCAGAGAGTGCCCAGCCTGCCACGAGGCATGACGCAGCCAGCATGCAGAGCAGGGCGGACTCAACACCATGTTCGCTGCTCGCCCTGCCCGCTCCGTCCTGCGAATTGCATGCGCGCCCGTTTAAGCCTTGCTTGTCGCCTCAGCCTGGGGTCATACCCGTTGGCAAGCACCCTCCGCCGTTGGAGCGTGGCTGGCTGAAGACATACCCCGGAGCTGTCACCGGAGTCTTACTCACGCTTTCAAGACGACTCTGCGATGACGTTCTCCGTGGACCTTGACTCGCGCTGCTTGGGATACCATGGCTTTATTCACCGTGATATCATTGTGGTATACATTCCTTTGGACCCTTCTTTCCATTAGCTCCACTCTGTTCTTACCCTATACTGCATCGCAGGCCGAAATGCCGCTCTTCTCCCACTGCTCTTCTTTCCATGTTTCTTAATATCCTATATCGTACTCTTCATCATTTCTATTCTCGGCTATGTATTTATTTTTCGCTTGGTGGCCCCTTTCTCAACGTCGACGGGCAAGGTATCGTCAAGGGGGGGACTATAGTGATCCTTGATATCGGCCGTGAGGCGAAGCCAGCATCAGAAGCAGGCGATCCCTCAGAGCAAAGCAACGAAGTCGCAGAAGAAGACTTTGATGTCTAGGAAGTCTACCATCCGTCCTCTAAGAACTCTACCAAAACTCATCCCACTCCCTCCTCACCCTCTCCTCCGCCGCCCTCACCTCCCCCCGCGCCACCTCCACCAACGCCCCCATGCACCCCTCAATCTCCTCCAGCTTGACACAATCCAGCTTGCCGTTCTTCCGATGCCCCTTCTTCGTCTCCTCAAACCACACCGACATCGCCGGCTTCACCCCCCTCAACTTCTCCGCCGCCGCTACCAGACACGGGAACAACATCGACCCCCCTCTCGGCCGTTCAGCCTTCACCTCCTCCCGCAGCTGCAGCGTCTGCTCCCCGATTCCCGAGGAAGCAACCACGATCTTCTTCCAGTCGTCCCATATCGTCTGCGCACTCTTGCTCGCATCGCCGTGGCCGTATGCAATGCGGAACTTCTCCAGCAAGCCTAGCGCTTTGTGCAGCGAGCGCGCGAGGCCGAGGGCGGTGGTGTCTGCTCTCCCGCCTCCATATCCGCCACTCAAACCACCATTCATCTTCACGTCTCCTCCACCGCTAGGATCACGGCCGCTATCTACTGGTTTCCGCACATTATGCGTGATCGACACCGCAGGAATGGTGCGCGAGCCCGGTTCTTGATGCGGGAGAGCAAACGGGAGGGCGGGCGCGTCGATGACCCGCATCACGCCCTCGAGCTCCGAGATCAGCCCCTTCGAGCCCGCGAAGGGGTTGGCCGAGGCGGAGGTGGAGTCGTTGCGGAAGAGGGGGTGGGCGGGCATCGAGGCTTGGCTTAGGCGCGAGGCGGTGGTCGAGCTGCGCGTCCGACCTTTCGGGGGCGGTACGTCAAGTAGCTTTCCATGCTTGGGGGTTGAGCGGCTGGTCCGGCCTTGCGGGGGCGATACGCCAAGTAGCTTTCCATGCTTGGGGTGGGAGCGGCCGGTCTGGCCTTGTGGGGGTGGTATCTTAAGGGCCTCTCTATGTTTCGGGGGCTTGGGAAGTTTGGGCTTGAGGAGGGGTGGGCGTGAGGGTGGGGAGATGGGGGGTGAGAGGGAAGTGGGAGGTGAGCGTAAGGTAGGAGACGAGAGTATGGTAGGAGGCGAGAGTATGATAGGAGGTGAGGGTATGGTAGGAGGCGAGACTATGGTAGGAGGCGATGGTAAGGTAGGAGTTGAGGCTAATGTAGGAGGCGAGGGTTTGGTAAGAGGCGAGACTAAGGTAGGAGGCGAGAGTATGGTAGAAGAGTTCTTGGATTTGCGCCGGCGGCGGCGGACAGAGTGGCTGGGGGTTGTGCCGAAGAAGATGCCCATTTTAGGCTTTAGAGTCAGAGGTTCTCGAAATTATGAAGAGGTAAAGTGACAGTGAGGTCAGGTAATGTAGAATGGGGAGTTCTAGGTGTAGTGCAGCGACATAGGTGATGGTCGACCATGACGGAGATGCTTTCGACATGGTGGTGACGTGGTTGAGTCATGCGAAAGTATGAGTGTGAAGGTGACATTGCGACTCCAACGAACACGATGAACATGAAGGGCATTAGAATCGAAAGAGTACAGTACTGCTTTCGATTTGGTCAGATACCCAAAACGGTACGTAGGCACAAATCAACCTCCCTCCAGTATCAAACCCACAAACCACCTGACTAAAGCTCCACCGTCATCATCACCATTCCCCCCCTAAATTCCCAACCTCTCTATCCGACTCATGAACTCTTCCAACGGCCCCCTCCCCTCCCTCTCCCACACCATCGTGCCCCCTTCTTCAACCCCCCGCCTCCTCCCTGTCTTTCGCATGTACCACTCCCCCAAACCCTCCGCCTCCACAATCTCATACACCACCTCCCACGCCTCATACAACCGCTCCAACGGCACCGGCGTGCTCGTCCCCCGAAGGCTCGGATACCTCACCATCCTCAGCACCACCCCATCCTGCTGCAGCTCAGCCAGCAGCCCAACATCCCACGGAAACCCCACCGCCGCCAGCGGCTGCAACTTCTCGTCCAGCGCCCGTCCCCTGCGTTCTGCTTCCTCGATCAACCCCCAGATTGTCGAGTGGTACATGCGCGCAAGCTCGCGTGGATAGTCCATGGCTTGCTCGTGCCTGCGTCGGGATACCAGCAGGGGGCTGTGGTGGGTACGGAGGTGCGCGGCCAGTTCGGCCTAGATGGATGGGTCGAGAGGGGGGTTGTGTGTGCGCAGGAGGAGGGTGGCACAGGTGAGCAGGGCGCGGAGGGTGGCGACGAAGCGGTGGGCGCGGGGGGCGATGAGGGGGGTTGTGGTGAGGTGGATGTGGGTGTTTGGGGGATAGTACGGGAAGGGGAAGGGGGGTGGGGTGAAGGTGGGTCGAGAGAGAGTGAGGCGCGTGCTGGTGGGGAGGGGGGTGAGGGAGGGGTTGGTGGTTGGAGATGGCGGAGGGGATGGGAGGGGTGGTGGAACGGCCTCGTGGGTCTGAGGCGAGCCGTCGGTGCATGTGCGTGAAACATGCGCTGCTGGTTCGGGGCTGGCTTGGGACTGCGTTGGGCGTGAGGCTTCATGTTCTTCGGGCGGTTCGAATTGATCGAGTTCCTGTGTGTCGAGGACCTCGTCGTCTTCATCTAACTCACTTGCTACAAAGGTGTCAATTAGTTGACCGAGAGATTCATCTTCGCTCAAGTCAGCCCCTGGGGGAGTTATCGAGACTATTGGTATTGGAAGAGGATCCCAAGGGAAGACATCGTCATCGTTTATGAGAAACGGTTCTGGGGAGGACGATGAAGTTTCTGATGACGACTCTTCCTGTGATGAGTCTGAGGTATCGGTACGCTCATCATCGCTCGACTCGTCCGCTAGTGATTGAAAAATCGCATCCATCGCGTCTCGAGATATCTCGTCGCTCATTTCGGATCTGGATATGTGCGCTAGCTTGCGGATGTGTTATTGTAGACTGTGGTGTTCCAGTGGGTCTGGGGCAGGTGCGTGAGTTTGTGCCATATAGCAGGACCGATCCAATACCTTTAATCCCCTTCTACTCCATTGTTCTCTAGATTCTAAGATAGAAGCACGAAGAAATCGAAAGTTACAATAGGACAAAAAGAAAGCTATTACACTCACAAAGACACACGAACTCCTTCTCATCACCTCAACACCACTGCGCATGAGTGCAAGAACTCACCATATCTCATCCCACTCAAACATCCTATTCTCCAACACCCCCCAGCCTCCATCACCTTTCCAAAAGATATCTAGCGCTGCAGAACGCGGCGATCCTCTCCGGCGAGCCGCCTTCTAGATCACTGAAGTTCTGCTCTGGAAACTGCATCGGCCACCCATGTAGCCCATCAACCAGCACGAGGCGATAGACGCATTACCAAGCGCGGTACAGATCCACCAACGGTATAGGCGTGTTCGTCCCTACAAAAGTTGGATACTTCCCCCTCCTATCTGCTTCGTCTGGAGAAATGGGGTCTAGAAGCATTGTCTCGAATGGAAAGCCCACGTCGCTGAGACGGCGCAATTTCTCGTCAAAGAACGCGCCGCGTGCTTCCGTTTCTGCGGCGAGGAACCAGATCTTGACATAGCACTCTTTCTTGAAGTCTCTGGTATTGCCCCTAGATGGATTGGAAAGTCTTTGATTATGCAGAAAGTGGTAGATCCAGTTGAGTATTTCGTGTAGGCATTGTAGGCGCGCGATTCGACGAGGGGATTGACGTTCAGGTGGCAGCGAGCGCCTGGGCGAAGAGGTTGAAAAGGAGGCGGGGTGAAGGAGGGTCGGATGGGCCTGTCCGTGGAGATGGTGCTGGGCCGTATTGATCTGGTGCGAAGGAGTTGGTTATAGACCTCAACTACGTCCATTGGAATTTCTTCGTGACTCGGTAGTAGGCTCGTCGTAAGCTCTTTGATTGCTGACTTGGCTATGAAGTTCCAGAAGCGGCTTCGACTTAACAAGTATGGATTGCAAAGATATGGTAAATTGACACTTGATTAGCGATGTTGATGCCTTCTTGTTAGGATAGAGCTGAATATATATAGAGTCCCTCTTTATCAGCATTTCTTAACCTCCATAAGAGAATGGGTAAGAACTGAAGTAACGGAACGATACGAATAAAGGTATTGTACCTACGCACCCATATGGGGGCATTGCTTGATCTTGAAACTCTCTCAAAAGCTTCGATAATTGATCGAATTTTGAAAGGCTGCCGAGTTTGAGATTGTTCCTGGTGAGCCATGTGCCAGTGCGTTTGGAAACAAATACAAATAGATGAATGTACGGAAGAGCTACGCAAAATGAAAAAGAGCACTTCTAGGTTGAATGCTACTACACCATGCTCACGTTATACGACAACGAGTGAATCCTAACCCCGTGGAGCCGACGCTAGTACGGATAAGATCTCACGTCGTCCTCTTTCTCCATGTCTAGCCCGTTTGCGACCTGCTCTTCATGTTTGCGGTCGAGGTACTCAAGTAAGACATCCTGATATCGTTCCTTACCCTTATACTTTGAAACATCATCACCCCAGCTCCGAACAGCTGAAGCAAGACGGCCTGGTACATAGGGCTCCTCGCAGATCTCAGTAATAGGATGAAAGTACGTCCTAATCGTGAACACGACGCCACCAGATCTCGGGAGCCTGTCACAGGTTAGCAAACATGACAAAACAAAACACAGCGAACAACCCACCTCCTCAAACTCTGCCTCTCACTCCTAAACCAATGATGCTCAATCGCCTTATTCTTCTCCGCCGTAAACCACCCAATCCCATCCGAATCCTCGCCCCCAATACTCGAGCTCCACGCCAACTCATCATCCACCTGAATGAAGTAGTTATTCCGCAACACCGCTTTATCCGGCATCACCCGCTTAAAGAAGTTCAACATCCCCTTCTCCAGCTTCTCCTTGTACTGCGGCACATCCCCACTGGTGTGGATCTCGGACAGCGGCATCCCGAACTTATCCTCCAGCCGCCAGAACCCTGCCAGAAGAATAGCGCCGGCGAGGAGGTAGTACTGCCCGTTTGGCCGCTCGAACATAATCGCGAGGTCGTCTTGCACGAGGCGGGCGGACATCTGCATCGGATCCTCCTTCAACGGTCTGTCCACAACATTGAAACTCTCGCCGGTTTCCAAGTTGTCTAGCCCGACGTCTGTCTTGCGGTACAGGCTCGGGTACCGCTGGGGCAGGTAGTCGCACAGCTCCTCGAGCAGCTCGACGGCGCCGTCGAAGGCCTCAGGGGCGGTGTAGCAGCACTTGGTGCCGCGCTCGACGATGCGCTCGGCTTTCAGCGCGTGGAACTTGGGGTAGTGGTTGTCGAGCTCGATCCAATCGTCCCAGTGCATGGTGCGCAGGCCCATGGTGACGTTGTATTTGGGCCCGTAACGGAAGGGGCGGTAGGGGAGGGGCTTGGTGGCTGTGAGGGACCAGTCCGGGTAAGGGGCGGCGGTGGGGCGTTTGAAGGGATGGGGGATCCATACTGGATGAGAGTTTGTGAGTGAGTTTGAGTTTTGATATCTTGAGGTAAAGGCTCGTGAGGTAGCTTTCGTGGAGAAATGTATTACTTACCTCCGGGTTCTCTCGCGGCGGCCTTGAATTTGGAAGAGGAGGGTTTCTCGAGATCTGGGGTCCCTGGCCGCGTGGGTATTCTCCAGGTGCGGAATCGACGTATGGCTAGTGTAGATACCCAGATAGCGGTTAGGAGAGTCAAAAGACCATAGAGAAAAGGGTTCGGATCTGTCTTTATCCGTTGTTGCAAATGGACTGCTGCGGTCTTGACATGCTCCGGGTGACAGTTGTGCCGCGCCCAGAGCTTGACGTTGTCCATGATAGAGAGTGTACGAAGATCGGATACCAAGATGGAATGCAATGCACACAAGTACTGGAGTTTTAAGAAACTATAAAAGCCGATAATATGCCACAGACACGGGAAGATTAAATGTAACAGTCACTGCCATGAAGTATCAGGAAGCGGAGTATGTTGAAAATAAAGGACTTGGAGATTGATCAACAAAAAGCAAAGACACGAGAGGAACATGATATATCTCGGCTGCCGACAAGACCCCAGCATCCAATGCTCTTGGGCCAACTCGAAGAGGTCTCTAAATGCCGCCAGATAACATTGCGTTTGCGGGCTAGCGAAAGGCTGTGGGGCGGAGGGAGATGTCCCGCACTGCATCACTGGTTATCGCGCCGAGGGAGTTGGGATAAAGTTACCCAACGGGGTTTAGCGTAAATTGAAGCTCTCTCATTTTTGCCTCGCAAGTCTATTCGTTGAAGAGAGCTGACGATATTCGTGACATCCCTTTGAGTTACGGCACATATTGGCTGCTTCCAATCTTGCGACGTAAAAGACAGTATTGACCCCACTTCCTGCGGTGCCGCTCTGGAATAATGGGCAAGTCTGGGATCCACAACAGCCGACCGACCGTGCTAGTTTGGGCGGTATCGAGGAAAGACTCGCATGATACTTTTTCCCAATTGTCTGTATCAAGAACATAGGCTGGCTCGTGCTCGGTAGGTGTTGTACCGGGAAAGTGGGAATCCACCAAAAATGTGCAGTGGTCAACATCGATCTGCCGGCATCAGTTCAGGAACAATGCTCAGCCCGCCGTCATCATGTCACTCACATATTTTGATAAGTCTTCTTTGTTCTCATCATTCATTCCAGGAGGAGTTAGCCAGGCCCCTGGGTAAAGCCCAAACCCGACGTTTGCCTCGCTGAATTCTCCCGGGAGAAGGCCCGAGAACTCGCTTTTGATGAACTTTGCCTTGACCTTGTTGGGAAGATGGTAGGAAGATGGGAAACGATACCATTCTTTGCCGAGGCACACCGTATCTCCAGGAAGAGCCATTCCTCGTCGTTGTAGTGATTTATATACCTTTAGTGGCGCAGAGTACGCAGTGAGCATACCAATAGTCCTCAACCCACCAAAGTCTATCGCTCCAAGCACTATGACGCTCACAAAGGCTAGCTTGAGCTGTGCTGGGATCTTGCTGGCTAGATCTCTTGGATCGGAAGATCCGAAGTAAGCCAGCAGGATATGTAGTGACATCGCCGCATTCAGGGCGAGGGCTGGGTATGCAGGGTACATGAACCGCTCTTCTTTGTGAGGTTGCAACGTGAAGATGCCTAGCCACAAGTAAAACGGCGACACGAAGACCAAGCCTCGAAGGAGGGTCTGCCTTGTGGTGCTTTGCCGCCGGAAGGAATGCTGGAAGAAAAGCAGAGGGATCGCGCCAATGGCAAGTATGAACCAAACATTGAAGTTGAGAATGAGGTTGCGGACGTAGAAGTGCCATGGCTCCGTCCCGTAGATGTCAGGCCCTTTCCCCGAGCCGCTGAAGACATTGTACCAGACGATGTTAAAGGGCACGAACGCAAGCTTCCGCATAAAGAAGGAGTCAATGCACAGTTGGAGAATCTGTAAGAAGTGAGCTGGGCAGGCCTAGTGTGATTGCTTAGAGCTCCATACGAGTACAATGAAAGACCTGGCTGTTCCGTCTAGCACGCGTCGAAATGCATCCCAGACCTGTCCTGTGACGCCAGCTAGCACGGCTTCTTCAACCAGGAATGGCAACACCAATGCAGTCGAAAACGGCCATCCAACCAAACCGCCAAACGCAAACCAGAACATTCCTTGAGCTGTTCGGAGTCCACCACGCCAGTCCATGAAAGCTGAAAACCCCAACATGGTCGTATACATGGCGAAGCTAGATGGGAGGTATGCAGCGGAGGCATGGAACATACCCGGACTGAACGCCATGATCATGAGAAAGAACATGGCGACTCGGGGGTTTATGGTTCGCGTGATAGTCGAGAAAAGGCGGGTTTCGCAGAGGGCACAGACAAGGGCCAGGACAATGCGAAGAAAGTAGAACTCGGTGTATTTCGAACTAAATGGTACCATCTTCCAGATCCCAATTACACTGGCGTGTATGCCTGCATAGGTCCAGCTCCGAATGGCGTATTCGGGGGAGTATTCCCATGTCTGCAGGCCGGAGCCATGATTCAGATAATGTGTAGGCTCCCAGTAGTTGAAGACCTCATCACAGTCTTGTATAGGTGCATACAGAGCGGCGACCAAGTGGGAGGCAAAGAAGATGTAGAATGCTACGTTGAGTTCGAGAGAAGGGCTTCTGTGTTTTATTAGCTGACATCTGGCCTCACTCGGGCTTGGAAACTCACGGCGATTTAGTAGAGCCTGTGCGCGGTGGTTGCGGAGATCGCACGACCTTCTGACCAGCTCTCGGAGGCATGGCGACACTGCTGGGCCATTGCAGACGGGGCGATGAAGGTGTGAATGCAATGTTCTTGGCATCCGTAAAATAAGGCTGACGCTAAGGCTAATCCGGACTGGCGCAGTCTCCGTGCATCTGCATGAGCTTTTCGTACACTTTTCCGCGTCTCCCAACCATCGCATCACCCGTCGCATCCGCAGCATCAGAGCATCCTCACTCTAATATCCTAAGCATGGCGGATAGCTCGTACATGCACGACGCTGATGCGCTGGCCCAGCCACCCGCGAAGAGGGCGCGTTTCGATGGCCCGACCCGTGAGCCCTTTGAGCGGCCCGTCACTCCTGTCGACGACACAGACGACGAAGATCTGTATGGCGAAACGCCAGTCAAGCCCTCTTCACCACTAAGAGCCCTTGATGAGGGTCCAACATCTGCCACCAGCCTGCCTTCTTCAGAGCTCTTCACCTCTGCTACAAATCTTGCGCTGCCAGGACTCGGCCTGCTGGCCTCTGCCGTCCAGCAGGTCCCAGGCCTGCCCGAGCTGCCGCAGGCCAACGGCATCACCCAGGAGACAGCTCCTGATGACCCCCAGCATGCCGACTACATGACGGGCCTATTACAAGAGTTGGACTCGGATTCACCCCAGACTGCTCCCATCCCGCCGTCTGTGAGCCATGCAGCTGGCACATCGCCAAAGCCCAGTCCTTCCAAGACCGAGCCCAAGTCCCCAGAGTCTGGCGAACTGGCCTCCTCTGCAGAGACCACTGCCCAATCCACCACCCTGTCACCGCAAGTACGCCACGTTGCCCCATCGCAACAAGACACACAAGGGATCACAAACGAGGACGAGTTTCGTCAGGCTGCGGAAGCCAACAAAAACAATGAGAATGCTGAATGGCAACTCGACTCCTCCGCCGATGACTCCTCATCCGACTCGTCGAGCGATGACTCGTCAGACAGCAGCTCTGACGAGGAGGGCGAAGTTGAGGACACAACCCTGGATCCTGAGGAGCAAGCTCGCATCCTGATGGAGGGTGATATTGATGAGGAACCTGCGACTGCCGAAGTCTTGCGAACCAAGAACGAGGCCGAAGAGCAGTACAAGAAGCCAGATATCGCAATCACAGAGGGCATGAAGATCACCGAACTGGGCAATGTCGAAAACATCGTCGACAATCTTATTGTCGTCAGGGCCAACATTAGTGGGGAATACCAAGTCCTGGAATCGGGGTCGCTGCTCTGCTTAGGAGATAGGAGCGTAGTTGGCGTTGTTGCCGACACAATTGGAAGAGTCCACGCGCCGTTATATTCTGTTGGATTTCCCGATCCTGCGGATGTCGCAACTATGGGAATTGCGAAGGGCACCACGATATTCTACGTGGACGAACACTCAACCTTCGTATTCACGAAACCGCTTAAGGCTATCAAGGGTACCGATGCATCCAATGTTCACGATGAAGAGACAAACGACGTTGAATTTTCTGATGATGAAGCTGAAGCAGAGTACAAACGCGGCTTGAAGAGAGCTAAACTAGCCAGAGCCGACTCTCGGCGTGAAGCTGAAGCTGAACACGACCGACCTGTGCGAAGAGACTCGCCTCCAGCTAACCCTATGGCAGCACAGCAACATCAGGGCGGCGGCTTGAACTATAGTGATGAAGATGAGGATATGGGCATGTACAAACCGCTGACCAGACCGGACCACTTCGAGGACATTGTTGGTGCAGGCGCTCCTATCGAGGACCGGAGCCATGTTCGTAGAAATGGCCCTGGGCGGCTGAATAGGGGTATGTATGGTCCCGGTACATCTACCGGAGCCTCTGGTGTCAGTTTCCCTTCAATGCCACTGGAGGGGTTGTTCATACATGACCCGACTCGTGGCCTAGGAACAACCTGGGTCCTGTTGAAAATCCTGCTTGATACGGCCTGGGACATGTATCGAACTGTTCTCTGGACGGATTGATCTGGTGTCTTGGATACGATCTGGTCAGCACTTGAAGAGAACTGGCACTAGAGGACCTAGTATTTGTCTAGTTTTGGCTCTTTACTAACACGTTGCAGGTCGAGGCGACCGTGGACATGGAGGTCACGGAAGAGGAGGTCGTGGAGACCATCGTAGTCCAGGTCGAGGCCGAGATCGACAACGCAATAGGGGTGTTGGAGGACAGCGTCAGCAGCCCCCCCAGCAACAGCAGCGTCAACAACAACCGCCGCATGCGCCGCAGAATCAACAGAATCGGCCGCAACCACAGCAGAATCAGCAGGGTCGTCAGCAACAACAGCAGAATCAGCAAGGTCGTCAGCAACAGCCGCAGAGTCAACGGCAGCATCAACAACAGCAACAGGGACGTAACCGTCCTGCCGACAATTTCAGTGGTGGAAACAGGAGCGGCCCGTCTCGCTCGCCAGCTGATAAGCATCGACGACCGAACCGTCGAGAGAGGAATCGGACTTCCGGCTCTCCCATGCAGCAACGGAATCACCCTCCCAACGCAAGGCAGAGGTCTCCACCGCGTGGACCACGAGCAGCGGCGGCATCGTCTCCGGGATCCTCTCAGCCGTACTCTGCACCACCAACCAGCTCATACTCTACGGCGTCCTACACTAACCCGCAGGCATTTGCTTGGAACCAAAACAGTCTGCCCGTCTCTGCTGCGCAGACTACACAACATGCCCCATACCCTCAGTTCTCTCAGGGCCCTCCTAATCCGAGCGCATCAATCCCAGTGGGTGCTTTTGTGAATCCCCACTTCCAACCACAGCAACCCCAGGCCTCCGTCCCAGCTCCGGCGTATTCTTTCCAGAACCCATGGCAAGTGCCTCAGCAGCAAGCACCACAGCAGCAGGCTGCTGCCCAGCCTAACTGGGCAGCGTTGGCTCAGCTCTTCCAAGCAGCGCAGCAAAACCAAATGCCGAGCCAGCCTCAGCAGAGTCACACGCCGACTCAGGACCCGCGCGCAAGTTACGCTCCACCGGCGGTCAACGCCCAGCCGCAGCAAGACTCGCAGGCTGCTTTTAGGGCGGCACAGCAGCAGCTAGAACTCCTTCGCGCACTGAACAGGGGCCAGGGGCAGTAGTGGCCTCGTTTTGGGGCGTTGTACTTCCTATATATATTTATCCGTGTATCACCTATGCGTGGGAAGGAAGATCAGATTGAGGCGTCAGGTTTCTTGGTGCATATTCAGGGAGCGACTGCTCTCCAGGGTCCTGTCAAAGTAATTTCGTAGTGACTGCGCTACGAGCTCATGTGTGCTGATTGGGGATGAAGTTCTAGAACAACAGTCTGACTTGTTTGCCACAACTGCCTGGAGTGCTTTCATACGACTGCGAACATCTGAGCGGATGTAGGCTCGTCCTGACCCGCCTGTTAATCGTGAAGGACAGCCCCCGAAACACATCAAGATGCTTCAGGATGTCGCATGTATCAATGGAGTTGGGAGATTATATCGAAACGGGTTGAATGGCGGGTATATAGCCTGATTCTCTGGTGCTGTATCACAGTGAAGCATCTCGCGGTAGCATCCCAGGACGACAGAAAGGCAGCGTGCAACGCCCGGATGGTGCCCGCCAGGCCCATCCAGGAGGCTTGCGTGACGGCGATGGAGGGGCGGTCAATACGCCATCGCCTGTGGCTTGCAAGAACAGGCCGTCATGAGGCTTGCCCACGGCGTCTCCCCGTGCTCTGCGATGGTTCGGAGTGTGGCCCGAAACACGGCGCAAAATGCCAGATCCCACAGCAGCAGCACAGGCAGAGGGGCAGCCGTAGATTTGCTGAGAGGCGTGCTGGTGGCGCGCTTCCTTTGTCCCGCCGATGCATCGGAGCGTCGCGTGGGGTCATGGTGATCGAGCCAGCCGTGTCAGCTTCTTTTGGCTGGTGGTGGAAACGCCTGGGCCCCATCTGGCGACTCGGGCTCTTTCAACCTTCACTACTGCACACCCTCACCACCCATCACGAACCCCGAACCCTCGACCCCTCTGCCCCTCTGCTCCGCCGACGCGACGCCCATTACGTCCACAAACGCACCCATGATACCGCGCCAGCTCCAATGAAGCCCGTCTGACTCCTGCACGCCGTGCCAACCTCATCGAACCTCGACCGCGCCAGTGCGCCAGACCAAGACAAGGTCTCGGTCCGCAGCTCGCCCTCCAACCCGTTTTCGTGCCGTGACAATGACAAGAAAGGAGAATGTAGGCAGGCATGGCTCCACCGAAAGCTCGGGCGCGGATAGCTGGCGATCGACCGACACCGTGAAGGCATTGGGCGGCCGGACTCGAGGCCCTCCCGTGAAGGTGCAGACCACCAAGAACTCCAAGAATCACAGGTACGTGATCCCGCGCGTGCGCTGCTGCGTTGCTGCATCTCCCTTTGTCTTTGCGCCAGTGGCATTGGCCACCCGGTATAGCCTGTGCCCGTTTGACGGATAGCTGCGTGGTTCGCCCGCAGCCTACCGCGCAAACTCGAGAGAGCTCTTTACCTTCCTCTGATTGTCCCTTTTGCGCATTGACATAAAGGCCGGGCGTGTACTTTGCTGCTGGGGACAAGAGAATCGATGTAACGGGGGAGAGCAAGCATTCACCATGCCCCAGCCGTGTTCCTCTCGTCGTCTCAGTGTCAAACCCATTCACTCTTTCACCTGAACCTAGCTGACAACATGCACTAGAGGTGATAGGGAACCTGAAATCTCGCCCGGCACCATCGATCCCAAGCCATCGCAGAACTCAAAGTCGAAAATCGCTCCATGGGACAACCCCAAGCTCGCGGAGCTTAGTAACTACCGCAAGGACCTCTCCGTATTAGAGACCTCTGGAGGTCGCATCCCAGCTATATCTCGAAACCCTCCGACCGCAACCTCTCCCGGAAACCACTGGAACTTACCCGTATCGAACGGGTCAACTGTAATGCCTTCGAGTGTGTTTGGAAGCTTCTATAATGACTCCTCGGAAGATGTTGGACAGTTGTCTCCAGGCTTCAGACCTGGGAGCGGGAAGGAAGACGCCATGGGTTTTCCACAAGATGATCGGCGGCCGTCTGTTGCGAGTGCAACCACTGTGAGCAGCTCAGGATCAAAGTCGAGCCTCGGACGGGGATTCCATAAACAACTGCGAGGCTTCTTCGGCGAAGAGTTTCCCGGGGACTCTCGCCAGGGGTCCGATACGAGCTTGCCGACAAGTAATCAGGTTGGAAACGAGGCCCAATCGTCCCGCAGTCGCAATCGGAATAACTCGGTGAACAACACAATTGCCAGTAGCGTGAATAGTAGACCGACTTCTCCCACCAGCTCGCGGCCAAGGACTCCGTTGCCGTCATCAGAGGTGACGCCGTGGGAGTTCCAGGACTTCAAGGTACGTGATTTGCTGGAAGCATGTTGTTCGCATATGCCTGAGTGTCGAGACTAACAAGAAATGAAGGTGGACTCGCCCTCGCAGGGCGAGAGCGATCGATACTCCTCCGAGCAGCAGTCCAATAAATCTGGCAAGACCTCTCACAAGCTACGGCTTCCTGGCCATCGACACAACAGGAGTAAGGATGATTCAAACCCCTCGGAACCAAGGGCAGAGATCAGCCAACCGTACCCTCTACGACCGGTCACCAGCCGCGAGGAATCTTCGTTAAGTGTACGACGGGCGGAGCATCAAGCCCCCTTCTCGCTCAGCGCTGCCCTAACCTCGAGGACCAACATTGCCCCGCGCTCATCCAGCCCGACACCAAGCTCCGTCAGCGATATGAGCCGGGACACGGTCACTCAACGCTCGCCAATTACTACGAAAGGGCCTCGCTCGATCCTTGATAAGCTCAGACGGAAAGAGAAGGGTGACCGTCTTGGTCCAGACTCTTTGCGAGACCTGGGCTCGTCTCAAACATCTCTCCAAGCGCCTTCAACTAAACCTGCAAAACTTCCCAGACCGGAGCTTCCACATGTACCGAGTGGTGGCAAGAAAAAAGGAGGAATTGTGGAACTTGCCCAACGCGACAAGGGACTGGGGAACGGGAAGGAGGGCACAAAGAAAGAACATGGCCGGTTACCGTTCAAGACTAAGCGCACGCCCACTCAACCCGAAGTGCCGCGCGCGAAAGATCTCAATGAAGCCAGGGCGGATCCGGACGGAAACGATGCGCTCTTCAAACTGGACACCGATCTCGACCACATGGAAGGCATCATTAACCTGCAACAGCCGCCCATGACTCCACCCACGACTGAAATATTTACCGGCTGGCCCGCAGAAGATACCACCGCCGAGGAAAAGAAGGAACCGGAAGGCGTAAATGGGGTATGGGATGCGCCAGATTCGTGGGCTGTGCGGCGTGTCGGGGACGAGAACATTGGAAGGCTGCGAGAGCTCGACGAGAATGGTGATCTTCCAAAAGATGAAGGTGCTGGACCTGCTTACTGTGTGCGAATCTTCCGGGTGGATTCCACCTTTGCGGTCTTGAATCTCCCTTTGAATACGACTGTATCGGAGATGATTCAAACCTTGGGTAGGAGAACGTTCCTCCAGGATGATATTGACAATTACCACATCATCATGAAGAAACACGACTCTGCGCGGCAATTGGATCCCCAAGAGAGACCGCTATTCATTCAGAAACGACTGTTAGAACAGGCTGGGTATTGCGAGACGGATCGACTCGAAGAAGTAGGTAGGGAAGATAACAGCTACCTCTGCCGATTTACCTTCGTCCCTGCGAAGATGAGCGGATACTCTAGCCTAGAGAAGGATCCTGGTTTTGGCAAATTGTCGAAATTCAGCCACATCGACCTCGCAGGACGAAACCTCGTAACCATCCCGATTACCCTATACCAGAAAGCCACTGAAATCATTTCTCTCAATCTCTCACGAAATCTCTCCCTTGATGTACCAAAGGACTTCATTCAAGCGTGCACAAACTTGCGCGAGATCAAATATACCAGCAACGAGGCATGGCGGCTCCCACCAAGCTTGAGTCTAGCAAGCAGGCTCACTATGCTGGACATTTCGAACAACCGAATAGAACAGCTCGAGCATGCTGATTTACATAAGCTGGCGGGATTGCAGGGCCTTCGACTATCGAACAACAAACTGACACGCCTACCAAGCTACTTCGGCCAATATCGGTCTTTGAGAAGCCTGAACTTATCATCCAACTCCCTGACCGAGTTCCCAGACTTCCTCTGCGAAGTCAGGACCATTGTGGACCTTGATATCAGTTTCAACTCAATCTCCACCCTGCCAAAGATTGGCCAACTCACTTCTTTAGAAAGGCTCTGGGCAACTAACAACAAGCTATCCGGCAGCTTTCCTGCCTCTTTGAGCAACCTTGCGAGCCTCCGAGAGATTGATGTCCGATTTAATGCTCTTGATAGCATCGACGTCATGTCGACACTACCGCGCTTGGAGTACTTGATGGTCGGTCACAACTCAATCTCCGCGTTCGAAGGCTCTTTCCCAAAGATTCGAGTCCTGCATATCAATCACAATCCTGTCACGCGTTTCGGTATGAACGCACCGGTACCCACACTGTCAATCCTGAATCTCGCATCCGCGAAACTGTCACACCTACCTGAGGATCTCTTTCAAAAGATCTCCGGACTGACCAAGCTCATTCTTGACAAGAACCATTTCACGTCTCTATCAACTCAGATCGGTCGACTTTACAGACTTGAACACCTCAGTATTGCCCGCAATTCCCTTGACGAAATCCCCGCGGAAGTTGGAAGACTTGCTGAACTTCGCTATCTCGACGTCCGCGAGAACAACCTCGCAAAACTTCCACAAGAGCTCTGGCATGCTCGAAGACTAGAGACATTGAATGTATCTTCCAACGTCTTGGAAGCGTTCCCAAAACCCGGAGCACCACTACCCTTCACTCCGGGTGACGTGCCTGGGCATCTCGACGGCACCACTCCAGCGTCAACCCCCGGATTGACCACCAGCCCCAGCTACGAGGAGCTCGGGAAATTAGAGGCTTTTGCTGCGCGACGTCCCAGTCAGGCCTCCGCTGGGTACCTTGGCACCTCACCTAGCTCTACAAGAAAAGGATCAATGGCCTCAGCTTCGTCTTTCGGGACTGTTGGAACAAGGAAAGCATCTGTAGCCTCCCGAGCAACCGAGGGCACCATTACGCCTGTATCAACAGGAATGTCGCGCAAGGACTCAAGCCTCTCGAACAGGATGATAACCACGTTTGCGGGTTCACTTCGCCATGTATTTCTTGCCGATAACAGACTTACGGATGACGTATTTGACGAACTCGCTCTGCTTCCGGAGCTGAGAATAGTCAACCTCTCCTACAACGCAATATACGACATCCCTCCACGCACCATTCGAAGATGGCAACATCTGGCCGAACTTTACCTCTCAGGAAACGATCTGAGTTCCTTACCCGCGGAAGACCTAGAGGAAGTCAGTTCGCTCAAAGTTCTTCATATCAACGGAAACAAATTCCAGGTTCTCCCCGCAGAGCTTGGAAAGGTCGCTAAACTTACTATTCTGGACCTCGGCAGTAATCTGCTAAAGTACAATGTTTCTAATTGGCCATATGATTGGAACTGGAACTGGAACCATAATCTCAAATACCTCAACATGTCAGGCAACAAGCGCTTAGAGATCAAGCCTAGTGGCAATTTCCATGGTGGCAGTCAAAGCTTGCGGGAAGGCAAAGATCTTACCGATTTCACTTCCCTCTTGAATTTGCGGGTGCTCGGCCTCATGGATGTGACGATGATGGTTCCTTCAGTACCGGAGCAGACGGACGACAGGAGGGTAAGGACCTCTGGCTCAACTGTGGGTACAATGGCCTATGGCATGGCCGATAGCCTTGGTCGGAATGAGCACATTTCGACGATGGATATGGTTATTCCAAGGTTTCGAAGCCACGACGATGAGACTATTGTTGGTCTCTTTGATGGCCAACCTCTTTCAAATGGAGGATCCAAGATTGCCAAGTACCTCTACGACAACTTCAAGCACCGATTTGCTGAAGAGTTGGATCGGCTACGCCCTCAAGAGGATGCAGTAGATGCTTTGCGACGCACCTACCTGGGGTTGAACAAGGAGCTCGCAACTGCGGCATCGGCATCGCTGGAAGCTCGGAGCCAGACAATCTCTCCTATCGCACACCGCGGCTCCATATCAATGCCAGAACTTGGAGATGATGACCTCAACTCCGGTAGCGTTGCCACAGTCCTATACATCAAAGAGATGGAACTCTTCGTGTCAAATATTGGTGACGCGCAGGCACTTTTAATTCGATCGGAAGGAGGTCATCGTATCCTCACTCGCAAACATGATCCCGCGGAAACGAGTGAGCGGAACAGGATCAGGGAGGCCGGAGGCTTTGTTTCTCGTCAAGGAAAGCTGAACGACTTCCTGGAGGTTTCACGCGCCTTTGGCTACGTACAGATGTCACCATCTGTTATTGCCGCCCCTCACATTACACGGATCACGATTAGTGAGAACGACGAAATGGTGCTGCTGGCCTCCCGGGAACTTTGGGATTATCTCACGCCCGGATTCGCGGTCGATGTCGCGCGCTCTGAGCGAGATGACCTGATGCGCGCAGCGCAAAAACTCCGCGATCTTGCCATCGCATTTGGTGCAACAAATAAGATCATGGTTATGATCCTCGGAGTCCGAGATTTGCAACGTAGTAGACAACGCGCTCGATTCCGAACTCACAGCATGTCAATGGGACCGTCTGGTACTCCAGACGACACCTATGGCTTGACAAGGAAGACAGCTAAGAACAAAAAGGACAAAGTCGGGGATTCGGGCCTTGCAAGACTAGATCAGGAGGTAGATGCACCAACCAACGAGGTCAGCTTGGTCTTCACCGATATTAAGAACTCGACTATTCTCTGGGAGACTTACCCGAGCTCGATGAGATCTGCGATCAAGATGCACAACGAAGTCATGCGCCGCCAGCTGCGGATTATTGGCGGTTATGAGGTCAAGACTGAAGGTGATGCCTTCATGGTTGCTTTCCCGACGGTCACATCGGCTTTGCTTTGGTGTTTCACAGTTCAGAGCCAGCTTCTAGACGTTCAATGGCCACAAGAAATCTTGACTAGTGTGAACGGACAAGAGGTGGTCGATCCCGATGGCAACATCATTTTCAGAGGTCTTTCTGTCCGAATGGGCATCCATTGGGGCCAGCCAGTGTGCGAAATTGACCCTGTCACGAAGCGCATGGACTATTTTGGTCCTATGGTCAACAGGACATCTCGCATCTCTTCTGTCGCCGACGGTGGCCAGATCACCGTGTCGTCAGACTTCATCGCTGAGATCCAACGTCTTCTAGAAACGCATATCGAAACAGATCGTACCGGCTCGACTGGCTCCGAAGATACTATTAACGAAGACTTGATGACCCTCGCTGTTCGCCGTGAACTACGCTCCCTCAGTAGCCAAGGATTCGAAGTCAAAGACTTGGGAGAACGGCGCTTGAAGGGTCTCGAAAATCCAGAATACATCTACCTCATGTATCCACATGCCTTGTCCAGCCGTCTTCTTGTTCAGCAACAGCGCGCCGAAGCCGCAGAGAATGCTTCCGAGGGTGGCGCCGCAGGTACCAAGATGCGAGACAGCCAGCTTACCATCGACACGGAGCACGTGTGGGATCTTTGGAACGTCAGCCTAAGGCTCGAGATGCTGTGTAGTGCTCTCGAGAACCCCGGATCTACGCAGCTGAAGCCGCCTGAGACACAACTGCTGGAGAGGATGAAGAACCGGGGTGGCGAGATCACGGATCGATTCTTGATCAACTTTGTCGAGCACCAGATTTCGAGAATTGAGGTATGTCTATCTTGACTCTCCCTCCTTATCAACCCTTGACTAATCTTCGTAATAGACCTGCACAACCACCCTTGCCATCCGTCACCTGGTCCGCCCCTTCGGCTCCAGCCCACTGCTCCAGCAAGCTTGTCCCATGCAAGATATCTTCGTCGAGCTCCAAAACTCGATGAAGGAGCTTGCGGCTTTCAAAGCGGAAGCTGAGTTCCCGATGGCACCCTCATGAACGCATTCTACGAGTCATATTCTATTAGTCTTCATGCAGCGGTTTCGATTTACCATCTTTTAATATCTGCTTACGAGCTCGTCGGTTTGGTCGTGTACCTACCCAGCACTTCTGTGGAACAGCGCTTGCATCCTACATTCAACGCCATAATATACCACCGCCGCAGCCTCCTATATCAGGGCCCGCCTCCCGTCCTGCCGGTCGCCACCACCACCGACGAGACTTTCCGCGCCTCCGTCGTCCATAGCCTGCGCCAACGAGCGCGATATTGTACTACCAGTTCACTTACTTCGGTACATGTTACCGCTTCCTTACCGGCTCGGCTGGACCATTCGCCTTGGGTATTGCCTGCTTTCTTCCGCGTCACGAACCGTGTTCCTACGTATGCTATACACGTCTCGGTATCGAGCTTATGGAGCCTCGGCCCTTCCATTCTCTTTTTCTTCTTTCGGGCGATGGACGGCATGACTCACGCTGTGAAATGAATTGATTTGAATCGGGTTGGGTGTTTTTCTTCGGGCGTTTGTTGAATGGATTACAGGGAGTACTCATTCTCATTGTCGAGTAGGCGTTTTGTTTTTGGTTTTTTTGGTTTTGTTCTTGAGTGAACGCTCTTGGTGGCTGTCTTTTGTGCAGGGTTTGTACATGAGAGAGGGCGGGCTGTTACATTCTCAATACATTGGTTTTGTTCATGATGAAGTGGGGACGCGGTGTGTGTGATTGGTGTGTGCGTCCTATATTTCCACGAAGGGGAAGGTAAGGAAGACGACTCTACCTTTCCTCCGATGGATCTCCCGCGGAAGAGATGGTTAACCGTAACTCCATGATTCGTTAACATCCGAGGAACTTCATTTGGCGCCGTGAAAGCCTGAATGGCCCAGTTGAATAGATCTCTTGGCAGTTCTCATCATCGCCTTTCTTATCACTTGCCTTGGCAAGTTTCATCGTCTGCCTTCCGCGCTTCTCCCCTACTTCCCTACCTAGGTAATAAACTTCTTGGCATGTTTCATCATCGGTCTCCACACTTTCACATCCCCTCCCCAGCATTTTGCCTACTTAGGTAGGTAAGAGGTTTCTTGGCAGTTTTCTGCGACATCCCTGCTTACGAAATAGTTTGCGAGCACGTGGGTTCTTGACCCCGTCACGTGCGCTCCACCCTCTTTTTGTCTTTGTTGGCTATATAAGCTCGCGTCCTCCTGTGCTCTTTTCTTCTTAGGCATAGCAGGGAGGAGCGGTGGAGATAAAATCAATGACAGGATTCATCTCATGGTCCATGGGATGCAGTTATGGTGTTGTGGAGGGATGGAAGGACTTTGGCGACTACCTTCATAAACGCAGCATGGGATACGACGTGATGTCGGGGTGGGATTGGGTGGAGCGAGATATGCTGCTAGAGGACATCATGGTTCTAAGTGGTGGTGTTCGTCATGGGCTGGTGGCGATGGTGGCTGCGGTGGTGACGAGGAGCTGGGATCGTTGGGGATTGCGGTACGTTGGACGGAAGTATGAGGTCGCAGGTTGTCTTAAGCTAATGTTCAAAAAACGTATCGAAGATATTCGTAATTCTCATTGCCATCGCACCTTGGCGCCTGTTGTCAGGTCCCTAAGCTTTCGAAGGTACGGATCGAGGAATATCATCACTCCTCGCTATGATGATGAAACGCTGCGAATCTCCATTATCGGGGTTCCTGGGTCCTCCCTGGGTCATGGGACGAGTCTTGAGAGTTTGTTGATACCACGAAGGGTTGACAGCGACAGTTTGAAGTTCACGCTTCACTCTGTCCCCACCATTGGAAGAGTCGTCGTTTGCTTTCGACAACTCCTCCGAGCTTCCAACCAACGGAGAAGACTGAGAGGACGATCACGATGTATAAATACCCTAGATCAAGATGTTGCGGAAGTACTCCGCAAGTGATGGTGATGCCAGAGCACGCTCCCGGGTAGTGATGAGTAAGTGTATTGGGTAGGGGAACTTCGGAGACCGGTCTAATAGTTTTATCCAGCTCGACAGAGTTTCAAGCATCGGATCCTATCCACGGTGTGAGTAAAGATATATATCTTCCAAATTTCTGAATTTGACCATCGGAGGCAACGTCTGGAGTACTCCAGTAGACCAAGATTCGGTGCGAGAAATGTTCGAAATTCGACGCTGTCAACTTGAGTGGTATGTGACAGGCATTGATAGAGTAGCGCTGTCTAGGCAGCCTTCTACGACCGTCACGTCATGTTCCTACCAACATACATGGCCTTTACTGCACCGAGAGGAAGACCAATCGTGAGCGAGGGTAACGTTGAATTGCTCCTTGAATAGTACTGCTTTCAAACTTCTAGCGACAGAGAATGTCCTTGGAGATGCAGTACGGGGCCTTTTGGTAATTGCTTCAGTAACCTTCCGCGGCTTCTCTTTCGTATGAATTGCGCTTCTCGGCATCTCCAGCCTCCATCTCTCTGACTCGTGTTTCTTCAAAGGCAGTATTTCCCACCTTGATCTCTCTAACCTCCGCCTCCACAACCTCAGTATCTCTAGCCCTTCCTTGATGATCTGGCCCAGAAAGAATGACAGCCGGATTCTCCTCGCCAGACGGCCTGATATGCCCCTCCCAAGTCCTCCTCCATGCCTTCCAAACGATGATAAGTATGCCAGCCGAAAGCAAGAGGCCTATCGCCGTCATCATGCATTTCAAACTTCCGCCACACTAGAGCAAAGTGCCACACAAAAGACTGAAGTATCCGGCGTTTTCGATGAACAAGTCCAAGCGGAATGAGAACCGAAAGACCCGAACCATCATAGCGAGCGCGATGACAGCATGACCGAAAAGCTCAGGCTTCGTGACAAACGTATAGCCGTCCGCTGCGGGAAGGTATTGCGCGATTGCCGCTGCCACTCGTCCAAACCAGAAGATTTAGAGCAAACCTTCATAGTAGGCGGTCTCCGGCATTCTGTCACGTCTGCATGTCCCGTAATGGCGACCGATGCTCATACATACTGCTGTTTCAGTCCGGCGATAGGAGCTTCATAGTCTTTTCAGCACTCTGAATGAGAGAAACTTGGCACCTAGTAAACTCGCGAGGCTACCCCAAACAGTGTCCGCAGGCTGTACACAGATTGGGAGTGTATTCGCTGCCCCCAATTTCTATTAGTACCTTGGAACTCCACAAACAGTGGCAGGAAAATGTACGGGTTTCTATGGCAAGGCACTGTATCCGGAGCTCCCTTGTCCAACGCTATCCACACTAAATCATACCTGAATTAAAATCAACGATAACGGTTCCAGAAATGATATGAGATAAAAGTCGCATGGTAAGTTGCGCCTTATGTAAGGTAATGACCTGGAATATCCCTTGGACCATCGTGGTGGGCGGGTCCCTTTCTTTTGTTCGTAGAAATGCTGCGAAGACATCTAGGCGGAGACCTCAACACCACAGCTGCTTTCCATTCTCGAGGTATGAGAGAGGTTAAGGACCCTTTCGAGCATCGTGACCAGCAGATCGGTAGGTATCCATTCCCATATTCCTAGTCTCCGAGGATACCATCGCTGAGAACGGAGTAAGACTTCCATCGTCTTTACGCACCCTATCAGCTCATGTGTTTTCAGACCCGCTCCATCTCACCATCTATGACGTGCTCAGTCGCTCTTTTCGTGTTATTCTCTCCCAAAACCCCAATCTGTAGCCCACTTGTTGACCTGAGTGCCTCGGTAGTCCCGCGGGTCATCCCTTTCCGGTTTTCCAGGTTCCACCTTAGTTTCCATGGACGTCTGATCCCAATCCCGCCGCATAAATTGTATCCTCCACCACCTCTGATACGCCAAAAGAGGGAGCAACGTGACATGGCAAACGAGCAATCCGAGTAGTACTGCTTTCCAGCCGATATCCAAGGCATAGAACATGATATAGAGGGCATAGAAGAAGTGTGCGTTGAAGATTAGCTCGGGGTGTAGAAGGAGAGCGTCTCGAATGTCTCCTCGCCGCAGCCGCGAAATGAAAGTCTGGGCTACGAGGAGAATGCCGAGTAATACGTGTACAGCCACCGCAGGCGTCGCAACGGCTGTGGCCCAGTCCGGTGGCGAAATGACTTGATTCAACATCATCGCAGCTGTCCCGAGCAAGAAAGATTGCACCAAATATTCGTAAAATACGCACTCGGAAAATTTTCCTTCATTGACAGCGCCTTCGTGTCGGGCCACGGTTATCCAGACGCAATATAGGATCCGGAAATCTTTATCGTACGCGTCTTGGGACTCTTCCTAACTGCGGCCTTTGTGGATGTAGACGAGAAGCGTGGAGGTAGCTGCGGTAGTCGCTGCGGCTAACAACCAGGTCCGTCGAAGTTTGAATTCGGCACACCATCGTGTATAGAGGGATGAGTTCGAAGGGGGGAGGTTCGATGCCGAATTCCAGTAGTAGATTTGAGCGGCTACTCTGCGACAGCGGGGTGGGATGGGAGGCATTTCTACAGTTTTTAGGGAGGAGAGTAAGGTGGTTGTGTTTAAGGAAATTTTTTGAGAGTCGTGGTGGTCTTGTGATGATGTTGTCCTTCCATGGGTGAGTGCTGGATCTCGACCATTGCTTTATATAAGGGACCCAACCGCGGAACGGGAGCTAAACCGGAGTGCCGAGAGCCTCGATTATCTTAAATTCCCACATCCCGTCTCGGCTTCTCTTCTCACTCACTACGTCAAAAATGGTGAGTCCTGTGGTGCTTCAATATCGCAAATGGGCCGCGAGGCTCTTCACCTCGAAGTCCGAAGACGTCCTTCCTGCTTCTCCAGGACGCTTCAGCAACTTCCTAACCGAGTTCCAACGTCGCTAGAAGTGGATTCTCGCCGCTGCAACCACTCTTATCGCCTCTTGCATAGTCTTGCTACTCCACGAGAACCTCGACGTACAAAACCGCGAAGAGATATACAACATGCGCATGTCGGTCTTCCACAGCATCTCGCTATGCATACGTCACCACTTCGTTCGAGTCAGTTATGGCATCATGTCTGAGTGAGCATACTACGAAGCTTTAGCCCAGATATTCTGGATCGGACGTGTCATCGTGGCGGTTGCGCAGAATGTGGCACCGTTGGAGACCTTTCTAGCCACTACCCGATATGAGGTATACGGGCATGTCGGAATCGTGTTCGCTCTGGTCACTCAGGTACTTTGGTCGTTATGGTGGCAGGGAGAGGACATCGAGGCCCTACGGTTTCGGCTGGACTTGCTGTGCTACATTGTCTTTTACATACCGTTGTTCTTAGGCGCCTTCGTAGCTTGCGGCGACTTCAGTCCGAAGCGTGTCTTAGCTGTGCTGGGTGTCGTAGGCGTGTTGATAATTGTTCTCCTCGGTTGGGATTATATATCAAGGAGGACTCGGGAAGGCAGGTTCGATCGGTCGGACGTGGACGATGTAGCTCTCAAAGCCCCAATGGAAGATACGGCGGAGATTGGAGGAAAGGAGAGGGATGATAGGGGAGCTGGAGATGTGGAACTTGGAGGCTGAGGATGTGGACCTTGGACATACTATAATTGAGAAAGCGGAGTCAGAGAGGTCGGAATAAGGCGAGGCTGACACCCACGTACGACCGGCTGAGGGAGCCTAGCAAGTTCACGGCGTATCCAAAACGATGCACTCTTATCTTGGCCAGATTCCTGAAAATATATCGAGGCCCTTCTTAAAAGGGCAGAAAAGCGTACACAGAGTTATGATGAAGCATTCCAGTAGGAAACTGAAGAATCAAGAGGCTGGTGGGGGCAAATGAGATAGAAAAGACTAGGAGAATATGATAGAATGCTGAGTGGCTGAGTATTTGACAGATTTGATTGACTAATTAAGCATTATCCTACCCCTTCTCTCCCTATGCACAGTCTTCTATCTCTTCAAAACAAAACACGAAAAAGCTCGGAACTAGCCGGCTGGGTACTAGACTCAACCAATTTTCCCACCCATATGCACCAAACAAGGATTATAAGACAAATGAAATTATTTTGCAGTCACCGTAATCGTTACCGTTTCCCGAGGCAGCGTTTCCGTGACGGTGACCGTGAAGATCTGCGACGGATTGATAGGAACAACGGTGATGCCTTCGTTCTGGGAGGATGTGCTCGGTGAAGCGGGCTCGGGGGTGCTGGTTGAAGATGGCGCACTTGCCGACGAAGGGGCGGGCGCTTCCGTTGGCACCGAGGCCTGCGAAGTGGAAGCTGGGAGCGCGGTTGAAGATATGTGAGAGGAGGGCACGGAGGGAGTGAGAGTGGCCGCCGATGATGAGGTTTCGGGCGATGAAAGGATAGACGAGGGCGTTACAGTGCTTGAGGGCGGGATTATGGTGTACATCGTAACTGTGACCACGGGGATTGGGCTGAGGAGCGAGGGGGTGGAGACTGAGGATGAAGAAAGTGCAGAGGAGGGCGTGACGACTTGACTTGCGGAGGTTACTTCCGCAACAGATGAGGACAAAGTTGACGGGGACGCTGGCGTTGGGTCGACGGTAGTGAACTCGGTCTTGGTGACGACGACGATCCTTGGCTGAGAAAGAGTGGACACGTTGCTGGCTGCGGAAGGTGTCGCAGGAATAGAGGGATTAGAGACCTCCACTGTAGCAGTTGAGGCCGAAGGAGCGGCAAGCACACTCGAAGCGAGAGCAAATCGAGTTGATGAGGACGACAACTTGCTAGCTGAAGATGCAGCGGGCGTCTGAGTGGATAACGTCGATGCAGAGCTGGATGGTGAGGGAGCCGATGCGACTTCGGTGCTCGATGTTGACGCCAGGGATTTCGCATCAGTAGCTGTGGGCTTTTGAAGGGACAACGCGCTGTACGGCATTTCCCCGCCACCATTTGCAGAAGACGACGAGACGGAGATGATACTAGATGGAGAAGATGCCGATGGGAGCACAGCGCTCGACGCGGATGCCAGCGATTGTATGTCAGTAGTCAAAGAAGATGACGAAGCCGAGATGATACTAGACAAGCCGGACTCGAAGGTCAGACCAGTGAAAAGAGCGGATGTGGGTGTTTCAGTTATTCGAGAGCTTGAAAGGGTTCGGGATAGTACGACCGAAGTTGAGCTGGACAAATCGAGGGTGAATCTTCTGCTGTAGCTACTGGCAGTAACTTCACCATTACCAAGCGCGGCACTTTGCGCTGGTGTTGGGAGGGAGGTTACAAGAGTCGATGCAGACTCTGTCGCAGAGCTTTCAGACGTCGACGATGACTGAACCACGGAAGTCGCTGCAGTCGAGGAGGACTCGGCAGTTGCCGCTGCAGTTGATGAAGACTCGGTAGGTTCGGCCGTGATCGTGGACTCAGGCGTGGAGGTCGTCTGTGAGCTCGATGATACATCAAGTGATGACGATGAGGATGAAACTGAAGGAGATGGCGATGATGGCTCGGCTGTTGGCGTGATCGCAATAAACGACGTAGACTCAATGGTTTCCGCAGGAAGGGTTGCGACAGGAGTTCCTTTTAGGTTGGTAAAGATGAGTTCAGATTGGACAGATGTAAAGACCGACGGCGAGAGAGGAATGACTTGAAGAGCGGTCTCGGCATTGGCGGAAAGTGGCGATGATATTGATGAATCGGCGGCAGTGATTGACGATATTAATGAAGTGGATGGAATGGTGGTCGCGGTCGAGAGGGTGGTTGATGGCTTGAGCTTCTCCAGAGTGGTGACGGACGTCGAAGATGAGTTTGCGAATCTCGCGAAGCTGTCCACTCATGTTAGATTGGAAGCAATTAAGTCGGAATGAACGCACATACTTTAGCTTCTTGTAGTGATGCGGCACCGGGCCTGCGATTACTGAAGTACATGTTGCTGCCAGCAGCCATAGTGTGAAGGGAAGCATCATCGTCAAGATGATGAGAAGACGAGAGAAACCAGCTCTAGAATAGAGAAAAGAGCTGAGACAGCAATGAGGCGCGCGTCAAGACGATGAAAGAAAGTGATAACCGTGAGTGACGAGGATAAATGGGGACAGCGAGGATATGAAGGAAAAGATCGACAAAGATGCAGACAACGAGAGGCAAAAACGAAAGAACGGCTGTGTCAAACGACGGGACGAGGGACGAAGGTCAGTGTGAGGCTACGAGACTCCTGCAGAGCTGTCGAGGTGCATGGATGGTCCACGGGTTTTGAAGCTCTGCTAGCCGCTGTTTTACTTTAAAATAGACAACTTCAACGCACTGGTCAAGCATTTTCGTCGGGAACTTTTTCTGGATGCGCTACTAGGGAGCTTGGATACAAGTGCTTGGTGGGCGACTATCGTGGTCGGCGGGTGTTGAGTTGAAACTCGAAGCGCCCGCAGATTTGTCGCGACGTCTTCGCGTTGTGGGTTGTGGTTGGCCAGCGCATGAAACACTACCCAAGAGCCGCTTCCACCCAGCGCCTCGAATAGCTATACAAAATGAAGGACTTGAAGCATCAGGCAACGGTCTGCCCAGAGTGGAGTGCGTGTCTTCCGTTTCAGAAAGCCATACCGAATATTGAAAAGCTGGAGGGTGCAGTGCGCTCAAGACGAAAGAAAACCTACCTCGACTCGATCACTACTCATACGTACCTTGCAGAGCCCCGGAGGCCTTCGACAAACAAGTGTTATCGCAATGGACAATCACTCGATGGACGAACACTCCTTCCACAGCCTCGATGGTGGGTGGAGAGAGTCGTTGAGGTCGAGGAGGCGCCGGTCGCACTCACGTGTTTCCCGATGGCTTGGCGCGATGCGGTTGCCCCTACCAACGCTGGCCCACAACAATTCACCGGGCCTGCCAACTTCTTCATCTCGCGAGCGCTTGATCTAACATTCTTCCGCCGGCCGCCTTGGGAGTTGGTGCTTTTGCTACATTCTCTACCTCACCGTCCCCTTCACCACCTCCCAAACTACCTCCGTGCCACCTCCTTTCTCCTCCGCAACCATGAGCGTGCGCGTCGTTGCTCGCATTCGTCCGTTACTCAAGCTTGAGCTGGACAAAGATACCATCGTCACTGCCGAGTCGCAAGGGAATGAAGCTCCCTCAAGCCCTACTGTTGTCCGGATACCGAACCCGAGGAACGAATCCGAGTCTTTCAGCTTCCAATTCAATAGTGTGTACGATAACGAGGCCACCCAGCAGCAAATATTTGATCAAGAAGGTAAAACAGTCCCGATTTTCGCTCATCATTAGAACGTGTCAACTGACTTCTAACAGTAAAACCTACTGTAAAGCATCTATTCAATGGCTTCGATGTTACGATCTTCGCGTACGGCGTTACTGGCACGGGCAAGACGCATACGATGCGCGGCGGGAAATCTTTGGCCGATCGAGGAGTGATCCCGAGATTGCTAAGCGCCATATACAGACAAAACCGGAAGATAGAAAAGGATGCAGCGGGTGCAACACAAGTCGAGGTGGCCATGAGCTACTACGAGATCTACAACGACAAAGTTTTCGATCTCTTTGAACCGCCAGAGAAACGGACCCCAGCAGGCCTACCTATCCGAGATAACCATGGTAAATCAGTTGTAGTTGGACTGACGGAGCGGCCTTGCACGACGTTGAAGGAGTTTGAGCAGCTGTATGACCAGGCGAATATCAATCGGTCAACATCCGCTACAAAGGTAAGTCACCCGGAGCGTCATTGTTGGTACTTCATCTAACTTTTGATCAGCTCAATGCCCACTCTTCGCGCTCTCATGCGATCCTCTGCGTCAAAGTTACACAAACAACCGAAACCACTGTTCGTGTCAGCACCGTCTCCGCAATCGATCTGGCAGGATCCGAGGACAATCGGCGAACCGACAACAACAAGGAGCGGCTAGTGGAGTCATCTAGCATCAACAAATCTTTGTTCGTGTTGGCGCAATGCGTGGAAGCTATCAGCAGGAAGCAGTCCCGGATACCGTATCGCGAGTCCAAGATGACTCGGATATTATCGCTCGGCCAGAACAACGGGCTCACGCTCATGATCCTTAATCTTGCCCCTGTTCGGTCATACCATCTCGATACGCTGAGTTCACTCAACTTCGCCAACCGGACGAAGAAGATCGAGGTCGCCGAAGTGGAAAACGAACCCGCTTTCAGGTTGCCAGCAAAGCCTCTTGCAGCTTCTATCACTGGTCCCAACATACAACGGCAACCCTTGCGACCATTAGCTGCGGCTAGCAATGCAAAGATACACGCAACGGACCACAAGCTTGGTGACAAGCCGGCAAAGGAGTTCTCCGTCTACTCCGACCGCAATTCTGGCGGTCGATCTTCGAATATGCCACACCAAAACCAATCATCTCGACGAACAGAACCACACAAGCGGCCTGCTGACTCCATTACGTTCTCATCACGGCCAAGCAAAGTTGGTCGGCCAAATGGTTCCCGTGCTGCGCCATCAGAGCCAACTCTATCGAAGGCGTCGATAGAAGCATTGATTGCGCAACGAATCGACGAAAAGCTTGCAGAGAAGGCCCTGCAAGATACAGCTGCTGCAGCACCCGCCCTTCCCGACGAATTGCAGAAGCGACTAGACGCGTTAGAGCAGCGAATCGAAGAGAAAGAAGACGGGCGTGGAGAGGGACTCCAGTTCTTGCTAATGGCCAAGCAGCACCAAGCCCGAAATGAGGATGCCAGCGCCCTTCGGATGTTCCAACTTGCACAGCCATTCTTTCCTACCAACGATAAGCTGCGGAACAAGATGAAAGCCCTAGAAGACAGAATCAGGGCCAAGCGCGACGCGGAAAAGGCTTCTGAGACCAAGCCAGAACCCAAACTAGCGCCCCTAACCGCTCCCTCAACCATACTGAGTCTCCCAACTTCCGCACCCGCACCCGTTCACATAGATCTCTCCGTCCCAGTCGCCAAGAAACCTGCCAAAGCAAAAAAACCTGTATACGTTGACCCCCCATCTGATGCCGAGGACGACGACTTCGCTCCCGCGCCTGACGCTCACCACGACGCCTCCTACGCCTCGGACGACAGCTTCCACTATAAGCCCAAGGCGGCGCGCAAGCAGACGAAGCTGAAAGCGAAGAAAGTCCTTATCTTCCGCGACGAAACCTCGCTGTTCCCAAATCCTAGTAACACTTCTTCACTGCCGCCTGGCGAACAGTCACCTCGCACAACGCATCTTCTTCGCATCATCAACAGCCGCGATGTCACGCAGATTCGGGCGCTGAAGGGGGTGGGCGCGAAGAAGGCGGATGCGATTGTGAGTTGTCTCATTGAGATGGAAGAGGAGGAGGTGCGGGATTTGGAGAGCTTGGCGTTGTTGAAGGGAGTGGGTGGGCGGACGGTGGAGAATATGCGGCTGGGGTTGGCGGTGTAGAGGGGTAGTGCGATCTGGTGGTGTGTTGAGCTGTGTTCGTGGTTATCTTCAATCTTTTTGGATAGGCTGAGCAAGGCGTTTTGGGGTTGCGTACGCATAGGCATTTTGGAGGTTGAGGTGTTTGGAGTTGAGTTGCATAGGGCGGTGTTTGGGTGATTGGCTTGTCCGGTAGAGTTTAATGCTGGCTGGAAGCTGGATTGTTCTATGATGTTTGCTATGATTGTTTTGTTGTGAGGTTGATTTTTGATGTGAGTGCGCGCTTGGAGGTTGTCTAAGAATTCATGAGCGATTGGGGGAGGAGTTGGGAGTTTCTGGATAGGAGGGAGAAATTTTTTCGCACCTACCTAAGATGAGATCGCATCGTGGGTAAGGTCATTACCATGGTTTCAGTGGCGGTGAGATATCCTTACCTTTTCGAAGCATATCGCAGTATCTGGGCTTTCACATCGCTGCTGTGCCGCAGCGAGTAGCGCCCGCCAGGCCGCCCCGTTTTAAGCTTCTCTCACCCACAACACAAGAGTATGTCTAAAAATGGCGAACCCAACCATACCCCAACGCAGATTTTGACTGCGTTATATTGCTGCTTTGCTAGCACCGTTGGTCTCGATTATTGTTGGTGCGCTCGCGTTGAAGGCTACCATCACCTCCTTTTGTTGCTGACTGGAGAACAGGCCGCTTGAGAGATGAGCTTGAGGATTTGGATATGGACGATGAAGTTTATGGGGAGGAGAGTGATGGCGAGGTGGAAGAGGTTAGGAATGGAAGGCGGAGGGACAGCGAGGACAGGTCGAGGCGTGGCTCATATGAGAGGTCAAGGAGTCGGGAGCGGTATACGTCTTCGGAGCGGTCAAGAAACGGGTCGAGAAGGCAGCACTCTTCGAGTGGGCGCGAGTCAGACTGAGGCCGTCGATGAGACAGATGGAAGATATGTAAGATAGCATAAAGATACCCAAGTCCCTCCATTGTATACCGTAAGAAAGGCAACCTTCGAAGCAAACCCCAAAATCCTACGGCCATACCTTCTCTACCCCTGGGTAGCTGATGACACTGCCAGGAGTACTTTAACGTCTTTCATCAGGCGCCAATACTCTGATGAGCAAGCTCCGTCTTAGAAAAAAGCGCTTTCGACAAGAAAACGAAGTCATATCTAGCGAGTTTTGGGGTCTTATGAACCTCATCGAAGCACCCCCGAACAGTGTCATGCCTACCCCGCGAGTACCACAAGGAAGAGGAAAGGGAGTGTGCCCCGAAGGGAGACCTAAATTCATCGCTAATAGTAGAGAAGCCTCCCAAAAAAGACCACCCAAGCGCTCAAAAGGATATCCGGAATATCAAACTCCGTTCCATGATCACTCTTACTCCCTTTGAAAACCATGAAAATATACGTAGGGACAACCTCAACGTTTCCTTTGACTTCGTCATAACCCCAAGTTAGCGGTCGTGAGCCTGCACGCCATCCTCCACAATGCCTGTGTTGATCCGTGTATTCTGCACAAGAACTGTCTCGGGTCCTCTATGGACGGCTTCCATCTTTCCCTGAGGAGGTGGGATTGCCGTATCTTTGATGACTTTGTACCGCGGTTGACCTTGCTATTGAAAATGCCTTTTTCCTCATCTTTGTCCCTAAATCTGTGGCTATTGTTGTTTGGGTCCTCTTCCGTAAGAGCAGCGCAACGTGAACGTTGCCATCGCGGCTAATCTCAAGCGTCGGCGATTTTGAGAATGTATTGCAACATCTACTATCCACCGACTCAACCTACACATATAGACCCGTGACAGTCGCAAAAGGTTTTGCTGGCTTGAACGTCGTCGTGGTCGGCGCCGGACCGCAATTGCGAAGCCATTGTGCTCCATTGGGTTTCGCGGGAAGTTCTTTTAAAGCCGTCAGTCATCATGATCTGAATCGGGAGTAGAGTTGAGTAGACTAGAGGGGGCGCTTACCAAGTTTGTTTGTTCAATGTATAGCCCATCTTTCCCTTTGAAATAACCGCCGTAGTACTTGCCGGACAAGATGCAGTCGTTGAGGATACTTTGGACAGCACCCTTGCAATTACCACTACCAAGGTCGTATGAATCATCAGGTCGCACGACCGTGAGCTGATTGTAGTCGGCCTCGTCAGGGGCGCCGCCGGCGGTGACGCGGACAGTGCCGTTTACAGAAGGGAAATCCGTCGTATTGCCGTGCTGTTCATATTAGATTCGTTGTCTTGAAACAAGAAATGGGGAGGTTTGAGAGAGCAGACTTACTACTCCATCAACAGCCCACTTGCAGATCTCGGAGGCGTTGCAGGCAACCTTGGTGATAAAGTCATCCATGGAGGCGCCCCGCAGGATGGACTTGAGGATGTCTTCTTTTGTCGGCATACCCTGCCCTGTAAAGTATTGGAACTCTTGATTGCAGGTTACTTTGTCAACGACAAGTGTGTCGTTGTCGCCGGGGCGCGCTGGAGGCTGACTGTCCACGCCATTCGAGGACGGGTCGCGAAACCATCCCATTAACGCGGCCATGGCCATGTGCTCGACGAAGTTGAGAGCAATGCGAAGATATCCTCGTGTATTGGGTAACAGTAAATCCCCATCCAGGTGCTCTTTTGTGGTGGCCGAGGTGTGAACGGTCATGATGCGGTAGTGGCCTTCTGTTGATAGCTGGTCAACAAGTGCATTGAGGCGAGCGTTGAACTGCGCAACTCTTTTCTGAAGCCCATACCACTTGAATGGGTCCTGGAAGTCGAAGCCGATCATGGGAATGTGGCCAGCGAATATCTTGGCGTCAGGGTCCGCGTCAAAAATATCGTGTATAAGGCTGGTGTAGCGGTTGGGCCTGTTGTCCAAATCCATATCATACAGCACGTCGATAGTTCCGGCCAGCAGAAGGATGACCTTGTTTTGAAGATGGAAATCAGGCGCCGCGACGAACTTGGCGTGCAACTCGTCGATGGATGCCAGTTTGTAGCATTCGTGGAACTCCGAGTTGGCGTTATCTGGCTTCTGTGAGCCCATGAATGTTGCCCTAACAAAATATTCTGACCCCCAAGGCAAGTTGTAGTATTGGTGGTTTAGGAAGACGGCCTTCAAATGAGGGATAATTCCTTGATAAATGTCGGAATTCGGGTCTTGGGAGGCAAATGCGACGTAATCCCCCAGAACCAGAAGATCAACATCTCTGGCAGTGAACGCCCAGTATTGCATGGCTTGCCGGAATAATAGCTTGGTAAAGATTACGATATCTTTGGTGTGAGTGAACCCAGCTGGAGTCGGATGAAACGTTTTCGTAACCCACACCCAGGCTGCATGCACGCCATCGCCGTAGTTGGCGTCGATCCATCCAACCGTAGCATTTTCGCGAGGAATCGTCATGTTCGTATCGCCGACCGCTACCGTCTCGTTGTCTGCTGTCACGAGCAAGTTGAGGTTGGAGAAATGTGTGTTTGGGTTGTGATGGTCAGGCTCCTGAACACCCTGTCGGCAGAATCTATGTCCATCGTAACCAATGTCGACATCGACAAAACTGACGGCGCCTGATAATATGCTCGGATTTCCGAATGCGTGCGAGTATTGTACATTCAAGAGATCCGAGTAATATGCCAGAACATAACTAACCTCGTGTGTGAGCCTATTTAGCTTGATTCGTAGCTCTTTCGTGATCTTCGGCCCTATAAAATCGATAACGTAGAATGAAGTATCATCGCACTGATCGGTGTAGGAATCGAAGAACTGAGAGTAACCAGTTTGATAGATTGCAGTCCGATAAGGCCATCGATTTTCCCAGTCCATGTTGGACAAGATGCCGACAATGACAGCATCATAGTGGTCGTAAAAGTCCTCTCCATAGAGGATGTCTCGAGATGTGCTGAGAAGCGCATCGCAATCAGGTCCTCCAATTACGCTTGGCCCAAACCCAAACACACATTTCTTGAGGATCGTAGAAAACAGGATGTCATTGCCTCCAATGGAAAGGGTCACAAAGGACGTGTCATGTCAGACAGCACCCAGTTGGTAGTTTGGGTTCTCGTGATTCGCAAGGTCCGTTGTGATATCGCCGGTGCAAGCCTTGAGCATAAAGGCTGGCTTTGGACCATTTGGACCATTCGGGCCTGGTATGTTGTTGTCTGCCTGCATTTGGAAGGGGTAGTTCAATTTGCCGCGCACGCAACCTGCGCCATCGTGGATTTCATCGCCTGCGCCGCAAACGAATCGCCCAAGCCAACCCATGCAGAAGGTCTAGGATCCGGGTCATTGCCTCCTGTTGAGACATTGCCGGATTTGAGGAACGCATAAAAGTCGGGGCTGAAAAGATCAATGCTGGTAGGCGTTGCCGAGGGAGGAACTGGCTGGGAAGTTTGCGAGGGAGAAACCGACTGGGGGTCGTCTCGTGCTTCGAGGGCGACTATGTTGCCAGACGTAGAACGACTTTGGAGGGAATCCGAATCGGGGACCACTCTGGGTTGTACGAGAGACACGGATAGGGCTAGTCTATGTCAGTCCTAATCTATGTGACTTATAGACTGCGTACCCGAGAGAGTAACAAGAAAGGTCAAGGAGAATTGATTCCACACCGTGGGCCACACGTTGTGGCTAGTTATGGTCAAAGGTACTTACTATGCAGGGGTAGGAGAGGCAGAGAAAAGCATATGAAAATGATGGAGCCGAAAGATGCAAGAGAAGTGAAGCAAAGCGGGACGATGAAGAGAATGACTGAACGGAGAGTGCTACCTTGATTTGTATTGAGCACAACATCCAGTAAAGTGCTCACATCCTCGCAGATATATCCAATTTCAGGCACGGCACAGCACGGCACAGCACAGCACAGTCAGCGTGACTCTTGAACAGGTGTTCCAAATGAACATTTGGAGATGAAAGGAGTGATGCCTGCAGGAATCTCAACCTGAAATCTGGACCGACTGACACGCTCACAGCCCTATCGCTGCGTGACTGTGGAGATGCCACCCCTGGGCCATAGTATAAGCCTTGACAAGCTCTGGCAAATCATGGAATTTGACCACCAGTGTTTTCCGTTTGGAGTTCAGTGAGCCGCCCCAGACATCGCGGTAAAGGATTGGGGCCTTGTTCACAGGTCCATCGGCCCTAGGCTTCGTCGATGTTTACCACACATGTTTCCGGTGGTTTGGAGCCAATGACATTGTTACCAAAACGAATTGCCATTTCCTCTGCACGGAAGGAGTATATACAACCGGCAGATTCCAAGTGGGGTCCGCTTCAGACGCAATTTTTGGGTAACGTCACGTGGGGTGAGAACTTGAACGAATGCACGGGTAGATCCGGCGCTTCTATGTTCGTTCGCTATACTTGGAGGTGGCTGTACGAGCGAGGACTGGATTGGGCAAATTGTGGAGGGACAGGTTGGAGGCGGCTCGCCGGGCGCTTCGAAGTCGCCAAGCCGCCACGGGCGTCTCCCCCACATTACGCGCTACCCCAGGATTGCATGTTTTGTTTCACCAGATAACGTCCAACATTAGAGATTCCTACATCTATGGCTGCAAAAGTCTGTTGATTCTCGCTTAGCTCACAGCACCACCAACGATTTGAAACATGCACAACAACGTTAATTAGAAGCTATCTTTGTATCTATTGCGGTAGGGTAGATTAGCATTTATTAATCTTCAAGTTATTGCCAGGCCTTTCTAATATCTAGGGGACTACTAATCGTACACCCCCTAATTCCTAGACGTACACCCCCTTTTCACTCCATGTACACCCCCCTCTCTTGGCGCTTCACCACCTTCTAATTGGCTCGGAGAGCCCGGAGCTTCCTCCGGGCATTTACCCTTACGTCTCTCTACACGTGATGCTATACGCGAGGCCGTACGTAATGCTATGCACGAGGCCGTACGTGAGCTCGTATATAAAGCTATACGTGATGCTATACATAAGGCCGTATATAAGCTTGTACGTAAGGCCGTATTTAGAGAGAGTATTCGGAATTAATAAGCAAGTTAAGCGAGCGAATCGGAGGCTACGGAGCAGCCCTCCCAGCCAATTAGAAGGTGGTGAAGCGATAGGGGGGGGAGGGGGTGTACGTGTAGTGAAAAGGGGGTGTACGAGTAGCGCTCCCCTATATTAAACTAAGTTTTTTCAATTTTTTCTTCTAATTTTTATGGGGACTACTAATCGTACACCCCCTAATTCCTAGACGTACACCCCCTTTTCACTCCATGTACACCCCCCCCCTCTTGGCGCTTCACCACCTTCTAATTGGCTCGGAGAGCCCGGAGCTTCCTCCGGGCATTCACCCTTACGTCTCTCTACACGTGATGCTATACGCGAGGCCGTACGTGATGCTATGCACGAGGCCGTACGTGAGCTCGTATGTGAGGCCATACGTGATGCTATACACGAGGCCGTACGTGAGCTCGTACGTGAGGCCGTACGTAATGCTATACACAAGGCTGTACGTGATGCTATATATGAGGCTGTACGTGAGCTCGTACGTGAGCTCGTACGTAAGGCTATACATGAGCTCGTACGTGAGCTTGTACGTGAGCTCGTACGTAAGGCTATATAAATTGGCATGATGTAATTGCTTGTGTTGTACATGGCCGCATTTAGAGAGAGCATTCGGAATTAATGTGCAAGTTAAGCGAGCGAATCGGAGGCTACGGAGCAGCCCTCCGAGCCAATCAGAAGGTGGTGAAGCGATAGGGGGGGGAGGGGGTGTACGTGTAGTGAAAAGGGGGTGTATGTCTAGGAATTAGGGGGTGTACGATTAGTAGTCCCCATTTTTATAGAAATACTTAATTGGCAGCCTGCCTGCGCAGGCGTATAGACTGCGAGGCCTCTGCGAGTCACGTGCTCGCTTAGGCCGGGGTATACATAGCCCCAGGCCATGGATCACGATTCCTCAAGGATTCGTCTCTCAATACACGAAATCGTCATTTCCATCTACGAGCTCCCTGCCGTGCACTCTTCCTTTACAATATACTCCGGAAATTAGCGATCGTGGCCCGTGCTCAACAGACTTTTGCAGCCGTGGAGGTAGCCCCCGCGGCAGCTTTCTATGAATAGCTATAATTCTGCCCGCACGATGAAACAATCCATCCATCCACTGCCGCCGAGGCGTATGCATAATGCAGATCCCAACATGCTTGTTTCAGGCGCTAGACACACTCTGCTCTCTTGGTTGATGATGCCTCTGACATCACAGTAGCACCCAAGCATCTTCCTTTGGGGCTACGACTTCGGCGTGATATCATCTCTAGTAGCTCGGAGTGCCTCGACAGACACACTCTGTTTTCTATCATTATTAAGCCTCCAAGTTCTCAAACCTCGAGCTCACGATCCGAAGATGATGTTCAACGAGGAATATCTCGTCCTATTCTTCGCCCTTCTTCCTGTGTGCAGCGGCGCCACGGCGACGATACCGATCAAGCGCACAACCATTCGCTTCAAATTCGACGGCTGGCAACTGTATAACAAACATGCCGGCGCCTTCCAACAACCCGAGGTCTGTGTGCCACGATTCCCAGAGGAGTCGGCGTATCGCTCATAGCTGACCTTGCGGCAGGCGAGGCACCAGCATCCGCTGAGTCGCCATGATCAATCAACTTTTTACCACACGCTTTACACCGCCTCGATAGCCATCGGTACCCCGCCACAGCCCTTCACGGCATCCATCGATCTGAGCTGGTCAGACATGTTCGTCCCGTCTGCCGAGTGTCTGCAAGACCCTGCTACGGCGCCGCACTGCCAGCGACACAACAAGTACAACTCATCGCTCTCCACCACTTACCACCCAAACAAGACTGTCACCAAGCTCATGTATGAAGGCCTTTCGACATCAGGCCATTTGTCGCAAGATGTTTTGAGAGTTGGGGGTCTGGATATCCTTGACCAGCAATTCGAGGAAGCGACCTTCTGGCGGACCATGTACTTGAACGCAGCGCCCCTGGACAGCGCACTGGGCCTTGCACGGCTCCAAAGTCGCACCCCAGAATCGAACGCCAGTACGAAGAGCGCCCTGCGGAGCATGCTGGATCAGAAGGTGCTCAGCCGCCCCGTGTTCTCGCTTAGGCTTCCCCGTCGCGATCATGAAAGCAGCGACCTGGCGTTGGGGTACTTTCCCTCAGAAGTTCTAGCACAGAGTGCGATCATCCTTCCTCTGATCGAGGCCACACCTCCAAAGGAACTCAGCCAAGTATCGTACTACATCTCGAGTGGATACACCGTCGAGCTGGAATCGATAACCATCCAGTCTTCTCCCGGGAACAACCCCAGTGGCAGGGAACCGTCCACATACAAAGCTGTCTTCACCAACTCTTACGATTACATCTCGCTCCCAGGCACACTGCTCACCGAGATTCAAACCAATCTACACCCGAATCTAGGAATGGATGATCTGCTCGCGGACCTGGACTGTTCGATGCGGGACGAACTGCCGAATATTGTGTTCTCGTTCAGCAAGGACGTAGTGATCGTGTTGACACCATGGGACTACTTGATGGAGGTCCGAGATATTGAGAAGGGGATGCGCTGCGTGCTTCCGTTTGCCTACTTACAGCAAGCCGACGACGAATGGGTGGTGCTGGGTTCCGCGTTCATGCAAGGCGTGTATAGCGCATTTGATTTGGAGAATGGTGAAGTGTCGCTGGCAGTGTTGAGGGAATAGAGTGGTACATGACTGCCTTTATGATTAGGAAGTCGAGTCCAACAGGCCTTAGGATATGGAATAGCGCAGAGATAAATCTGCAGCAATGAAGCCTTTGGGTCTACGCAGGCGACGTCGAGCATGTCCTCTGGGTACGATCTTGAGTTGAAGTAGTTCACTCTTTAACGATTTCGAGGCGCTGAATTGCACGCCTCGTTCTACTCATTGGCTCCTAGTATATTCTAGGTGCATATTTGAGCGACTCTCTATAGATTCGCAGCATAATTTGCACGCCCCAGTCTCAACCCTCCCTGTCGAATACAGGGCCCAAAATTGGGTTTCAACGAGCTGCTCAGTCTCGGCTCAGATACGCTCAGTCTCGGCTCAGGATGCCCTCAACCAGCACAGCCACAGCTCAGGTTGGAGCATGAGCAGCTCAGGTTCCTGAACGGGAAAGGAAATTGCTTGGGTGCACATTGGGATATCGTACTACCTGTAACGTAAGTGATGGGGTTATTACGTTTGAGGTAGTTCTTACGTTTTTTAGCGTCAAATGCGGGCCGATGCCTCCGGGCTTAGGATTTGTATGGCAACAGCATTATACACCATGATCGTGCCAACAATTCACAACTAACCACCAACATGCCTCGCTGGCCTCGTGCAGCAGGTGAGGCAGGCAAGGCCGCCAAGCACGCCGAACGCGTATTCAACACTACGGAAGCTATTGCACGGAACAAACAGACTCTTGGGGCTATAGAGGCGGCCTGGCAGGCAAAGAAAACCAATGGTTCTGCCCAGGAAATTCTCCGGGAGAAGAATAATGCATTTGAGACTGCTGAGCAGGCGTTGGATGAGGAGATTCAGAACCTCAAGGAGCTGGAGGCAACTGCATGAGCAATCAAGGATGCAAAAAAGGCAGCAAAGAAGGCAGCAAAGGAAGGTAATAGCGATGATGAGGACGGCGATGAGGATGAGAGTGCAGAGAGCGGTGATAAGGCTGTAGAGGAGCGAATTCAACACTAAGAGAACGGCCTATATTATAGAGCTTATAGGAAAATACAGCTTTAAAAGTTGGGGGTCGATAATCTCACACCCCCTAATCCCTCCACGCACGCACCCTCCCCCTGTCGCTTTACCACCTTCTGATTGGCTCGGAGCACTGCTCCGTAGCCTCCGATTCGCTCGCTTAACTCGCTCACTAATTCCGAATGCTCTCTCCAAATGCGGCCATGTACAACACAAGCAATTACATCATGCCAATTTATATAGCCTTATGTACGAGCTCACGTACAAGCTCACGTACGAGCTCACGTATAGCCTCACGTACGAGCTCACGTATAGTCTCACGTACGGCCTCGTGTATAGCATCACGTACGGCCTCGCGTATAGCATCACGTACGGCCTTGCGTATAGCATCACGTGTAGAGAGACGTAAAGGTGAATGCCCGGAGCTTCCTCCGCACTGCTCCGAGCCAATCAGAAGGTGGTGAAGCGCTAAGAGAGGGGGGTGTGAGATTATCAACCCCCCTATTGTATAGAGGGGTCCGGGGTGAGCGTGAATATATATTTTGCCTCTGTCGGAGGATTTGCCACGCTCGTCTCATCACCAGATGCGGACAAATACCTTGATCACGCTCCCAGGCATGAGGCGCAGAGGACACGTGGCTGCCCATGAACACTTCTAGAAACCCAGGCCACGGTTTTAAATTTGGTTAGCCGTATTACACATTACTAACGTTGGGTTCGTTTTTAATACAGACAATAATTACACAACGTTTCTTGGCGTGTACCACCCTTCACCCGGCTAAACTCCCGGAATGCTAATTGCTGATGGTTGGGTGCTGTTAAAGCCTAGAACAATATTCTTCCTTGGTGGGGCTTTCGCACTGTGGCTCTGAAATTTGACATGCTTTAGATATCTGTGACGCAGCAGGGGCGCAGAATTGGAGTGCTTCTCCATGCTAGGAAACAACTACCAAGAACATAAGCAAGACTACTGTATTTTTCTTGCTGCGACCCAGGAACCTGTGGAGAAATGGCTGAAAAATGATGTAACGTTAATGGTAAGTTCATAGAATTGCGAGCGAAGACTTGATATGTTGATTAGTGGAAGTAGTTTCGGCACGGCGGGTTTTTCGCCACGTAGGGAGGGAGGTTAGACGGCTAGACGGTCGTCAATGAACAGCCAGGGCCGAAATGGGACACTCGTCACCTTGGCAGGTTTTGGCGTATGTGGCCCAGATCTGGGACACCCAGAAAACTGGACACCCAAGAAACTACACCCAAAGTGGGTGCATCTAAAGATAAGCAACATGGTGCTATAACTACGCACCTGCCTGCAAGAACTGGATGTTAAAATCAGGAAGGCGTAGATTTAACAAGAAAATAGTTACTACATCAGGAAAAGAATGACTTTTGGTCGACTTGTTGTATAACTAACGGGAGGAAATAGCATCTCAACAGGGCTGAAAGCTTATCGTTAACCCCCCCACCAACTTAGAAGGCATAGACGGACTTGCGATGTCAAGAGCAAGAGAGCGTGAATCTGGCACGCGTAAAAATAGTCGATATGAAGCTATCTTTCAGATGAGGGCGCAGATTAAGGTCCTAGAAATAGCATCTTGAGAATGTTCGCATCGGCACGAAGGCCTCCTAAAGTGAGCTCAAAGGATTCTCGACGATGTCATGTGCTGCAGGGCGTGGAACAGGCAGAAGAATGTTACATCACGAAAAAGCTATTGCTTGGTCGACTTGCTGTATATCGAATGGGAGGACATATCATCTTGACAGGGTCAAAAGTGTATCGTTACTCCCCCCGACCTTGAAGGCATCGACGAACTTGCGATGTCAAAAGCTTCATGGTGCGAATCAGCACGCCGTTCATAGAGTAGTTATTTGGCTTTTCCTACGCCTCGTGAATTGAATTGAATGCATTAGCATGCTGCGGGCATACGTAGTGTACGAGGGGCGCCTTGACTACACTGGTGAAATTCATATTTGGATGTCAAAAGCAAGAGGGCGTGAATCAGCACGTTGGTATGTGCGAACTGAACGCTTCAAATTGAGCAGGCGCCAAGAATTTCCTGCAGGCGTTGAAAGTGATGCGAAGGCCTCCTGGCCTCACGCGTGCCGGTGTAGACAAGATGTCAAATGCTTCACGGTGCGAATCAACTCGCCATCCTCAAGGACATGCTATTTCTCATCCATCGTGAATTGTAACTTATCCACTAAGATGCTGAGAGGGTACGCAGTATATGAGGGACATCCTGACTGCACTGTCGAATTGCAAGATTCAATGTCAAACTCTCAACAGCGTGAATCACCCCGTCATCTTCAAGCACATGCTATTTTCGATGCACAAGAATACCACGGGTGTACGCAGCATATAAAGAGTGCCCTGACCGCGCCGAAAATTTCATGTCCAAAGCTCTGCGTTAGGATCCAGCTCGCCATCTTCAGATACATGGTATTTCCCATGCGTCGTAAATTGGATTAAATCTACTAGGATCCGGCAGGCGTACGCAGCGCATGAGTGACCCCCTGACTACACTGCCAAAGTTCAATATGGGATGTCAAAAGCGTCACGATGCGAATCAGCTCGCTGTCAGCTCGCCATCTTCTGATACATGCTACCTCCTATCTCCATTACGCTGTAAAATGAATCGAATCCGACATGGTCCTGCAGGTATACGCGATGTATGAAGGGTCCCCTGACTCAGCCCGTAACATTGAATGCCCCCACCGTATCGAACTTGAAACCGGCGGGAACGTACGGCGCAGGGGTATATATACCACCCCCATCCTTCGTGGTTATATACGCCGCCATCGCAAACCAAGACCATGTATCCGCATTCTTCAGGACGCGATCATCCAGGTTTCCAATACTATCAACCGGATTCTTCGCCGCCCACTTGACGGCGGAAGGCGTCAGCATCCACTTCAGTCCATAATCAGGGTAAGTGAATTGTTGGCGTGCGATGTCGCCGTTGCCGGTCTGATCTGTTGGCCAGGTGCCGATGTTTTTTTTCATCAGGAGGGCGTTGATCCAGTGGCGAGCGCGGTTTTCGTAGTCTGTGACAGGAGGTTAATTTCAGTCTTTGCTCGCAGGTGCAGGCTGGATTCAGATGGGAAATCATACTCTCAATATTCCAATACTCGTGCGATAAACCACCTTCACTGATGGCCCCGGACAAAGTAGAGAGCCGGAACCAAGAATCGCAGAACATGAGTCCGTCCTTGTCGTCGCTGTATTTGTCCACGAGGTGCACATGGCCCGGTCGGTTGGTGCAATAAGAGCCTTCGGGCTGGCGCATCGAATTGTCGCCTTGTTCAATCGCTCGTCAATGCCAGTGCCAGTATGGATTGCGAAGAGAGAGGACATACCGCAGAACACCTGGATCTGAGTCGACGAGCCCCACCAGCCGTTGCCGAAGTTATACACGTTTCGGATGGTGTTGGTTATTTTCCACCGCTTGTCTTGGAACTTGATCGGAGCAGGGAATCTGCGGGAGGTCAGCGCGGTTCAACCTCTAATGCAGTTGTATTCTAAATGTTGTCACGTACCCAAAGTAGTCCACGGCAGCGGCGGAATTGAAGTCAGTGTAGAACACGGGATCACAGCCCTAATGTCGGTCAGCCTCTTAGAGCAGTCATGCAGCCTTGGTTGGAGAACAGAGAGACCGGGCCTTCGATCGGCGGGTGAAGACAGAACCCACCATGATCTTATGCTTCTCTGCGATTGAAAGACGAGTTAGTATCCTGCTGGAATATTCAAGATGCGTGCGGATAACTGATAACTTACCATTCAGAGCATCGAGAATAGCGCTCTGCATGCCGCCGGTGCAACTTTTATCAAACTCCAACTTGTACTGGATGGATACATTTCCGGTAGGCTGTGGGACAGGAGGGAGACTAGTAGTGCCGTCATCTATCCCACTAGGAAGCGGAGCAGGTGCAAACGAAGGAGTAGTTAAGCCGGGACCTGGTGTCAGAGTATAAGCGCTTGCCGTTGCGGCGATGCGAAGAGCGAGAAGGAGCTTCATCGTGAGGTTTGGGAGAGGACACTGCCTAGGACGGCGGATGAGGGTCTGAGGTGAAGCCGGCCCACTCCCCTATCTTATGTTCCCAGCTCGGACTAGCTAAGTATAGAGACCGAGGATAGGATTGGGGGTGGGGGGGGAGAGGTGGGAGGCGGGAGGTGTGATGGATCGACCACAACCACAAGCACTTTATCCGGTACGATGAGGCGCTCGAAGGAATCGCGCCCATATTGGCATCTCTTTCCTCGTTGGTGTACATGTCAGCGACGATGAAACTATTACGACAAGCTTTCTATTTGCGGATCCCCCCGCAGCCAAGCAATTCAAGCATTCTCCGGACCGATGGACCCCACGGCCCCATGCGTCTTCCCGATCCCGCAAATCCGCGATCGTGTTCGGTCCCAAAGGCCCTGTACCTTCCAGGGGTTTCGCGTGTCAATCCCCCATGCCTCATTTCGATTCTCCCGGCACTTTGGTAAATGTTTGGACCCCAGCAAGATCAACACGAGCAGCATTGGAGTCTGCGAAGCAATATTACCCTCACAATCTAACTGGGGTGATCTGTCTGGGGCATATTTCATCTCCGCAGCACTGAAACCATGTCGCGGTTTCGTTCTTGCTTATAGATATCCCTAAAGAACTCCTCCAGCCCCGCTTTGGTCTCAATCATCTACGAAAGCCATTTGAAATTTCCAAAGAATGGGTTCACTTCTACTCACACTCACTGCACTAGGTGTAATGAGCGTAGTGGGTGCCCAATCCACTCCCACTACGTTACTCATCTCTCGAGCGATCTCAGCTCCAGACTCATTGTTCCTCAAGCCACGCGATGGGACAACGTCTGACGTCCCGGTAGGGGTCTCATCGCCACCATCTGTGTCCGATGCTCCAAGTTCGGCTGTCTCGACTGAAACGCCTCCGAATGCTACGGGCTCAGTAGTCCCCTTGGCCGCCCGACTTACGGGCTTCGATGGATGCAAGGACCCTCAGTTTATCAGAGACGCCTTCACCGAATTCGAAAAGATGGTCCCATTCGATAGAAACTCGGCTGATAATGAGTATGTTTGTGCGATCACATCGAGATCTATAGCTAATCACCGCATCACTGCAGTAACCCTCCTGGGACCGATCAATACCCGTGGAAGGATCCTACCTGGACCAGTGGTCCCTCCGTAGACTTCTTTGGGCCTATGAACAGATTCAGCGACTATAAAGATCAAGTGACAGGCAAGTGATTCCGTCTAAACAGGACAAGTTGCTATCATACTCATAGTGATCAGCCAATATCGATAGACTCGCAAGCTTTCGTACGGGATGGCTCACGACTTGGACGCTACGAGTCCGCTGTGACGATAAACTGAAACAGGTCAGAGTTTGCTACCTTGATGACTCTACTTCATCCCACTAATACTCCCATAGTGCCCGGAGAAGGTGGACCCGCCAGATGACCCATGCAACCCCCCCGGTGACGGGGATCCTTCGCCCAAAAAGCCAACAAAGTTAGCCTACGTGCGTATGCTCCGAGTCGGGAATTTCGTTGATCCGTTCTAAGTCGCAGACAGGTTGCAACGGTAGACCCGTATGTGGACCACATGTTCTTCTGCCCTGGTTTCTTCCTTCGTCCTAAGCTCGACGACCGGCTTGCGACCGTCGTCAACAACCTTGCTCAGGCCAATTACCTTGACAACTATGCCAATCGAGGTATGATTATACAGATTTGTATAGTGCAAGCACTGACCTTTTTCTAGCGACCACGGTGGCTCATGAGCTCCTCCACATCTCCTGGATTGGGAATCCAATTGACAGCCCTGCAACCGATCAGTTGGTCGATATCATCATGCCTGGCGGAACCTGGAAAGCATATCGGACCGTAGATTGCAAGTATCTAGCCCACTCGGAAATTGAAGATAAAGTGCAGCATGTCAATAAGTAAGTAGTATCGGGACACCTAGCATTACGACTGTAGTTATTACTAATGCGTACCGCAGTGTAAACAACTACATGTGGTGGTTCCTTGCAAATTACATCATCCACCGGTATGATTTCTATCCCGTACGTATAGCTCGTAGCCTGTCCGCGTAGTTTTGGAGATCACAGGCTGACTACTCGGTAGTCGGGATCAACGTGGTTGACGACGCTTGACCCGCCAGCACCTCCACCCAGCGTGGCGAATCTAGCAATAACGAATGGCACTGACGTAGAGATTGGCTGGGATGACTGTTGAGCAGGCTCATGAGAGAGCTTGACGGAGGAAGTAGCCAAGCTAGTGCCTATGGTGAGAAGAAGGGGTTATCGTAGTCTGCCGTCCAAATTTATCAACCGAGCTACCGATAAGGGCTCCGTATATCGAGTGCAGAAGTCGTTTTGGCGGCCCAAGGAGAGTGCCTCATGAACTGGGCAAGGTCCAAATCATCCACGTGTCGACCAGATACATGTTGCACTCAAAAGCATCCTGAGCTAGGCCTCCACTAACAAGCAATTGCGCCTATATGCAACCAGTGTGTTCCCATCCCACGTCCCATTAACCAGACCACCTACCATGACGTCCACATCGCACAAGCATCGCGCCCCAGAGGCAAAGCACACTATCAAAGTTAGCCGTTAAGCTTCGGTGGGGTATGAAGGATATATAAATCCTTCTCGTTTTACATCCTTGGAGTCGTTATATTTCATGACGATAAAGAGACCAATTGCCACTGAAAGGGCAATTTTTGTAAGTTCCCCTAGCATGATCCATGCGCGGTTCCTTGAGCGAGTTTTGTAGGAGCGTGAGGTGCTGCGTTTGGAGACTCGGCTGGATGAGACACGCTTTGGGACGGAGTCTGGGATTTAGGCTGCGGGAAGGACGCCTCAAGGGTAGACTGCCAGGTTTGCGATCCCGCGAGCTCACGTTCAGAAGCCACTGCATGACGAGGGTCTAGCGGTGTATTCAAGCCGCCGAACTTGACGGGCTTCCGCAGGTTGTTGGCGTATATGGGGTTCAGGTTGAATGGTGGATACACCACATCTTGGGTCTCCTTGACAGTGCTTTCTGCGGAGACAGAAGGGGATCTGGAGGAGGTAGATGACGAAGAGTAGTATGTCTCATTGTCGTATTCGACAGGCAGCGTCTCGACGGTAACAACAGGCTTCTTCGGAGACGTCGCTTTGGTATGAGCACCGGATCTCGTTGTTGGCGGCATTTTCGAACGGTTAGAACTATTGCAATAAGTCGAAAAAGCAGAAGGTTCGGTTAGGTGGCGTGACGGCGAACTGAGGTTATTAGACCACCGTACCAACGGCGCCACCATGCGGCGCGGTACGCCATCACTATCTCACATATCTCCAAGACTCGCAGCGACCAATTGTAGCGCATGATGCGTCGATAATCTATGGTTAGTACATACTCGAAAAGCTACGTACAATATCTGCCGTGCCTGTCATCCAATGACTACTCACCATAAAACGCATCAGCTTTCAGCAACGGAGACGCTTCCCTACTAGTTACCCTTCACATCGCTCAGCTTCAAGCCGTCGACACTCTTCGTGCTATCTTGGACGATGCTATCGATCTCTCCCTTCAAGCTGCATGGGTGGTTCACAAGGCCGTTACCTCTGTACGAACCGCTGTCCTTGTGACACCATATCGGACTTCTAACTGTACCGATCTTACTCAGGGTTTCCGGCCTACGTGCCTAGCCAATTACAACTTCTACAGAGAGGGGTTGGGGTACGGTGGCCTACCCTGCCTACCGCTGCCTACTGCTGCCTCTAATTAGTACTTATGCCTACGCTCCCTATGTAGTATATAGTCTGCTCGTACGGCTTCACAAATCAAACAGAGTTCACGTCAATTTGCAACCTAAGTATCTTCGAACATACTCTCCTGAGGCTCGATCCGAGGAACGGGCTCTCTGGACGCGGTGCTAGAAAGCCCCATCTCTCCATTTCTTTGTACAAGGCGCCGAAGAGGAAAGCTCCGCAGCAGAACGAGTAGGACTCGTACCGGCAGGAATAGTTAGTGCTACGATACCTCTGTAGCAAACAGTGCAGTTCTGAGATAATGTGGTCGATGGCATGAACACGCTTATGGTCGATATCCCCTATGCTTGTTAGCAAGATATACTTGCATTGAGACTTTGCGATGGCTTGGCAAACCTACGCGTAGCGCTGAGAGGGATTGGAAGGCTCAAAGTTTGGATCGCCCCCATGCTCTCCCGGATCGCTACAGCCGTAGCCTTCTCAAACTCCGTCGACAAATCGAGAACGGCCGAGACGCACATCCACAACACTAAGTCTCGACCATAAGAGGCTGGAACCGCGTAGCTACGCCTTACATGATTGATCCAGGTGTCGACATAATCCTCGATGGCTTCTGCTTTTTCAAGATTGTAATAGTCAATAAGCACGGCGATCTTGGCAAGCATCTCAACGCTCATGACCTTTGGGATCTGGCGTTTGCGTAGGTGGAAGATATTGAGAAGAATTAAAAAGGCTTCTTCGTCCTAGTCGGAGGCATAGACGTAGAAGTAGCCGTCGGCGGGGTTAGGCACAGCTTCTTTGGAACTAGACGACGTCAAAATCCGCTTGAACCATGGCGAAGCGAGGATCAAGTGGCGCGAAGAGACACGGTAATGTACGACCTCTTCCTCAAGGTCAGCCGGTTGGGTCCATGGTTCGGCCAGATCGATGTCTTCGCCGCTGAGCACATGGTCGGCGTTGCGGGATAGCTCCGTGACCATGGGTCGCGCCTCTCCACCAGACAAGCTCCCTTCAGCGACGGCGTCAGTGTCCTCCTTTCCTGTGAAAGCATCACCATTGTCTGCCCAAATCGACCCCTTCTTGGCCTTGACCTTCTTTTTGGACTTGACCTTCTTTTTGGACTTCTTGGAGGTCACCAATCGGTCCCAATCGTCATCATCGTCCAGCTTGATGGCTAGCTCCGCTCCCGGCTCCAGCTGCAGCTCCGACACGACGTGCTCTGAAATCTCGGCAGTCGGATCCCATAGAGTGCCACCGGCAGGGTAATAAGAGGAACTGCTTCTTCTACAGTAAGTTAAACTAATATACTGTTAATTTAAGGGATCCGCTAATATACTATAGAGGAGTAGGCTTTAGATATAGAGCGCAGTACTGTAAAGTCCTGCACCTAAGCTGTTGCCCGTAGAGCTGGAGTGAGAGCCGCTTATTGTGGCTTTGAATTATGTATACCGAAAGATTAAGGTTGAAGGTTGAGAGAACGTGCTTTGGACGAGTGATGATTACTCCACACGCGTTTAGCGCGGATAAGTGCATTCGTTCGGCAAGCATCCGGTTCGGATATATGCTTTATCTCCATCAAGGGTGGCGGCATCGACCCCATGGGCAGCTTATTCTACCTTATACAACATTCTTCATCTTCCATCAATAGAGGTACTCGTACTCGTACCCACTACAGCTCTAGGAACTTTCATGCGTTTGCAATCTAACAAACCTCCGAATAGAAGCTATTTTACATTAAGAAATGCCGGTTCGCTGCTGGTATTCCAGCTTAACAATCAGACCGAAGATCGCAACTCAGTCTACTTACCTCATTACATTCACCGGGTGTGCTACCTTAGGCTCTAAATAACCTTTTAGCTCAATGACCACTTCATTTATCTCTAAATTCCAAGTTCGCCGGAGTTTGGAGCTCATAGGGTTCATCGCTAGTGTGCGTGCTCAACGCTCAACATTAGAAGAAAATCGTCAAACCTCATCACTTAATTTAACCCCTCTTGTATTTCGTTCGCCCATTCGGAAAGACTTGGCATACTGAAAAGCGTGGAGGTCAGACGCGTAAAGTACATCGCGTTCCACGCATCAGATTCATGGGAGGTTCATGGTAGTTGTTTAGGTGGAACCGGTGCCATTGGTAACATTCTCACAATATTCAAGAGCTTGGCTTCTCATCAACCACAAATCTGTGAAACACCACTACCAAACTTGACGCGAGAGCTCGCCAATGAGAGACCCTAGAATCAAAGATGAACTACTATTCCAGCACTAGGAGAGTCGAAGTTACTCTCAACGAAATTTCTCCTATTGGCGGAAATATCGTTCTGTTATACAGATTGTTCCGTTGTCACGTTCCCTCATCTCCTCCCCGCATCTCCAGGCAGAATTACCCCGGAATCGGATGCTGGCCAGTAGGAGTGCCGCTCAGCTCCTGATATCCGTCCACGACCTCTTTTCTCCGTTCTTCACCATCACCCACGATTGCTAGCACATTATTGCTCCCGCTACGAGTGACTCTCTTGTTAACCTCTTCCTGCAAGGTGGGCAACGAAGGAGAATTCGATGCTATCTGAACAAACGTTAATCCGCATCATGGATGGCGATCTCGGACTTGGTTGTGACTAGAAACATAGGATCGATTTGAGCCACCGGACTCCGTGAAACAAAGTGGACCTCCCACCAATAATGCCTCTCGCTGCTCAGATCGTATTCAACCAGTAAAGAGTCTTTCAATGCGTGAAATCGCGGCTGCGATACTCGACTTTCCCTCTTTGGATCTGAAACTGCGCAGCCCACACAGGCTACCTTCTTACAGAGACATTCCTAAGCTTATCCGAGGTTGCTATGTTAAGCTATCGAGACTATCGCAGACATGACATCACGAATGAATGCATAGAGACGGACTACAGCTAAGGATTGAGGTACATGGCTCCAGGAGTGCATCTAGGACACTGATAGTGTAGAACGAGCAGAGCTGAAGCTCTTCTCGTGGAAGTAAGCATTAAAGTAAATGCATCTACTGCTTGACAGCCAAATGAGGACGTTTGTGTTGACCCAGGTCCAAATATAAGTCATCCTCCGGTCTAACGACTTAAAGCTCGAACAAAACTCTCTCTGTCCTATGGGTAACTCTCATGAAGCTTCACCCAGATCTCGCAGATCTCTGCGCCGCTCCGTCATCGTGCAGGGTCCATAAGGTAGACTTAGCGCCCGAGTTCCTGTCAGACGGACACAGCCTTTATGACCCCTGAGTGGCTGAATGCCGGTGTCCTGCAGCAGTTCTCTTTCTGGAACTACACCCACCATCGGTGCTTTGATCCAGGAAGGGCCGATCTTCGGAATATCGTGTTAGTAAAGTGTGTCTATAAGTACGACGGCTGCGGCAATGTCTACCTCTTCATTAACAAGGTCATAAAGTTCTGTGAACCGCGAAAACTTGTTTTTCAATTCTTTTCAACCATTTCAACCAGTCTGAAGACTCCTCAACGATCTTAAAATGGCCGCTGTGCAGCCCAAGGGAGACTACTTCTTCGTTTTCATGCTTCATGTCCTCCTCTCAATCATCTACGCGTCGATGTACTATACCCTCTCCGACTACTAGATCGACACAATGTGAGATGGCCGGCCCAAAAGAGAACAGCAAAAGCTACGGCCAGAGTACTTCTGCCTCAAGCATCTTAAAACACCTGGCAGAAGTTCACAAGTCGATTCCTACCGTCCACTACGTCGACAGCAACATCGAAGTCTTTTGTGGAGCTTGCGCAACTTAACTGTGGTCCTCTCTTCTATCTTGCGAAATCGGCAGACAATGAACACTTGGTTCATCCGATGCCAACGAAAAGTGAGTAGCGCTCAAACAACTCCAGTCGATATTGAGCTAACATCGTCAAAGCTTTCGTCCATCTGGTACCGTTCGCGACCCAAATGGATACTTTATAGGGAACCCGCACCACATCTGCCCGGAACTAGCAGCACCCTACAACTCTTTCTCGAAACCGAACTCCATAGTCATCCTATTTGAAGCTCTATGTGTCATGGAAGTTGCTTCAATTCCGGCTCTACACGGCACTCCTTTTCCCACCTTCCCCCGGGGCTTCATTCACATATTTTGTCTTTCGTTTTGGCGTTGCATACGACCCCAAGTCGTTTAGAAGGACTAACGTCCGTCCCCGGGTAGCGAGAAACCCACCAAGCCAAAAAAAAATGAGGGGCACATGGACTTCTGGTAACCCAGACTCTGTACACACATCGATATTTCCCACAGTCCTGTGTAGGTAGGTTGTGTGCTGTGGCCACTCCTGAACACTCGGAACCCCTCCCGCCCAAAAATTACGTTCGCATTATCGCATTGGCGCCTAGTTTGCGGCAGTGATGGAACTGGACCGGGTTAACTTGGAGCCGGAGTGGATGGGTTACTCTATATACTGGGTTGGGTTCGAGCTCTGATTGGCCGGCGTGGGGTGGATTTAAGGCTGTGGAGCCTCCAGGCGCTCCATAGCTTTCCTCTCTTAACGTAGAAGTCGTGGTGTTAAGGTGAGCCAAGGCCTCTAATTAGCTAACCTATATACTCCGAGGCCTCTAAGGCCCTGCAAGGGGAGTTGTATAGAAGCCTGTCTTAAAATTATTAGCGCAGCTATATAAAATTAGACCTGTTCCCCTATAAAATCTCTTACCCGCCTAATACCTGTTTTTAAGGCTATTTATGCGCCTGCTTAACACCTTATTACTATAGCTAGCACTACGCCCGTTAATAAGGCTATACGCCCTTAGCGCTCTTTTACTAGCTTTCTTAGTATTTGCTAGTTAGTTTAGGTTACTAATAATATTATCCTAGCACCTTTTTCTATTAATCTAGTTTATAAGGACGCTAATAAGGTAACACAGTTTTAAATTGCTAGAAAAACCTATATCTGTTATAAATACCTTATATAAGTGCTTTACTATACTAAACAGCATATATTATATATATAGAAATAGGCAGAGGATATATAATAGAAGAATAGGATAATTAGATAACTAGATATTTATTACTGCTATTTTTATAAGTATATAAAGCAAAGCTAGAATTTACCTATAGTTTTAAACAGTAGAAAAATTGCTACAGATTATCTTATAAAAATATATAAAATAGATAAAAAGTTAGGCGAGCTATATACTGCTATATAAGGCCCTATTCTATAGTTTAAATCCGCTAAAGCGCTTTATATAGCTATAAACTTTAAGTTTTTAAAAAGCTTATTTATTTAATAGATTATATTATTATTATTATTATTAGGTTCTATTAGGCCGATTTAGCTCCCGTTAGGGTTTATACGGCAGTACTATCTAGGTTTTATTTACAAGGGGAAACCGTTCGCTCTATAGCGGTCGGGTAAAAACCTTGTTTTCTACAGTATATAACGCCTTACGTTCCTTTTATTTCTGCGCGGCTGTAGGGGACGCGTGGCAGCTCTATAAGCATTACTATAGAGTAAGCTATCTTAATATATTTTCTAGAATTAATCCGGTGTCCGTAGGCCCTAGGTTCTAGGGTTATATAGTGTCCAGATGGTTAGTAAGGTCTAAAGTCCGCGTTAGGGCGCGCGTGCCCTTACTATACGCGCGTGCCCTTTTTCTTAAAAGCTAAGGTATTAAATTAAAGGATAATAGGAAATTAGGGGGTTACCCTATTGCGGGCGTGCCTATAGCTATGCAATATACGTGTATATATATAGTTCTGTTCTTAAGGCGTGGCTATATAAGTCGGCTG